ACGTATACACAGTACACTAATTTTGATTTTATACATAGGTGCATACATATCTTTATAAAAACAATTAAATGTCAGTTAAATCTAATTATTCGTTAATCTTTCTTAAAATATAATTAAATATAATAATCCACCTTCGTCGTTGATTTGTTCTAGAATACTTACACAAAGCACATAATATACATATGTATTTATATGAAAATATGCATATGTATATATAATAACATAAGAACATACATTATATTACATAACAATATATATAAGTACAAATAAGTATTCTCAAGTATAAACTTCACAAACATCTTTAAATTGTTACCCCTGATCTCTTTTTATTTGGATACGTTAATGGTATCATAATATTTGACTTAAAAAAACTTAAAAGTTAAGTATATTTTAAGTACTTACGTATTGACTTATGTACAGTTTTAAGATTTTTTCTCTTATAAGATTCATTAAAAAAGAAGTTAGAAGCAACTTATAGGTATTGTGTACATACATACACATGTATGTCATGATATTCCAAGCAAAAATGAATGGTTGTGTATAGGATTATGTTCATAATCAAATGATACGTGAACATGAAATATATATACAGATGTATGTATGTATGTATGTTGTATGTACATATATTTAGGTTCTTGCAAACACAAATTTGTATTATATATAAATGAAGTTAACGAACGAATTTTTAAAAAGAAAAATCAAATAATTTTAATTATAAAGGAAAAGAATAAGTAAACATGCACACACACACATAATGTGTATACCGTAATTACTATATTAATGCAATGGTATCTATACTTGTTTAAATACGTGTATACATGAGGATTTACATAAATGTACATATATTGTAAACGTTTGTGTGCATTTAATTATAATTCGCAAGTTTTTATAACTTAAAATATTCTTTCAAGTAACTTTGTAAACAAATATATACATATACACATATGTATGTACATAAATATATTTTGTGTGAAGTATTCAAAATGGTTCAACGTTCAAAGAAGTTTTTAATTTTAGGCTTTCAACTTTTACAGTTATAAGTGCTTTGTTTACAATTTGTGTATGCATGTCATTATGTTTATATGTACATATATGTATATGAGTGTGTAAAAATAAGGAACATGTAAACACGTGAATATGTATGTTTATTTTATGAACTACATTATGTATGTATGTACATATCGCAAATTATGCAGATAAATTGCATAAAATTTATATTGAGTACACATAATATATACATATGCATTTAAATAGATATACGCAACAAAACAAGTTATACATACTTTCAATTGCACATACATATACATACATATATAATGTTTTAGCGAATTCTTTATAAAAAGGAGAATATATTTTCGATATTTTCGATGTGTGTATGTACAAATATTCCTCTTTAAATGCGCCTTAAAATTAAAGTCAATTTATGTATAAGCATTTGTTATAACAGTAATCGCTCATTATTAAATCTAAACAATTTTTTTCCTTTAAAAAAAAATTATCATATATGTACATACATATGTATTTAAGTACATATGTACTTCTTCAGTTAAATTTTCTGTAATTAAGTAGATTATACATACATATGTATGTACATACATATATATAAAACCTAAAAAACCTAAACTAACTTATATTTTTTTCTTAAAATGCACAAAATATTTTGCACATTAAATAAAACTTTTTTGTTTATTAAAAATTCGTATTTTATTAAGATTAATTAAATTTATTACGAAAAACAAAAAAAAAAGGTGAAAACTCATTCAAAACGTTTTAAAAGCAAAAAAAAAACACTTTAATTAATTCCAAAATTTATAAATAATAATTGGAACAGAAATTTCTAATTTATCAGATTTTCCATATTTAAATTTAGTCTTCATTTATTTTTTATGAAAGTTGTGAAAACGGTTACAAAAAAAAATGCGAAATTTGACTTTTACTTTAGATTTATTTTTATTAATGTTGCACATAAATTTTTGAATATATTATACAAAGAAAAAAAAACAAATAACGTATACAAAATTAAATTAAAGAAATCTAGAACAATGAGAAATTTGGCCAAGGGCGAAAAATGAACAAAGAATATGCTTATTTTGCTTTATAATTTTTTTTAGCAAAACTGTTTGAATTGTGCATGCTTACTTAATAGCACGTATATGTAGTTAATTTTTATATAACTATAATTGAAATAGAGTTTTTTGAGTCAGCTATTGCCTAATTAGATTGACCAAAAAAAAATTCGCTATGCAATTTAAAAAATAATATCCATTGTGAAGAAACAAGTTCTTCCGAAAAAAATTATTATATTACGTTATATTACGATTTAGCACCATCATTTAATCGAACTTGCTTTGTATTAAGATCTAATTTAGAATTAAATTTATCGAAAATTCCCATATATTTCCTATAGATCTCATTCATTCATACCGAATTAATGTAATGTACAGTAAACAGTACTAACTTAACTTCAATATTGAAATAATGGACAATATTGAACCATATTGATTTGAACAATAATATTGAGATCGTTCTTGGAGTTCTACCTTAAACCGTTATAAATTTGAATAAAATTTTCTTTATTGTATGAGTTTTATTTATAGAGGGTGTACTGCATACTATTTTTGGAATAAAAAAAAACAAATGAATAAATTAAGCATTTTACAGCTGATGTAAACTTTAATTTTTGAAACTTTTGGAATGATTTTTTTTTTATTTTTTTTAGGGTTGGACCATTTTATTTCTTCTCCTCTACTTTCTGTATCTTCTCATTAACATAAAAAATATTAGTGATGGCATGACCTAAAAAAGATTTTTTTTTTTATATTTTGGTATTAAAAATTTCTTTTAGCCTATGGCAACATTAAAGTATGAAAATATAAATAATGAAATATTTTTAACCCTTTTTGAGATCATATCAATTTTTTATACCATATTTGTATATAAAATTGTTTTGTTTTTTTTTTATTGTGTTCTTTATTATCTTAAGTCCATAAATTAATTCGGTAATTGAACTTTTGTAAGTGTTAATAAACTACCAAAAAGATATTTTTAATCAGATTATTGTATTTATATACAAATATACATATGTAGATATTAATCTTAAAATATAATTGAAATTAAACGAAAATGAGTAACAGAAAATTCAACCAAAAATAATTTCAAGAAATCAAACTGTTAAATTTATCAAAAATAAAAAAATAAAACTTATGCGAAAGCTTGTATAACACATATTTTAAAAGAAAAAAAAGAAAAACTAAAAATAATAAACACACAATACACAATTCAGATACCAACACAAGACCCACATTATCTCAATTATTTACACAAGAAATTTGATATTATCGAAACTTTTAACGACTCATCATTTTTAATTAACATTTTGGTTAAAAATAAAAAAAAGTTAGAATGCTTGTATAACAAAATAATATATGTATGTAGATACACTTATAATATTTAATTATGTATTTATAAAAGTATAAATTTCAATTCTCAGTAAAATTTCTTATGTAAAAAATATTTTAATTAAAACCTTTGAAATTTGTTCTGTATATGAAGGTATTTCTTAAAATAATTATTTTTTTCATGAAAATATTTTGTTTAAGTCTATAAATAATTATAAAATAATTATATGTATAAGAAAATAATTGTTATATTTATATATCAATTAATTATACAAGAATTTATAATTAACTTTAATATGATAGAAAGTCAAGATTAGAAAACTCATATCCTTTATGAGTATATAACAGTTGATTAACAAAATATTCATGCAAATTTTTCTAATAACCGATAGGAAATAATATAACAGTTACAATGCACTGTATATAATTGTGTATACAGTTTACGAGTATAGTAACATACAGAAGATAATTTTTGTAATTACACAAAAGAACTACTTTTATTTGAGTGGCGCTATTCTTAATTAAAAATTATTACTCACTTACCCCACTCAAAAAAAATAGTCGTAATTACAAAAATTTCTTTCTGCATATCACTATAAACTATATACACAATGATAATATATACAATTATTGTTAAAAAATAAATTTTTAACCACAAATAAATTAATAACAAAATATTGATTCCATTACAACAAAAAGATATTCAAGAAATTTTTTATTCAAATTATTTATTGACATTTAGTTGTATTTCATTTAATATAGGATATAATTATTACTCGAATTCACTCCGGAGTATAAAATTCGGAGAGTTTGTAAAAGGAAATTGTTTTATATAGGAGAAGAAACCTCACCTGTTATACACCTAAAGTGTTATACGTTTGTATTATGTTAACTATGAGATTATTAAATTACGGAATGCTATTATTGACTTTTACAAATATAAAAAAAGTAAGAAATTTAATATCAGCGATTACGAAATTTAATGCAAAAGTAATTTCTCGCCGTACTAAAAAATTTATCATACATCTATATGTACATAACATAAAAAAATTAAAAGAAAACAAAATATTTTAAAATTCAGAACCATTTTTTTTAATAAAATTTGCGATTAAACCATTATTTGTTTCTACACTATTATGGGAATATTTTTATTGATAGTATAAAGAACGATAGATAATTGCGGAGTGGCAAAAGTAGTATGATAGACATAAACGATTGCTCGAGGTTCAAATTAAGTAAAATTGTCCCCTATATAGTCATTTGAGATATTTTATTTTTTTTTTTACTTTATTTTAAACATAGAAACGTTTATTTTTATTGAAAATTTTGTCTAGATAATTAGTACTTTTAATTTTAATGACTTTTGTTTTTGTTCTCATTTTTTATTTAATAAAAGTAGTTAAAATTTATATTAACTATCATAAGAATGATGTAACGTATAATTCAGAATAATTATATTAGAAATTTATTATTTAAAATTTAATTAACAAGCTAAAATTTAGAGAATTTAACGAATGTGACTGAATGCATAGTTTTTATCATTAATATTTTATTAAATAATAAAAACAATTAATAATATTATGATTTTCTTTTTAATTACAGAAATCGAGGATGGTGGACGAGACGGACGACATTGGAAAAAACACTTACTTCTTTTAGCATATTGACAATAATAGCTTTAGTAATTTCTGTAATAGGTTTAGTTGCTGTTAATTTATCTCAGAAATATCCACCAGGTACAATTTGAAATTTGAATTGTTATATCTATATAAAAGAAATTAACAATATATTGTTAATTTCATATGTTTGACAACATTGCTAAAAATTTATTTAAAAAAAATCACTATTTACTTATGAATACACGCAGAAGTCATAAGACATAAATGAATATCTTTGTTTTTATATAATATGTTGGAAAATATTTTAATTCTATTTTATGTTTTTAGGACAAGATGGCTCATCAACCAGTGAAGCATTACGTAATCCAACAGCAGCGGTTATAACCACTTCTGAACAACATACCTCGAATTTACAAAAATCTGAAAGTGATAAAAATAAAATATGCCTAACTAAAGAATGTATTCATACAGCATCAAAAATATTAGATTCAATGGAGAGTTCAATTGAACCATGCGATGATTTTTATAGATTCGCATGCGGTAATTTCCTAAAAAAAACTGCTATACCTGAAGATAAAGTTACAGTAAATACATTTTCTGAAATTGGAGATGAACTTCAGCAACAATTAAAAGAATTAATAACTGAAGAAGCACCAGAAGATTCTCCTAAACCTTTTAAAATGATTAACTGGTTATATAAGTCATGTATGAATAAATGTAAGTGTATATATATAATACATACATACATAAATACAATTATTTTTTTTTTATATTAACACTTTGTCTTTTTTTTTTAATTTAAATAGCACTAATCGAGGAGCGTGGTATTAAACCAATTCAACAAATTGCTGAATCAATTGGTGGTTGGCCTGTTGTTTTAGGTGAAAAATGGAATGCAGATTCGTGGACATGGCAAGAAACAACAAAAAAATTTAGAAGACTTGGATACAGTGTCGATTATATAATTGATTTTTCAGTTGGAATTGATTTAAAAAATTCTACATCAAGAATTATTGATGTTAGTTTTATATATATAAGATAAAACATTATCAATTATTATTTATATATATGTATATATATTTTTATGTATGTGTGTGAATTCTGTTTAATTTTACAGTTGGATCAGCCATCTTTAGGTTTAAGTCGAGAATATTTGATCAAGGGTTTCGGTGATCCACTTGTTGATGCTTATTATAAATATATGATCGATATTGCAGTAATTTTTGGCGCTGATAGAGAAAAGGCAACTGAAGAATTAAAAGAATCTATAGAATTTGAAATGGCATTGGCAAACGTAAGTTTTTTTGTTTATTTTAAATAAAACTACGTATTACATACATGTGTATAAATATCGTATGTGTATTATTTGATTATTTCCTTTTTTAATTTTAAACATTTTGAAATTTGTAAATAATGATTTCATGTGATTAAACCACAATTTTTTGTAAGTGCGATTAAATTAAATTCATACAGGAAGTTTACATCTGGTCTAACAAAAATATACTTATACTAATCATTTGATTTAATCAGAATAATTTGAATTTTTAATTAATTTCAACGTCAAAAATAATATTCTAAATTATTTTCATTTTAATTTTTTGTTTTTTTTTTTTCTATTTTTAAATATTCAGTAATTATTATTTTGTTTTTATAATATGTTGACTAGTATAATTAATATGAATGCCATTCTGTGGGTTCAGTATTATATATTGTATAATGAAAAACATGCAATTATAAATAATGCATATGTGATGATTATAACAAAAACTTTATATTAATTCATCGCTCAATATAAAAAGAACACGCTAACCGTGTATTAAGTGATAAAATGCAATTAAAAATTTAAAAACTATAAAATGCATATATGTATGTACATAGATGTAATGTACAACACAATTATCATAAAAAAAATGAAAGTATAATTTCATATAAAATATTATTTAAAATTACGTAAATAATTTGTTAAAAATTGCTAAGCAATAAAATTCAAGATGTTTCGGCTTATTGAACTTTATCAAAAATTACGCCAACTTTCATTGTAAACTCATATATAATACATTCATTTTGAGTTAGACTAAATATTTGAATTTTTTGGTATCCCTAGAAATGTCAATAATACTATTTTTATAACTTACAAAATTTCCTAAAGAGGGAGGATCGCACACAATTTGAAAATTTATGGGTGAATCAGAGAAAATTTAATTTAATGTTAGCAATTTTAGTCTTTACTTTGTAGAATAAATCATTTGAAAACAAATTTGTGAACAAGTCACATGATTTTATGATTATATGATTATAATGAATTCCAAACCAAAATTAATTATAAAATAATGCAAAACTATAAATTATAAAGGTGTAATTAATTTATACCTTTAATAAATTTTTAATTTGTGTTTTTTAAATTTATGTTTTCCATTTTTTTCTTATTTTAGATATCACTTTCAAATGAAAAACGTCGTAACACAACCAACCTTTACAATCCAATAACACTTAAGCAACTACAAATGGAATATACTTATATGGATTGGTTAGATTATATTAATAGTCTTCTCCCAAAAAGTATTCAAATTGATGAAAATGAAATTATTAACATTTCTGTGCCTGATTTCTTAAAAAATTTGGGTTCATTATTAGCAAAAACTGATAAAAGAAGAATAGCTAATTATTTAATGTGGAGAATACATGGTTATTCTGCGTTCTTTTTAACTGAGGAAATTCGTAAAATTCAAATGAAATTTATAACATCTGTAAGTGGAAAACAAGATCAAGAACCAAGATGGAAAGAATGCGTTGATATAACTGCTAGCAGGTATACTTATTTTATTTATGTTACATTCTTTTAAGAATAAAATTAATAAAATACAATAATGTTTTTTATATTGTAGTTTATCAATGGCTGTTGGATCTCTATATGTTAGAAAACATTTTAAGGAAGATGCAAAAAGTATAGCTATGGAAATGGTAAATGGTATTAGACAAGTTTTCAAAAAAATACTTCAGGAAGTCGCCTGGATGGATGAAAGTACAAGAACATCAGCTTTAATAAAATTAGAAAAAATGACAACACATATTGGTTATCCAAATGAATTGATGGATGATTCAAAAATAGAAAATTATTACAAAGAATTAGATATTGATCCTCAACGTTATTTAGAGTCTATACTAAATATGAGTATATTTGGTACTAACTTTGCATTTGGTAGATTAAGATCACATGTTAATAAAACAGATTGGATAACACATGCTAAACCAGCAGTTGTTAATGCTTATTATGCTTCGCTCGAAAATAGCATACGTAATTATTAAAAGAATAATAAAAATTAAAAAATTTGATTAAAAAAAATTATAATTCTAGAATTTCCTGCTGGAATTCTTCAAGGCAAATTCTTCTCAGCTGATAGACCAAAATATATGAATTATGGTGCTATTGGTTATGTTATTGGACATGAAATCACTCATGGTTTTGATGATCAAGGTAGACAATTTGATGTCAATGGAAATTTAATAGATTGGTGGAGAGGTGATACTAAAGAAGCTTATTTGAAAAGAGCAAAATGTATTATTGAACAATATGGAAATTATACAGAACCTTTAACTGGACTTCGGGTAAGAATTTCAAAATATTTGATTTAGTTTTCATTTATTAAAAATAATTGATTTAATATGTAACGTACATATTTTAGTTGAATGGAATCAATACGCAAGGTGAAAATATAGCAGATAATGGTGGTATTAAAGAATCTTATTACGCTTATAAAGAATGGGCTGCAGAAAATAAACCAGAACCAAGTTTACCAGGTTTACCATATACACCTTCACAAATGTTCTGGATTTCAGCTGCCCAAACTTGGTGCTCAAAATATAGAAAAGGTATAATTTACTTACAAATCAAGTTTTCATTTTATTTTTTAATTTTATTTTATTTCCTTTTAGAATCAATGAAAATGAGAATTATAACTGGTGTTCATTCTCCAGCTGAATTCCGAGTTCTCGGTCCTATGAGCAATATGGAAGAATTTTCAAATGATTTTAATTGTCCTCAAGGTTCTAGAATGAATCCAATACATAAATGCAAAGTTTGGTAAAACAAAAACACATTGAAGATTCAAAGAAAGACTTTAAAATGTCTCAGAAAATAATTAGGCATCAATTTATCACACATCAAAATATCGCATAAACATTTGTTATAAAAGAAAAACATTATCTTTCATTTGTTAGACTTTTTAGCGTCGTCATGTATATATTTTAAAGCTTCCATACTATTAAATTTACATCCCTTTATTTTTATAGTGATATCGTTTACTTTTTAAATTTACATCTTTTATATTGTTATTTAAAGTATGTATGTAAGGCAAAAAAAAAATAATTATAATTAAATTCACTATTAAGAATAAAATTTATTTATCAAAATTTTTAAATAATTATTTCATTCTTATAGCTTTTACATATATTTGCCCAAATTTAAAGTTAATCTTCATTGAGTAAGAAATTATTAAGAATACGAATCACTTCATTCTTTGTTAAATTTGCTTGTTAAATAAAATTTTAGTTTTAGATTGCAATTTAACTGTTTTAAACACAAAAGTTCTGTCTTTCAACTTATATACATCGAAGAAGTTAAGCCCGTTTAAACCATGTGGGAAATAATTATGTGCTTTGTACATTTTATAAGCAAGACACGATACACAGAATTAATACCGTGTTAACGATGGCAAGCAAACTAAATTTGAAAATATAAATGTGATGCACATTTAAATAATATTAAATAAAAACACATAGAATTAATTTTATATAGTATAAAAAGTCTTTTCTTAAATTTCTTATTAATTAATGTTGATGATGAATTCTGAACAAATAAAAAAAAAATGCCTGAAGTGTTAATCAAAAATGTTAGATTATTTTAACAATTTTATATTCTATTGATGTAACCAATCATCCATTCCTATTTTTGAAAAGGCATTATTAAGTATTTTTTGAAATAACTTTGCTATGCTTCTAGATGCTGCCGGTTTCATTTCTTTTACTAGTTCTTGCGCATTTACATTTAAAAATTGGTTTATAGCTTCTCCTGAAACATAAAGATTTTGAAATATTAAAATTAGTTCCCCATATAAGAAATATATTATATTATATGTACTGTATTTGTAAAGGTGTGAAATCATTTTAAGATTATTCCGATTTAGTATTGTGAAATCAAATTTTTTGTGTTGCCAATTAAATGTCATTATAAATGGATAATGCACGGACTTTATTAATTTATTTTTTTTTGAAAGTGCAATAGTTTTTTCATTCATAGACAAAGATTTTTTTTAATACATAAGTTCATCTTAATATATTTAGGAAAGGAATTTTTAAAAGAAGCTTTCATATATATAATACATATTACCTAAAATATTTCCAGAATTAATTGTATCTTCAACTCGAAGTTTAACATGCTTTAAAGAAAAATCAATTGCCAGTTTTCCTATATGTAAAACTTTTATACCATTTTTTATCTTTTCTACACCATAAACTCTAGCTACAGTCGTTACGTTCCCTAAAAAAGTTTATTATTTGACAAAACAATTTTTAATATTATAAAATCAATAACATACCGAATTCCGCCCAAAAATTTCCATTTGATCTAACTGGTAAAAGAAGAACATTCCCATTAACATCATATTTTCCAAAAACTTCAACCAAGGGGAGTCCTAAGCTTAAATCAAATCGTAATTTCTAAACTCAAAAAAAAAGGCGATTTTTTAAAATTAGTTTCAGTTATTCATAAAATACAGACGAATATAACAAAGGTGCAATAACATATATGGGTAAACCATACACATTAACACATTATTAGAAGAATACAAAATTAGAACAAGAACAAAACAGAACAAATTTGGAGATTTGAACATAAACAAGTAATAGAAAATATAAATTTAAAAAAACTTACCGTAATATCGCTTCGAACTTCTTTAACCACATAATTACTGGCTCCCTTAGCAATTATACTAGAAAATTTTGCTTTTACTCTAATTGCACCCGCATTATTTTCCATTACTAGTTCATCTATTATTAGAGGTTCTAGTGGAGGAACATTTAATTCTGATATTCCATTTGGTAAGTAATTTTTCAAATGATTAAATGAATTTCTTATACACACATTTATATAAGGATCAGATTTATTACAGGGTTTAATGTATTCAGCTGAAATAGAGAAAAAAAAATATTTACAATTAAATATAAAAATACAGTTAAATTTAATTAAGCGCAGATTTGCAAGACTTTTAAGAGATTATGAGTCAATTCTTTCCATAAAAAAAAAACGTTTTATGTTCGCGAATAATAACGAAATAAACGTAGAATGTGAAAATTAAAGATGTATAAGATACCTTTAGGTCAATAATACCTGTTTATTCTTTAATAAAAACATTTGACTTTATATAAATGAAGAAAATATATAATACGAATTACAACATTAAAAAAAAAACAGAAAACAAATTCAATTTTATTGTCGGCCTTCATCTCAACTTGTGAAAATGTTTTGAATACAAATTGCAAAAAAATAATTACCTTAAAATGTATTAATTTAAGGAGCGTCAACAAATTTTTTTACATGCGTGTACTTTAATTATTTTAAAAAATTAACCCTACGTTGGTTAGCAGTTTTTTTTGCAGCCAACCATAGAGTAAGTATTTAATAAAAATATTTAAATTTACGAGTTGTTAAATTGTTGTTAAACTTCTTGTTGTAGAAACATATTAAAAAGTTAATAATCTGCCGTAATTATAATATACACAGTTTTATGCCCTAGTTAAATTGTAACCTTTTGCAGCTTCTACTAACACAAAAATAATACAAGTAATTGTGAATAATTCTAATGACAAATAGTAACCAAATGCGCAGCAAGACATTTAATAAATTCCATATTAAAATTGATTTACTGGAAATCGTTTTTTTCCTGAGTTTCTGGCACGATTAACATATACATATACAGCTTTTATTCAACCAGAATTAAAATGTAAATTGAAAGTAAATTTGCTCAGACGACGGTTTTCTTGGACTATTATGGTTTACCTGTCATTTTAGTGCGTTTGTTAACGTTCTTGACAAAAATTACTGGCTAATTTTATTTTGTTATACATTTTGTCCCGATTTCTTGCAGTGAAAACCTGGCAAGCCTATAGTTGAAAATTATTTTTCATCCTAAATTATGGACTTTATGAACTAATATAAATACATAAATATGTTGTGTATATAATATAAAAGAAGTTTTAGTAAAATAAGGATTGTTTATTTTTATTGCTTCTTTTTTTATTGTAAAAGACACCAAGCCTTCTATAGGAAAATTTTATTTTGAAGGTCTTGGCCATAAGGCAAGGCATAAAGGAAGTGTACATAGGTTAAGTTTTGCGTGACTTTGATAAGATGCAAAAAGTTTATATATTTGTAAGTGGACATAATTTTCACTCTTAAAGCCATAATATACAGCAGACGTAAATTTTGACGTACGTATGTATGTGCCGTACATTATACCTTTATGCTCAAAATTGCTTGGTATTATTTAATTTACTTCTTATACCGAAAATACAATTAAACTGGTTTTATGTTACTAAATATAAGTAAGATAAAAAACAAAAATACTCAGAAAAATACTTAAATGATGCTTGAATGATTTTTGACCTAGTTTTATATACATAATACACGCTTTATTTTATGTGCTTACATCAAAACAGAAAAATGAAGAGAATTTTTTTTACTTCACTTACTTACGAGTTTGCAGTCGAAATGTTTGCATTGCCTATATTTAACAAAATAAAAAGATATGGTTATAAACTTAAAATAAAGATTACATCACTTAAAATTAACAATATGATTTTAGCTATAAATTTAAGCTCCATGTCGGTCAATCAAATGGAAATGAATTAATTGAAATAAGAATAACAAAAAATATTAAATCAGTAAAAACAAAAAAAGAATAATATCGTAATATTTTAAGTACGTGAATTTTTGAATACCCACATATACACATATTAAAATATGCGATGCAACAAGTCAATAACACTTTAAAAAAATTCTCAAAAAGTCCTTAACGTTATTGCTGCAACAAAATTTATATATTGTATGAGTATGCATTATATTCAGACCATAAACGTGTTACAAATAATAATTTGGTGCAGAATTTCAAATTATTATATTATGTCCATTATTATTCTAAAAAGGAACTTTAAACTTAATTTGTTCAAAATATTTTTTTTAAGAATTTCCATGATTATTTATGAGATTACTAATCCTGTGAACAAGTATACATATTAACTACAAAACCAATTACAACCATTTTTAAAAACAATTGTGTATATAAACGCATAATGATTTTGTGCCTGAGCTCGTATTATTTTACATTATTTTACATCGTTAAGTAATTTGGCTGCATTTGAAAAAAAAAAACTAATATTATTACAAAATTTAATTAAATGATGAAATAATTTTAAATGTATTTGTAGAAAAAAGTACCGAAGTTATTATTCGTATTACGGTATTAACTGTAAAAATTAAATTTAAATATTTCAAAAAAATCAAATTTGTATATTTCTAATTTATATATATGCATGAATGTATGTTTCTTTCATAACGTATAAAATGTTATTAATGATAATAATTACGATAACAGTTTATAAAAACATTCTGTAATTTATGTTCATGAATTTAATTAGTAAAGTTTAAATCAAGTTTGTTGTAAAATAACTTCAAAGCGGTGAACATTTTTTTGTTTATCGTAAGTAAGAATCACAATTCGTTTACAATTCATCAATAATTTAATTTGACTTATATGTACATTAAAAATACAAAGGAAAATGCAATCGTTATCTTACCCAATTCATTCCCATGGCAACATCCAAGTAAAAATAGTAAAGTAACTACTATTATTTTACACATTTTAAATTTATTTAATTTTAATTTTTTCAATATTTAATTTATGATAGTAGGTATACAAATTATAAAATTAAAAATTCTAAATGAAAGCAAAAGCGAATGTACACTTCTATTATGATTTTTATTTTGAATTTAATGTTAGAACATTTTTAATATACTTTTTTTATCTATTGTACAAATACTTATCGTAAATTTGCCATATATGGTGTAACACATGTAAAATAGAAAAAGAAAATCTTTAAGATTATAAATAAAAAATGCTTTAAGTGTGAAAATCGCGAAATAACTAGTTTCAATATTTTGAAAAAAACTTGAACCTCCAAAAATTTAATTTGTTGAATCAAAATAAAAAAAACTCATAAGCGGTAGGGAGCATATTTATTTGCTTTGTATTTTATTACATACATATCTACTTATAATTATTTACTTCGCAATTATGTTTTGGTTTTGTATGTTTATAGTGTTTTGAGTTGAGAACTTCATTTTAAATACATTGCATACATAGGTACCTCAACTTTATACAAGTAATATTGTTTAATTTTTTATGAATCTTTTGAACAAATCTACTTATATACATACATACACACATTTAGTTAAAAATGATCGTGAACTATCATTTTTAGTAAAAATTTAATTGGTGTTATATTAATATAATGGATATGTACTAACCGTCCACTATTAAGCAAATATTGCAAATAAATAACTATGTGCATATACATACATTCCTACATAATTGTATTGTTAACTCTAATTCTTATGAAATTATCAAATAAAATACTTTTTTAGTAGAAATTGCTTAATTAAAAAGTTTTGTTCACTCAGCTGTCATTGTGGTCTTAGTTTGGTTTTTGTTTTAATATTTTTTATGAATGAATTTTGATTTTAATTACTTTATGATTTTTTTTTCACTATCTACTGCTTTACGTTATGATAAATGGTATATTTTGAAATTTTTTGTAAAATAAAAAGAAATATGAAATGTAGGTATTTAAGTAATATATATAAAGATAATTGTGTTAGCAGAAAAATTTATTATAATGATTTTTGACTAATGCTCAGTTACTCAATATACTTTATTCAATGTACTTACTTTATATGTAATGTAGTAAACGAATTTATCCTCCATTATTTATTTGTTAATTATTTTCTAATATTCATCCAAAAGATATTTTGTTTTATTCATCCGATTTTCGCTTCATTACCAAAAAAACTTAAGTACATAAATGTAGGTATGTACATATGTACATACATGCATGTTACTTACATAAGTATGTATCTGTTTACATATTTTGTTGTCACAAGACCTGAAAAATATAGATCTTGATTTTCGGTAATTTTTACAAGAAAAACATAAAAGCGACAAAAGAGATCAATCTTTGAAATTTTATCTAGATCCATTGTATCACATTCTAGAACCTATAAATGAAAAAAAAAAAAAACACTCTTGATAAATATAGGAGTGTTTTCTCTAGACACCAAATTATAAAAAATGGTTTAACTTATTAGCGGTTTCCATAATCGCAAATTTTCACAACTTTTCATATTTCACTATAGCCAAATATTTTTCATATTACATTTACATTTTATATTTTTAAGGATTACCTCAAAAAATTTATAAAGAATCTATTAATTTATAAAGAATCTACATGATTTTTGAAAACAATGAACTTTTTTTTAATCAAATACATTGCAATAACTCTATTTGAAATCTAAATTATTCTTTATTTCGGACACAAACCATTTTCTTCCAAAACTTATATTTTACTCCAATCGCTGAAACATTTTCGCTTACTGCAGAATTTTTTCAGACGCTATAGCAGACGAACGAACGTGCTATATCAATTTTTGTGTAATTTTTGTGAATAAACGAACGGATCCAAAATAACTTGATCGTTTTAAAATTATAAATCGTAATGTGAGTCTAATTACAACTGTAGCAACAAACAAAAAACAATTGAATTATAATTTGACAACAAGTTGTCAAAAATAAATAAGTTTATACTTTTCCAAAAAGTTGCTAAAATGTCCGAGTGGAGATGCAACTTTTAGTTTTGTAATAGTTTCATAGAAATACCCACAGTAATTTAACTTTAAGAAATTAAAAAATCGAAATAATTGCAATTTTTATATACCCAATTTTTAACATTTGCTACCAAGGTAGCAAATGTTTATGTTACTTAATAAGATTCGATACTTTTTTAACAATGTTGTGTTCCACTTCTATTTAAAATTAACAAAATTGACATATTGTATATGACATTGAAATGAAAAATCGTACAAATTGAGTTTGCAATCAAATGACAAATTGTAAGCTAGCAAAGTGATAATAGTGTAGGTATAATAACTATAACACTGCGAATGTTTTAAACATGGGAAAGTTTGAATTTTTCGAAAATGAATTTTAAGTTTTTAAATCATAAAAAAAACATTATATTGTTTTTAATTCTTAGTTTAGTAATATATGTCAAAGCTTATTCCTTAGGTGTAACAAACAATTTAAGGCATTGCCAAAATGAAGAATCAAACAAATTTAGTACTGGGTAGGTAATAAATATTTTGAATTTGCAATCTTATGTTAATAATTCGTCATACTTGAGAGACGAAGATATTTTTTTTTCTATTGAAAAATTTGAGTTTTTGAAAGATGATCCTCATAAATATAAAAAGTCTTTCTCTAATTTAAGCGTAATTTTCATAAATACAAGATTTAAATTATAATATAATTAATATGCATTTTAATTTAAAGATATGATGTGGAAGCAAGCTAAAGTCTTTGCCTTCTTTACGTAATAATTTCACAAGATCAAAATAGAAAACACATCTGTTAAAAATGATTTCTTTTCTAAATTTATTTCATGCTATACCCACATTTTCATACTTTTCTAAAACAAATCTCAAATTTCTCGTATGTTCTTGCAGACATCTGTATATATCAACTCTGGATGGAAAGATAACTGCTTTAGATTTATCAACTGGAAAGCGCGATTGGGTAGCAGAAACTGCTCCAGGACCTTTACTTTCTTCTAGTATACATAGTCTTGAATTAATTAACAATGACCAATTAATACGGTGGATACCATCTTTAAGAGGAAGTATTTATGAATTTGATGGCGAATACATAAGCAAAACATCAGTTACTGCAGATGATTTACTAGATTCTTCTTTCAAATTTTCTGACAATCTAGAAATAATTGGCGGAAAAGAAATAAGATCTTATGGAATATCAACAAGAACAGGGCAAATTTTATATGAATGTTCTATAAAAGGTTGTTTAAACAATACTGAAGATATTAGAAGCAATTTGAATGGAGATTCCAACAATTATATAGATGCTGAATGGAACGAAGTTATTGTGGTTAGACGTCAAACAAAAACTATACGTGCGATAGAAACTAGAAATGGTTTAGAACGTTGGAATTTCAGCGTGGGTTATCATGAACTTGAATTATTAAAATCTTTTGATTGCCATAATTCAAAACATAAATTATTTACGGAAAACCATGGTTTATATATCCAAATCAAAATAATAGATGGTATTACAATAGTATACGGTTTTCATAAGGACCAGCCAAATGTTTCTCTTTGGGAATATAAAGTAATTATAATAAGATTAAATTTAACACTATTTACTATATTTCAATTATTTTAGTTCGATCTTCCTATAGCAAATATGTGGAAAACGGATATGGATGGCAATTTAGAAAGCATCGATCCATTTGATTTGTCGCAAAATGTTTGGAATACTTTTGATAAAAACAATGATTTGGTTCCCCATTCCATATATTTGGGAATTTACAACAAACAACTTTATGTTCTCGAACCAAACTATTTTCAAATTCTATTTGAGCGTAACGAGCTTGTTAGCTCTAAATCATTGAAAAACGATATATCTTTTAAATTGATGCCAATTACTAATAATTTGATACAACTGATATCCAACAAAAAAGAAAATAATTTGCAGGAATATGCTGTGAAAAATTCACAAGGTTGTGGGATAGAAAACACTTTCGGAAACACTTCGGCAACTGCCTTATCTATTTTTAAACCAAAATTTGTCAATAATTTATTTAGTGCTCATTTTATAAACGGATGTGATCCAAACAATGGAGGAAAAGGGAATTTAAGTGAAAACTCAAGCGATTTTCCTTTTGTTGTGGATGTTGACAACACTCCTGTTGAAATAATTATTATTTCCCTTTGGTTTTGGTGGAAAGAAATTATTGTTATTTCCTTGGCTACAGCTCTTATAGTGAACCTATTTTTACCAAAAATAAATAGAGGCAGAGATATTTTGATCATCGAAAGATGTGTATCAGTTCCAATGGAAATTCAAACTATGCAAAGATCTATTACTGAAAATGAAAGCGAAAAAAGTAGAGATTCTCTTAGAAGTACCTCAGAAAATAATTTTGTTTCGCGTTTTAAATTAGATTTTGATATAATTAGTTGCATTGGTAAAGGAGGTTTTGGAGTAGTTTTTGAAGCAAAAAATAAATTGGATGATTGCAACTACGCTGTTAAAAAAATTTTATTGCCCGATAAAGCAGAAAAAAGAAATCGAGTTTTAAGAGAAGTTAGGACGTTAGCTAATTGTGAACATCATAACATTGTAAGGTATGTAATTTTTATTTCACAAGTTTTTAGTTTGTAAAGGAAAACATTTTTTGATAATTCTTTATATTAGGTATTTTCAGGCATGGGTAGAAGAAACACCAGCAGATTGGGAGGAAGATAATTTTAAAAACTTTCAACTGGATTCAATAGGAAGTGACGAATCATTCCATCATAAAAAAATGCATTCTCAAATGAGTATTTTTAACAAAAACATATATTCATCGGATTCATCTAGAAATATTTCTAAAAGTAAAAGTTTAACCACCGTTGATTCCACTGCACATTCTGATTTCTCCGAAGCTTATTTAATTGATGATAAAGCTGAAAACCCCACTACCTTCGATGATTCATTTGAAATTAAATTTGAATATTCGAAGCAAAATTCTAAAGACTTTGCGTCAAAAGACAATTCCAAATCTATAAAACGAAATAGTTATATCGAAAGTGTTTCAGAAACTTACTCTGAATACAATAATTCTGGCGAAAAACAAACGCCAAGATGTGGTTCTGGAAATAAAATTTACTTATATATTCAAATGCAACTGTGTCAAAAACAAAGTTTACGTGATTGGTTACGTGATCGCTTACCTGAAGCTCGGATACCTCAAATTCACTTATTTTTTGAGCAAATTGTTGATGCTGTTGATTATGTTCATCAAAAAGGCTTAATACATCGAGATTTAAAACCAAGCAATATATTTTTTTCTCAAAATGGACAAATTAAAATAGGAGACTTTGGTCTTGTAACTCTTATGCCAGATTCAGTCGAGTCATCTGATTCAAAAGAAATTGTAAACTACTCTACACCTACAGATACTTTGTTTAATCATACTGAAAATGTTGGCACCTATCTATATATGTCTCCAGAACAAATCCAAGGGAAACCTTATGATTATAAAGTTGATATATATTCACTTGGTTTTATTTTTTTTGAAATGCTGTATTATTTTAATACAGAAATGGAACGAATTTTAGTTTTGAAATCATTGCGAGAAGAACAATTTCCTAAAAATTTCTCAAATCAATTTCCTGAAGAACATACTTTGTTAAGGCGAATGCTTTCAAGTATACCCCAAAAGAGACCTAGTGCTTTAGAAATAAAAAACACTTTGTCAAATATTGAATCATGGGCTACAGCTAAACTGAGTGGTAATTTTGATGTAGAAGTAAATATAGACTTAGATAGATAAGAAATTAAAAAATATTTATAGAGACTAAAAAAAATCGGTGATCATAAATTTCTAGTTTGCTTGTATATAAATACTAATAATATATGTATGTATATGAACTGCGATTTATTTAAACTTAAACTACATTGTATATGTGTATGAACGTAAATGTTTTTATTTTTAGGAAATAAAAATTGCCTTTATAAGATAAATAAATTGAACAAAATTGTTCTTTTTTTCTTTATTTCAACTGAAAATTATATTACTATTCTTAGTCAAGTTCTCAAATTCATTAACAATTTTTTAAATAAAAGATGATTTAGTCCTACACTGAATTTTTTGCTTTTATTGTACTTTGAGCAAGTTTTAGTAATAAAAAAGTTAATGATTTTATGAAATAACGCAATGAATTTTTAAACTGAAGCATCAATTTATTCAATGAAATTAAAATTATTGTGTTTAATATTTTTGCTACCTTTTTTTCTTATAATGGGCTCAGTTTTCATCAAAATTTATAAGAGATTATTTGTCAATATTGACAATTTGTACCAATATTGACAATTCTTGAATGCTTCTTTTAAAGAAATTATCTTCTGAAGCAAAGAGCTCCCTTATCAACAAAATAATTTATCCAAACGATAAATCGACAATTTTGAATTCAAAATGGGTTTTTCCAGAGTCGGAAATTTCAAATAAATATTTGAACTTTTTATTAAACTACTGAAAGAAAAAATCCAAATTTAAGCAAATTAACTTTTGAGCTTTAGCTTCCGACAACATTCTTTCATTTCTTTATTTAATTAATAATTAATGGTTACACTTTGTTTTTAATTAATGATTAAGTATTATATTAAAAAGATGATTGATTATAATTGTTATGTTTAACTTAATATTAATAAAACGATGAATATTGAAGTTCCTTTAAATATTGAATATGTAGGTAACATTTGTGATTACATAATTAATTTTTTTTAATTTTTGACTTTGTTTCCCAGCTTTTAAAATTACATAAGAGGATCACATCCACCCCACGGTTCAGAAGACAAAGCAAGAGATGTGAATAATGATCTGCGACCTCGATATACACCCAAATTTTCCCAATTTATCCATGATAACCGAGCTGTTAAATCTAAAAAACAAAATAAAAACAACATACATATAATTGCAAAATATTTGTATGTTGTATGACCAATTATGAATTTCTATTTGTTCTTAATCTAAATATATCATTTGTAAATATTTCATTTGTAAATTGCGAATAAAATTTTATACAGATTGAATTGTATGAAAATTTTATACATTATGTACCCTACTTTTATACATTGAAATTTATTTCTTAACCTGCGACTGATATATTTAAATTTAGTTCTAATAGAAATTCATTATATCTAATTGGTCCTTTTGTTTTACCGCTGGTATTCCAGTGAGCGTTGTCAGCTTTTATTTCACCTTTTAAGCATTTCTCAACATATGTTAAAGGATCGCAATCTACTTGTAGAACTTCTCGTAGCAGAGCTATGTAAGCGATAGCTAGGCGTAATGTATCAATTTTACTGAGACGTTTTTCATACGGAAATGTAGGAACATGAATTCTCAGTTCATCAAAAGCCGAATTTATGTTACTAAAATTTAATGACACAAAAAAATTATCATAGATTTTGATTTAAATTTTTAGATAATTGTGTAAATCGAATTAAATATTAATAGATCGATATAAAAAATATATGTACACATATGCAGTTTGTAACATAAATAAGTTTATAGTGGTTGTTTTAAAATCACAAAAAAATTTTAAAAAATTATAAATTATGTAAGTTCATATTTATAGATAGTATGCATATGGAAATGTGATGATCTCGTAAGGTGATAAATTTTTTTTTGTTAATAATTCTGATTTCATGAAAAATATGTCTAAATATCTAAGAAACTTTATTAAATTATGTTATCTGCAGATAGTTAAAGAATTCGATATTACACCCATCAGCTAGATACATACATACATACATATGTATATTTATATAAATAAGTTTTTGATTTTTTTTAATTATAATACTACATATTATAATATACTACATTATTATAAAGGGCTAACCTTTGCATTCGTTTTCTTTCTCTGGGGATTGATTGTTGCTTTGGCGACTTATCGCAAAGAACAGTAGAACAATGTTGAAATTGCTGCTGTAAAACGGGGCCTGAAGAAGAGTCCAAATATTCTAAAATCAAAAATTTTTCTAATTAGTTCAAAAACAAATAAAGTAAACTATGTATGTATGTACTCTTCTACCTGGCTGAATTAAATATTGTTGTTGAGATTGCTTCAAATTTGCATTGAGTGTGTTATAATTCTGCTTATTGTTGTTGTAAATATTATGCTGATCTACATAAACTGAAGATGTGAAATCAGAAGCTAACAAACTTTCTTCAAGATTATGAATATTTAAATGACTAAAAATAAAAGAAGAGTTCAATAACGATTAAAAGAGTATTACAAAAGAGTATTAATTGATTTTCTTCAAAAATTTAACTACATAATTATGTGTGTGCGCTATATACTACATTATTTTATATTGAAAGTCGGAAAAACTAGGTATATTTAAATTTTCTTGTAATTAGAAATTGCAGTAGCATTCTTCAGATCAATATAAAGACATTTGAAAAAATTTTCATATAGAGAAATTTAAAAAGGGTAAATATGTATATTACCAATTCCTTTTGTGAAATAAGTTAACGTAAGGAGTATTAAACTCATATTAATTATTATTCTTACAATTATACATATAAGTATTAGGGTGTAATCCAATTACTCCAATTATGAGTCAATAAACTGGCAAAGTCAAGCAATTATCAATGTAATTGATAACTGGCGAGAATATTTTTGTTAAAAGCTGCTTGTACGGCTTACATTTTTCCTAATAACATTTGCACATACTTATGTATCTATGTAATTTTTTTTTAAGAAATACGAGAAAATTTTTTGGTTAGAACTTCCTTTTGGTTAGTTCCTTTTGGTTCTTCCTTTACAACAATTTGAAGAAGGTCAACTATAACAGTTTTCTCGATAAAAATTTATTAATAGTAAACATTCAAAATTGAGATTTATAAAATATTTACTGCGACATTATAGAAAGAAACAAAGAAAGCACCTTTATTGCTTTCTGATATGTATATACTAGCTTTAAATTTTAGTTCCGGGAAAAACGTCCCAGATTCTTCTAACATGTATATATGAAAAGAAAAGCAAAACCAAGATAATTCATTCAGCTCATGGAAACGCTTAGTACATACATATTTGAAATTAATTTATATGGAGCTTGGAGATGAAAATCGAATTTTTACATATTTTTAAAGTAAGGTTTTGTAACTAATTTGTTCTTTAAAATCTTAAAAATCTTAAAATATCTAAAATAGTATAAAAAAAAACTTGTAAAAGCCAAGGATACGCTTCATATACACATACAACTAAAAAAAATGGGTGGAGCCTTATACATTTTTTTTTCTATGGAAAAGCCTTCATTTCAAATTCATAAACACACATAAAATATTTAAAGAATACAAAAAATATGGTCCTTGTGGAAGTTTTGGAAATACATATATATTTATTCGCCAGGATTATGTATATCAAATTGAATTTATGTATATATGTATATATATTCAGTTAAAAAGCTTAAAGCCATTTTAAATATTTTAATATTCTAGAATACTTAAAAAACTCCATTTTCTGAATTCAAAAAAATTTTTTTCCAAAGAAGAACGAATTTTGAACAATGGTTAGATAGCTACTGCTGTTTAAAATTATTATCAAGTACTAAATCAGAACACTAAACCAATGCTTTTTCAAACCACATTTTCCTTTCAACAAAATGAGAATAAAATTTTTTTTAAAAATGTCCTGTATTCTATTTAAATAAGCTATTCTATTAATACAATGGAACATATTGCATATGTTTAGGATGTTCACAATTCAAAGAGTCGTCATTGTGCTAACGGAATAACATATTAAACTTGCAACTTGAGATTTGCCATAACTTCATTCCTTTTATAGAAATTTGATAAAGTTTGTCGTCAAGAATTGAGGTTTTCATAATTTTAAAAGACGATAGCTTGGGAGGGCCGAGAAAGATACAAAAAATCTTCAAAACATTATTCAATCTATTACAATTTCAAGATTACGGTGGTTAATTTGACTGTTTATTTTGTAGTACACAATATTTTACGGTATACTTTTAGAAATCTTCTTAAGTTTGCGAAAATGTTTGTAATTTCGACACAATAAGCTAACAAGAAATGGTATTTGGAGGCGTTCTGCGTATATTACCATTAAGGATGTGGGATATATCTCACAAAGTTTCATTTGTTTATACGGAAACAAAATTTTTCACCTCTCGCTTAAATATGTTGATAATTTTCTTTTAAAAGAACTTTCTGTTAAAAGATTTATTTTTTCTCGGGCCAACAAGTTCTGTTCTTATAATCCATATTTTAACTTATTTTCTTTAATCCGCCGGGAAAACATAGCCTGTTATATTTAATTATATACTTTAATGAATCGTCAAAAGAAAACACAAATGTGAAAGAACAATTGGTTGAACAATCGAATTTTATACTTTCTTAAATCAATAATTAAATTTATAATAAAAATATATATTTTAACTTATATAATATTAATTTTATATTAATTTCACAGTATATACACACTAATTAAGTACAGATCTCCTGATAGAGAACAAGAGGACACTATTATACCGCCACCCTACCTACGATATTATTGTTGTCATTCTATTGGCAACTATTGAGCTGAAAGAGCTTATTTGAGATTTTTCTCTAGCAATTTTATAATTAAGATACACATATGGATGTAAATATTTAAAATAGACTTTAATAATTAATAGACACTAAGAAAAAAGAAAGAAATATTTTGGTACCAAAGAAATATTATTAAAACTAACCTTGAAGAAGGAGATGATGATGAGTCTGGTAACTGATTTTTTGACATTTTAAAATTTCTTATTTTTAATTTAATTCAAAATTTAAAAATTTTTTTTATTTACTTTTTTTTAGGACCAAAAATTAAGGATTGCTTCCTGTTTAAATAAACTTATTTAACTAAATCGTTTAAAAAATTATTATTATCTCAAGGATTCATTTATCCCTTGAGAAAAAAGGGATCATCCCAAAAATGTACATCTTAATTATCAAATAGGTGGTACCAATTAAAATATACATATTTATGTATATAATCTGTGTGTGATTTTTCTACCGTTTTCACACAAAATAAAACAAAATCTTCTTCCCATTACATTATTTTAAAGAATGCAAATACAATGAAATGTTTTCATATATGTTTATTCTTTGGCTTAATAAGGATTATTAGCAATACAAATACATTGTAATTTTCGAATACTCCAGTGAAATTGTCCATAAACATGCACATATATATGCACATATATATTGTGCATAAATGTGATATAAAAAATACCCAAGCGGATTTTTTCAGTTATATAAAATCGCAAAATGAAATTTTGTTTGTTTTCACAAAATACTTGTTCGTTGATAGTCAGTCACCCTGGACTTTAGAATTTTAGTAAAATTTTATTTCTTGACAATTTAGAAATCAGCCCCTATGAGCTTATTTTTAGTATTGCGGTAGTATTTGTTAGAATTTTGACGTTTAAGATCAACTTAAAGTTTTCTCAATTCATGGGATATCTTAGATAATTATTTCATTGAAGGGTTTATAATAAATATTTTAAAACTATGTATGTATAAAACAACAAAATTTCAATGTATTGCCGAATTAAGTTTAATTTTATTAAGTTTTGTATCATTAAAATATTATATATTGTGTATGTTGTGTATTGAGTTTTATATTCAGTAACCTGTTCCAAAACATGTGATGTTATACAAACTATTATCGGTGGGTGTGTTTTGTAGATTCTCATATATATATGGATTTGATAGGATTTATATTTAATTTCTGCGACCCTATCCAGTTATTGATATAATATTCAACTCCCTATTAATAACACTTACCAACGACCATTCAGATATAGGAATTAAACTTAGATGATACTATTTTGCCTCTAATCATGTAATAATTTTAATGTGTGGCGTTAATTATTTAGAATTAATTTAGAATATATTAATATAAATATATTTATTTACATTAATATAATTCAAATTTCTTACCTCTTTAAAAATTTTTTAATTTCTAAAGATTTTAAAAATCCGACTGGGAAAATGGTTTTTACGAGTATATCATTGTAGTAGACAGTGCGATATGTTTAGTTGTGGTAATAGTAGACAGTTTAAAGGATTCATTGCAAAAATTTTCTGAAATGTTTGTATACTTTTTTTTACACAATATATACAGTTCATTTTCTAAAATTCTGGGGTGCATATGTACAGCGCATATTGCAAAACCTTTATAAGTAAATGTACATATGAATATATAATAAAAAAATAATTAAAAAAAGAACATGCGTAGTGATAGTAAACCAATAACTGCTAATGTGTGCATAACTATTAATAAAATTTTTTTAAGATTTTTCAAAAATGATTTTGGACTTTAAAATAATAAAAACTATCAAATGAGAATAATAACATTAATCAGCCGGTAACAAAATTTTTGAATACTTTTGAATGCAATTTAATTCGTGTACGAATAAAATATTTTGTTTTCAGTAAACAAAGTTTTTGAAATATTTGTAGGTACATATATCAAGTATCGGAATTTATTTTATATTAAAGAAAAGCGTGGAAATACCTAAATTTTTAATGAAGCTTCGGTCCGAATAATAATAATAGTGATTATATAGTGTTTTTATGGAATGAATAAGAACAAATTATTTAAAATTCAATCAAATCATTAAAATTTATAATTACCTTTTATGCACCGATGCAACTTTAAAATTTAAACAAAAACAATATTTTGTGAACTATGTATATATGCCGTACATTTGTACTATATAGAAAAAAAAATTAAGCCAGAATTCTTTGATTAGCAGAGAAAAGTTGTAAAGTTAGCAGAGGAAACACCAACTGTGAGGATTACTACCGTCAACTATGGGTAATAAGGATTGCTGTCGGTTCGTTATTAGGTGTTTGGAATTATTTATCATTATTTTTAAGTATTAAAATAAAAGAAAATCAAAACTAGAATTTAGCACGTAATTTTATTACACAGCTACTTTCAAAAGGAATTCTATATGTAATTTCAAGTTTGGTTATTAAAATAATCAACCAGTAAATTTTTCACGAGTATCAGTTCAGAACTGGGAAACAGCACTTTTAAAATAAGGCCGATTTTACATCTTTGACCGTATTTTAGGAACTAATTGACGTAATGAGTTTCGGTTGCTAGCGAAATCAACCAGGAAAAACTTTTTGAAGAACTTCAATTTTTTAAAAGAAATTTACACAATCTTATGCAACCCTTCAACAATGCGGTTAGTCATGTGTTGTTTCCATGAGATATTTATAAATGTATAATTGGCTTTGAACATTGAAAATGTTTGAATTTTTGAAATACGAAGTTCGAAGGACTTTTTTTGTAAAATGAATTACGAGAATGGTTGTATTTTCTTATTTTGAGCATCTTTAAGTAAATAATCTAGCGTTTAAGTAAATTATCTAATAAATAAGCGGCATCACAACGGGCTTTGGTGGCCAAGGTGTACCCTTTTGGGGGGCCGTGCAAACTAACCTAACCTAAGTAAATAATGATCCCTGTAAACCTAAAATAAGTTTAGGCTTGAATTTGAAATTCAATTGACTAATTAATTTTTATTTTTTCAGCTAATAGATATAGAATATATATACATACATATATGATATGATGGTTAATATGTTCTATTCATAGCTCATAAATGTGCGGGTATGCTGCCCAAAATAATCTCAAAATAAACACCAAAAAAACTAGATGTCTGAAATTGAAAACAATATATAATACGCCCCTTCAAGGGCGACCAAGATCAGAATATTCAATGCCTATGTAAAATAGGTTAAAAATGTCTGGTGGACACAGCATATATTAAAGAGGCACCGGGGTATATCATTGCTGGCGAACACAGCGTACATTACTAAGGAATAGGAGTAAATCAATAGATGGCCAGGAATAATATGTGGAATATTCTGGCCCAGAAGAATAACAAACAATAAACTATGGACGATTACGGATCTATAAAGGTGGCTAAAAGAGAAAGAAAGTGAAGATGGTTGGGACAAACGTTACGGAGGTCAAATAGTACGATAGTCAGGCAGGTATTAGATTGGAACCCAAAAGGAAGGTGTATAGACCCCGAAAAACTTGGTGACAAATCAAACTTAAGGTCAATGATTCATATCGAAAAAGCCGGTCATAGAAATAAAGTGCCTAGCCCAAAACAGAGTGCACCAGGCATGAACAAAGAAGAAAAACAGCTTCTATTTAAGGTTTGTTCAAAGGTAAATATTTCCATTTCTGTTTAAATTTGTTGTGCTGTATCTTTAGTCCTGCTTGCATGCTGGAATTTTAACTCTGTTGAGAATATACGTCTCTCAAACGAATAAAGTTGGTACGTACCAAAATACATATATACAATTTTATTATGCATTTTTGGTCTTCTATATTTTCCTAAATCCAAACATATTATCTGATATCTAAATATTTCAATGTGTATTTCGATCATAATATGTAATTGATTCTACAAAATTGATTTTTCCTGTAATTATCTATAATGAATTTATCATCACTTTTCAATTTGTTTTATATATTTGAAAAAAAAATCCACTCAACTTTTTAAAATGCTCTAGAGCACAGTAAGATTTATTTTATATATACTATTTGACATAAAATATCAAACACAGTTAAGATACAGGAGTATTAAAAGAAAAAATGTACACAAACTGAAATGAAGAACAATGAAACATGACAAATTAAGAGACGTGCAGATGATGTGGTATACCTCTTCCCTTTAACAATGTTTTTGAAAAAAACCAAACTTGAAGTGTGTCCGGTCACGTGGCACATTTTATTTAAAAACTTAAAAGTAAAAACAAACATTACATACATAAAGCGGTTGGTAATACTTTGACACGTTTTTTTAACATTGAAACTCGTAAAATTTTCAAAACATTAAATTAAATATGTCAGCTTCAGGGATCAAAACTACATAAGTTTTAATTTACATATACTTATATAATTTGTATACTTATATGAACCACTTCAAATGTGCTAATTTATAAGACTATAGTGGGCAATATAAATCAGTAGTTTTTATTTTAAAGAGATAATCAATATGTTTTTTTAGTTATTTGTAAAATTTATAATAAAATTATTTTATTTGATTGCATACACTATTTTTAGGGTAAATTATGAAATTTGAAATTCATTTTTTTTGTTTTTTCGTCATCTTCGTTGGGTGGGATGCATTTTGCAACATGGGTGAAGAAAATAAAATAATTTTCTACGGTTCTTTAGAGAGCAAATAACAACAATATGTATTACATAATAAGAACTGCTTATTTATAGTAAATTAATTTTTAACGCACAATGGTAATTTATTAGATAATTATATACACCGCTAAACAATATTTTTAACTCGTTATGTGACTTGAATAATATGCGAATAATGAAAGTATATAATTTAGAGCAAAAATTAGAGGCGTATAGAAATTTGAAATCAGTGTAAAGAAAAATGTCATGAGATGGCTAATAAAGGATACAGAAATTCAAAAAATGTAAATAGCTTTAAAAAAAAAAATGGGTCACACAATGTAATGCGGAACTAGGGAAAAATCATGTTTATACGAGGTTCATAATTATGGGAAATACTTAAATTTTTTTTATCAAAAAAGTTTTTCAATTACATTTTTTATTTTGTGGATATCGTTGTTTAAATGTATGTATATAATTTAGGAGTTTTATTTTTGCTAGGACATTACTCATACATTCTTAATTAGTGTGATATTTTTTTAATATTTTATAGTAAACTTAATTTATATTTTAATTTCGGAAGTAGCAAGTTTTTCAAGCAAATAAATTAAATATTTGAGTCAACATTTTGACTATTTTGAACCACATATTTCAGAATACATATAAATTTAATATAGACACGTACATTAAAGAAATCACTATTACATTCATTTGTATATTTACTTTCATTTTCTTTAAATCAGACTAGAGATTAGTTAACAATTTAGAATTTTGGATTCCTTTCTTCTTCATGTATTGCTTCAGTTTTATTAATCAAGTATAATTTAGTGATTTTTATTGACTTGTCAATGCGTGATTCATTTGCTGTAAATTGGTTCATATCGACCGATTTTCCACTTTTTGTAATTAAATGTAATTTCGTAATGACCGTTGATTTATCTTCAATTGTTTGATTTGGAATATTTCTAGTTTTATCAAATATTGGTTGATCTATAACGGATTTAGTTTCATTAAAATTTTTTTGTAAATCTACAGTCTTATCGGAAATCAGTTGATCTGAAGGTTCTACACTTTCGCTTAAAATATTTTGACTCGTGATTCCAACAAGTTCCTTTAAAATTGATTGATTTGCGATTTCTCTAAACTTATTCAAATCTTCATCACTTTCACCTTCTTCAATTTTATTGACAATATCTTCATCTATACTTTTGTTGAAAATTTGTTGATCATGTAAAAATAATGGAAGAGGAAAATATGCTGGTAACCAACTTGATACTAAAACACCCGGTCTAGAATAAATATTTGTTCCGTTACGAAGAGAAAATGGTGGAAAACGAAATGATGGTTGAGATATTACATCGGTAACATTAAATGCATTTTCCTTTTCTACTTCACTATCGTTTGCTTTACCTGAACTGTGATAGATCATAAAAACCTAAAACATTTAATATATTAATATTAATAAAAAAATCAATATTTATAGAAAATAAACACTGCAAAACAAAATAAAAATGCAATTCATGAAACGGGTTTTTGAATTAATCTGTTATATCGTTACAGCTTAGGCAGTCTGTTATATTGCCAAATTATTTTACTGATTAACATATTGCTTGTTTGCTGCAACGCTGGCATAATTAAAACCTACACATTTGAAAAAATCGAACTTTAAGATTTTGGAGTTAATAACTCATAGAAATCGTATTTTTTGTATTAATGTTACTGTTTCAGAATTTTATGGATTTTATTTAATGCGAACAGCTTTGTTGTGATAATCTTAAGAAAAAGTTTTCAAAAAATTTTATAATTTTCGTATAATCCGTTCCCTTAAGTGAAATTGTTCGATTAAAGATAATTTTGAGTTGGAAGGATTTTTTTTATCCAAACCCTTTTAAATTACATACTTTTTATAGTGTGAAATTTCGAAAATAAACAATAAACAATAAAAATTTCTGAAAATTCAGAACGATTGTACTTTTCACTTTTTTTCTTTCAAACATTTTTTTTTTGTTTTAAATTTATACAAATAAACAAAATTATCGGATTGTACATTTTTTGCCGACTTTACCGCTAACTATTCACAATAATTAACTTATAAATTTTCAAATAAATATAATCTACATATACTCACATATACATACATATATACATAATCTCATTGTAATTGTAAACACAAGTTATATTACAAGGGGTGAAACCGTGATTTGAATTTTTATTCGTAATTTTTCTTTTCTTTTTTTATTAGCGTACATATGGAAAATAAACACACAGGTCACAGAATTGAAATTTTTTTGGTAACTCTTTTGTTTGAACAATTTCAAAATTATCCGCTCAATCTAAACATTATACATATGTACATACATGCAGCAAAATTATTACATACGGTTTGTTTCGTAATAGAAAGAACCGCATTTTTAGTATTAAGGAACCCAATTCAATAACAAAATAAAAAATTATTTTTAACAAACCAGTTCCTTTATTTATTTCCGGAAGCAAAATAAAATGTAATTTTTTGTGCACTTTTAATTTTAAATTTTAATATTTATCTTGTGTTATCAATTTCAGTTCAATATTTTTGCACATTATAAATTTCCAATTATTATGAATGAAATAATGTACATAGTATAAAATACATTCATATAACCATAAAACTTTCACTCTTTGGTGCATAAAATCGAGTACCGTTATATATAATATAAATATAAAATATTGTATGCAAATTTTCATAAAAAGGAATATTGTGTAGAAACTTGTGTAAATACAATTGTACGATAACTATAACCGAATTGTTTACTTTTTAAACTACTTTTCGAACCATTAGTATATAAAACTTGGGTAGAAGGTTATATACTAGCTTAACAGTATGTATTGAATTTCTAAAATAGTGTTAATCGTGATGAGCAAAATTTAAGTACCCAACTATCAATTTTGTTATCTGTTATCAATTCTGTTAACTGCACGTTTAAATTTTCAATATTTTATTGATTCATCTATAAGGAAAGCTGTGTAGTAGCTATCATTTCTGTATGTATGTCATCTAAATAAAATTAAAATTCATCGCGTGCATAATGAAGTACATAAATTTAGTCAAAAACATGTTTTATTTAAATTACATCACAAGGTGGATCATAAAGTAAAGCTTAAAACAGGTTATTTTATTTTTATTTCCACTATACGTATTAAACAATTTGCTTCCAAAATTTCAGATTAAATATTGAAATTTTATAAAAAGATTTTTGTTTTGATTTCTTTTTTTATAATGATTAATAAAATTATATAATTTCGAACAAATTTTTGGTAATAATAATCAAAAATAATAATAACGAAAAATAAATTTACCTCCACTATGTAAATTATTAGGAAAACCTTCATTTTTTAATATGATACTCTTTAATTGTAATAGATCCAAATTAAATTAAAAGATGAACATAATATTGCAACATTTCAATATACATATACGTATATATGTACATACATATATCACAGTTTAATAAGCTTTTAACTAATAATTTCAAATATATTATGTAGATAATAAAAAAAGATTTTTGGAGAAGTAACTTTGTTTACCTTTAAACCGTAGTTAACAACTAAATAATTGAAAGAGTAAGAATTGCCAAAAAAAAAGCAAATCATCAAAAAGCATTTATTATAACTCTTTCATTTTTAACCTTTTTCTATGATCTAAGCTTTTTCTATTTTGTAAAATATGTATGTATTTAGTAATTTAATTATAAGTACGTGATCTACATCTGACATGGCTATATTATTTAATTCCATTTTTTTTGCTAAAATCTTAACGATTATTTCGAATATTGTATCTTCTATTTTTTTACATTGAGCTGTTAGAAGTCTTTACTCGATCTTACATTAGATTTACATTAAGTCATATACATATACTCTTCATAATTACACCATATAAATAATTTTATACTTTAAAGAAAAATTATTGTTTTAGCAAAGTTTTAGTTTATTAGAAATTTCTTATTTTTCAATTATCAGTAATTTGACAAGAAGAGAAAACAAATTATAGATATGTGCTATATATAAACGAATGAAAATTCGTTATATATAGCACATATTTTCTATTTAGAATTTTCATTCGTTTATATATAGCACAAAATTAAATTAACAAGACAAAAACTAAAAGTGATACAATTTGGACATATATTTATGTATATAAAATTACTTATCTCTTAATGCCGAACTCTCTTCGTATACATGAAAGTGCGGTATATAGAGCTCTGCATGTAGCATTTTCAGTACACAATCATGCAGTATAATACAATGTTAAAGAGACTTTTTTTAAAAAATTATAATAATACAAAAAATGAAAAAAACAACAAAAAAAATATAAAATGTAATATGTAAACTCTGTAAAAATGTATAATTTTTTTTTTAACTTGAACATTATTAATAAACTTAAATTGCAGTTTTTACAGAATCAAAGTATAATACTGCAATCCAATAAATGCGTAATAAAATATAAAATTTAACTATTTTTTAATACATATATTTAATTTAATACATTTTCGATCAGTTAGTTCAGTGCTGACAGTGTCAATAATAAAATTCAGTAGAATATGGAGAGTATGGAGAAGGCTTAATGGAAACAAGATAAAATTTTATTTTGACATCTCTAGGAGATGATCGTTGATCACTCTCGTAAGATTTTTATTAATTTGACATTTTACTTGCACCATGTATGTACATATGTTAGATAGTGTGTAGATATGTTACATTGGATTTCAATTCATTTTGTTCCGATTGTTTTTTATTTAGTTGGTTTGGTTATTCCGTAAACATATAAAATTACATTAGTGTGAAAGTTGGTATGAATAATTGATTTGGTATTTTTAAATATTTTATTTTGTAAAATTAATTCGTATTTTATAAAATAAACATTATTTTTTTTTAAATTCTTCAGATTAAAGAATTTGAAATACTTTATTTACATTATTTTAGATTATAGGGTTCTGAGAAATAACGAAACTTAAACACACGCATACACACAAAGGAATACACGCATACTCAACACATCAAATCATATTCAGATATTCTTTAGAATATTCGACTATTTTTTACTTTAGTATACAATACTACTTAGAAGCATCATAACAAAACAATTTTCTAGTCTTTTAGTTTTTAATATCAAATTTGATTGCATCAATATTTTGACTATTTAATATTACAAAAAAAAATTGTACTGGTTAGTAAGAATTTTGTATATATTCTAATAAAACAATTAATAGTGCATATTTAAGCTAAACTAAAAATGATTTTGTTTAAAAAAAAAATTTCGGATTGAAAATCATTTAAGATATTACGTAAGTGCGAAAAAATGACAAGATTCGAGCAAACTGTGTATACATATACATATGTGCATACATATGTATGCACATAAGTGTGATACATGTTATTGCCAAATTTGTAAATATTTTCCTTCGAATTAAAATTGATTTTTTAGAAGAAAAAAATTTGCAACAAATAATTTTAAAACATTTAAATTAAAATTACTAAAATGGGATTTTTGTTTTAAATTATCTAGTACTTTTTGTTCTATATGAATAAAACAAGTTTACGCAGGTTAACAAACGCAAGTACTTATACACATTGTGTATGTATTTAATGTATATGTAGGTATGTAGGTATACCTACCTAGCTGCCTACTTTAATTGTTTACACACATTCCACATATTGTACGCATGATTTTATAAGGTTTCTTTAAAATAGAACTAAGTTAACAAATTTAACATAAGCAAATATATAGTTTAATTTTTAATATAACCCGCAGAATTAACATTTAAAAATTAAAATTTCAAGTTAACAAAAAAATTTAACAATAATATAGTGGTTTATTAAAATTAAGAATTTTTTTTTCTAAATTACCTAAAATAGAATCATGGCAAAACCATTATTAAATTCATTCTGTTGGTGTGGATCTCTAAGATTTGGATCAATTCTTTCTGGTTTTCTGGCTATTATACTTTCAATCATTTCAATCGTTTTAATTTTTACAACACGCATTGAATTTAAGACAATAGTCCTGGATTGGTTACCACCAAGTGTAGTTAAAATAATTTTGGCCATAAATTTGGTGATGACAATCATTATATCAACATTAATGATTGTCGGAGTTTTTAAGGTATGTAAATTAACTTTTCTGTTCGAAGCTTTCGTTTATTATATTATTTTTTTAGAGAAATCATTTCTGTATGGTACCTTGGGTAGCATTAGGTATTATGATATGTGTTGGTTTGCTGGTTTCTGTTATTTATACTGCTATAGTCTACTTTATTGATGGTTTAACCATTGTAGGCATATTGTGGTTAGTTATCGGTTTAATTTCCGTTGGTAAGTAGATACTTTATATATGTACATTCATATTTACATATATACATATGTATATGTGTAGAGTAAAGCACTTTTCAACTTGTGGTTAGTGCAAGTATCAATTTTATTTTTTTTTTTTTTGATTAAGCTTATTAAATATTAATTTTTTGTTTGAATAAATTATTTTTAATTTGCGTAAATATATATATGTGACACGATAAAATTGTCCTATGCACACAATTATTTATTCAAATGATCGTCAAAAAATATTTTACATGCGTACACTTCTTCAACAAAGATTAAAACTTCTTAAAAATATCGAATCAATTCGAAAATCGAAAAAAAATAAAAACTGCCATTAAGATATGTTTACACATCAAAACTTTCAAATTGGAGTTATTTTTGATTTTGTTATCTTTAATTTAGCGTTCAGTTCAATTATAATATAGTAATTTCTATTATTTTCCGTCAGGCAAAAGTCTAATGTACAACAGTGTTTACATATAAGACCCTTCAGACTCAGATTAAATCCTAAATTTTGTCGTATGTACAAAAAAATCTGATATTTTTACAAAAAAGTCTGATAATTGGAAACATTTTTTTCTGTTTGAATTTATATTTAGTCAAGATGTAGCATTAGATTTAATCAAATTTTATATTTTAATATTTTAAATTTTTCCTTTCGAAAAATTTATAGAAATAAGAAAGGGAAATAACTGTCAAAGTTCTAAGTATTTTTATAAAAGTACCGCTTTTTTAGTACAAATAATTTATGTATGTTATATATAAATTTACATACATACATATGTATATATACATCTAAGTAATTAAGTAAAAGACTTCTGTACTTCTTTTTTTTACTTTGCAGCACTCTTTACATATAGTTGGTGTGTTGTGTATTCTTTGTACACAATTATGTCAGAAGAAAATCAACGAGGCATTTACAACAAAAGTCCTTATCGAAGGTAAATTTATTTACCCAAGGACACCAAGTCTAATCATCATCACGAATTATTTATTTATATAAAGCAATTGTTAGATTTAATTTAATTTGACTAATGAATGAATTTCATAAATTATACAAAGGTTATTTATATTTATATACATTAAAGAATTTTAAATAACATAATTATAAGTCTTTTTTACTCAAATATATATTTTATTTTTTTAAGAACTAAACAATGTTATAAATTTTTAGAAAAAATAAATAATAAAAGTAACAAAATATATTTACATAAGCTAAAAAGCGTTTCATTGAACAGCTTACACATATATCAAATATTAACGCGTAAAAAAGAGCAGTCTATGAAGATGACAGAAAAAATAAAAAATCTCTGAGTTTTATTTAAATATTGTTTAAAGCGTTTTCTTAATTTTTAAATTAATATTAAAAGAAAGAAAAAAAAAAAACAAATCTTTTAAAGCTCCTTAAAACTTTACATATATTTAAATTGATAATTTACGAACTTGCAGTTTCAATGTAAATGACAAAATTTTAATCGAATATAATGAAATACGATTCAGAGGCCGCAAGAACTAAACACCTATAGGAAGTAGTATCATAAAAAAAATAATTAAATATACAAAAGAATGAAGAACTAAATAATTTTTATACATACAATAAAATTTTAATTGAAAATAAGAAATTAAAACAAATGTCAATTCGTTTTCAAGGAAGTACATTTGTATCAACCATTATTCATTGACCATCCCTGGAAGGAGGAAACGTCAAACCATATAACAGAAAATACATGTTCCATCTTTGTTTTCGCTTTTTACCAATTCAACTAACCTATCAAACAACAGTTGTTTAGAAGATTGAATTAAAAGTATTTAGGGACATAAATTTTAAATATTTTTTTGGAAAATCATAATTTGGAATTCATGGCTAACGTTGAATCAATGGTAGTTGAAGAAAAGCAACCTTCATCAAAATTAGTAGATCGAGAAAAGGTAAGCATTGCTAAATATAAAATAATTAGTTACCCTGAATTTGAGAATTGCATAGTATACCTGTGTTTTGTTTATTTTTCGCCTTGCATTCTTTTCACAAGTATTATATTTTGACTCTAAAACCAGTATTATAAGAAATATTATAAGAAGTGTTCATAAGAATATACATTGGCTCAAGAATTATTTTTTAACATAAATTTCATGAAAGAACCCATTCATGCATACATACATATGTATATAACCTTTGTACATTATTTTAGAATGTTTTCATTTTAATTTATGGTTTTACAAATAAAATATATACTTATTTTGTTTTTAGACATGTCCGTTACTCTTACGCGTCTTTTGCTCAACTGGTCGTCATTCATCAATATCAGAATATGCTCATGGTAATGTGCCTACAAATGAACTTCAAATATACACATGGCAAGATGCTACTTTACGGGAATTAACTTCACTTGTTAGAGATGTAAATCCAGAAACAAGGAAAAAAGGAACATATTTTGATTTTGCAGTCGTATTTCCTGACCCACATTACCGAACATATAGAATGCGTGACATTGGAACGACATGTTCTGGAATCAAAGGGGCAGATGATCTGAAAACTCTAGCTGCTGCAAAATTTTGTATAGGTGATTATATGGACATATCTATAACTCCACCAAATAGAATGGCAGTGCAAATGCGACGTTCTAGACAGTATTAATTATTGGATTTTTTTTTTAAAATAAAGGTAAAAACTCTTCATACTTCAATAATTTTAAAATAAAGATAATTAAAAATAAACTGAGCATCTTATTTAATAAAATCATATACATTGTTCAGTCATTTTCTCATTTTAAATATTTAGTTTTTCACTTAACATAAGTTCAATTTATTTTATTTCCTGTACATAAAAAACTGTTTGGAAGAAGTGGATCTTGGTATGGACAGTTATATTTTAAACTTAGAGCAGTACCAAGAGTTGTAACACTGACCTTATGAATATTAACTTAATTTTGCAGTGTAACTTCAGTACTTATACTGTAAAAGCATCCAACTGTAGTGCAAAATAAGTTCTGACGTAAATTTCGAGAGATAAATTTTTATTTTTTCAAAGTATAAAGTTTGAAATATTATTTATTTTATGAAATAAAATTGAACAAAAAGGGATCATAATTTAAAGAAAAAGTTTGCTCATGATCTTTGCAAAGTTTACGGTTAATAAGGTAGCTATAAAATGTGATACAATCATAATTTAAAAGTAAGAAAGTCACCCATATTTCGTTTAGGGTCGGTATGAATTTTCAAATTTGATTATAATGTTTGTATAATACATATACTATTTGTTGTTCAAACCTCCTTGTAAAATTTTTTTACTAATACTTATCTGACTAATCACTGACTATTGTTAAATGTGTATAATTAGTAAAAAAAGCTTTAAAATGTTATTAAAAATTTAATAAAAGAATATTTTAACGGTATAAAAATAATTTGAAATCGATTTATATTTCTATCATTGCTTTCTCTTTTTTATTTTTTCAAAATCAGAGATCACGTCAAGTGCACCATAATCTTTAGTATCGTCATAGTATGCATAGTCATAACTGGTATCTTCATTAGAGTTATTTTTCTTCGAAGCTGTTTTTGGTTTCTTTGAAGGAGAAAGAGTAGAAATTCCAATTACTTTTTCTGTTGTATGAGATAAAACAGGAGTTGAAAAGAATTTAGGCTTTTCTGTTGTGTTTTCTGATTGCGAATCATGTCGAATAAAACCAGTTGTAGTTTTATGCGTGGTCTCGTAGAAGAATGTATTTGATGTGGGTTGCTTGGGAGCTCCGGTCGAGTTTATAACGAACGGCTTGGGATTGTTATTTTTTCCCGAGAAGTCAGCAAACTGCTTTACTTGTGTTTGCTGAACAGAGTTTTGTTGTTGTGGTTTTTGTTTTTGGGTTATAGGTTCATAATTATTTTCTGGAATTTTTTCATAATTTGAAGATTTTTGCTTAATGAATTCTGGAAGAATGTCATCATAAGATTTCTGTGATCCCCTATTTGTCAACTTGGATCTAACTTTTGAAGTAGAAGGGGCTAAAGTTGTAGTCGACAGCGTTGAAGATGTTGTATGAAATACTCTTGTTGATTGTATTGGAAAATTATTAACTTTATAAGCACCAATGTTATATGAGTTGGAGGCTTTAAAAATTTCTTCCTCTTGGTTACTGTCAGCTTCAGGCACGATTGGACGAGAATAAAACACATTAGTATATGTCATAAAATCCTTGTTATCCATCCGAACAGAATTTGTTATTTCTATTTCATTTTTCTTCTTTAAAATGGTAGTTGGGTTATTATTATATAAATGCTTGTATGTAGTTGGTCTGAAAGTAGTTGGTTTATCTGCATTATTCAATAGAATATTCGATTTTCTCAATTTATCATCAACCGAAGATTTTATAATTTGTGTGCTTAATTTCTTTGCTGCGGATGTTGTTGAGGTTGTTGAATCATAATTTAATTGAATGTGGGGTTTTAATTTCCCAGATGTAACTGCCTTTTGTTTTGTTGTTATGCGTTTATTAGATTGAATTTTATCATATTGACTTCTGTCATATGAAACATCTATGTTTTTATTAGTAGTAGGACCATTTGCATTTCTAGACAAACTGTTTTGAAATTGTTTTTGATTAAATGTAAAAGTTGTGCTTTCAGAAGGTCTTACTTTTGGAGTTGTCGGATCATTGGAATAATCTAAATAAGTAGGAGAACTAGAGGAAAATCTGTTTGGTTTTTTGGTTGTAATCAAATCCGCTCGATAATCTTGAGTCTCCTTTTGGTAATACTGTGTGGAAGTTTGAGGCTGATAATTTCTACCTGTCTTTTCTAAATTAACGCTGTTAATAAAATCTATTTCCTGGTTAGTTAACGTTCTAATTTTATCTAAATTATTATTTCTGGTGTTGACCTTTATATTTTGTTTCGAATATGCCTCATAATTGTTTACTTGAGGGTTTGGTAAGCTCGTATTGTTCTTTTGAGGTCCAATATTGTTAGTATTAGAAACTCTTTTAATTACATCACTTGCTATGTGTCCTGTGGTTTTACGAATGGATTCTGAAGGTGTTCGAATTTCTTTAGGGATAGGTTTCTGTGGGGCATGATTCCTTTGATGCTCTCTGTTAACTGATTTAAATTCAGTTTTAGCGGGTTTTGCAGAATTGTAATTAGAGCTTTTGGTATTATAAAAGTTTTCCTTATCTTCTTTATGGATGTTATAGTCTTCTAATCCTCGATTTTTATTTGTAAAAAAATTTGAGGAATGAGATCCCCTAAAAATTTCATCGGTATTGTCTAAAAAAAAACGAAATTTTTTATAAAAATAGAACTTTGAATTCAAAAGTTTTTTTATGTTTATTTGTGATGTAATCTACCTTGACTCAAATTTTGTAACTTAAGTGGATCTTCTTCTTCTTTAAAACGTGTTTGATTATGACGAATCGAATAAATGTCCTTTTGAACGTTTAAGCGGAAAATATCAAATGCGATTCCATTGCCAAATGAAGCCTGGTGGCAGTCTACATCACCCCAGTCAGTACAAATTTGTGCTTCTTGATCGAATGCTGTTCCATTCGGGCACAAAAAACGAAAATCTTGCACCTTAAAATGAAAATATCATTTTTAAAACTAATTTAATGTGAAAAATAAATTTAAAGTACAAAAGTTTAAGATTTCAAAAATTTATTTAAAATTTGCAACATTACTAAATTTAAATAAATTATTAATTAACTTGAGTTTTTTGGCATGATGATCAAATAAAATTAAATTGAAAACATAGAAAATATTGAATTTGAATAAATTTGAATTAAATTTATGTAATATTTTGAAGACTACTATTTGTTATCAATTAAATACAATCAAACCAAAAAATATAAAAATTATACTTACTCCAACTCCTAAAACTTGAACACAAACGTGAAACATTTGACATTGAGTTTCAGTATCTGCATAATAATTACCCAAAACTTTATTCTTACAATTAAAATTCGTTTGTGGCAATTTTGATAAATTAGGAATCGTTTGCTTAAAGAATGCTTGAGCCTGCAGAACTCCAATTTGCAAACCTAAAATTAAAAATTTTTATAAATTTTTAATTTAAATTTAATAATATTTATGCATTTTGTTAAGTATAAGTATATATGAACGTTTACTAAAATGCAGATCCAACGTTTGCTGAATTTTCTTAACAATAATATTCTGATTATTAAGCAAGACAAATTGACGCTGAACTTTGCTTTTAATTTAGGTTTTATTTTTAGTATGTTTACATATTTGTATTTGTACTTTTTAACATGACTCCAATAGATTTATGAATTGAAAAATAGATTCTGAAAATCTTAAATTTATATACATATGTACGTGTACACATATGTATATACAAATTGTGTTTATTAAACAATGAAAATAGAGGAACAAATTTTGTGCACGACATTATATAATATGCATGTTCGTAATTTTATTAAGAAAAAATGTTTTTAAATTAAAATGAAAAATTTATAAAGAAAGACTTTTTTTATATTTTAATATGTTTAAAATTTTGTCATAGTGTGAATAATTTTTGTATTATGCACTTACGAGTACAATGGACCACTTGGGATTTTTTTTTTAATATTAAATACTTTTTTCTTATTACTCGTATATCTTTATATAATCTAAATTTTCTTCCTACTTTTAATAATATATAAAGCTATTTAAAATAATTTTAGCACAAAATTTAAAATACTATCTAACCAAAGGGTTTTTTAAATTAAACTGGCTATGTTTTTTTATACATATTATTTTATGCATAATATTGTGGCATTCCGTGATATGTTGTTTGAGGTTCATTTCTTAAATAGATGTATGTATGTACTTTGCTTTATCGAAAATTTAGTGCTGTGAGAGATGTGTTTTTCAATGGAAATTATGCATTTTTTGGAGTCGCGCACGGACTAAGTGTAGGCGAGCCGTTTGAGTTTTAATGCACATGAATTATAAAAATTTATCGGCTACGGTTAGCTAAGTACGAGGTTGTTTTTGTTATTATGTATTTTCTTCTACAAACTAATTAAATATATGTTATAATTTATTGATTGTTATTGATTTTTTTAAACTATTTCATTACGAATCATTATTTACCAATCATTATTTGTTTATTTGTCTATTCCTCAAACTACATTCTATACCATATTATACATTCTAGGTACATAATATAAAAATGTACTATTTTCATAATAATTAATTAATAACAATTGCACACTTTTAGGCGAATACTAAACAAAAAACTATTTAAATAAAAAAATTACGGAAATCTTTACTCTCCATTATTCTTTTTAAATTACAGTTTATTGTTCTTAATGATTTGTTAAAGTGAATTCATTAAATACTTAAAAAAAAAACATAAGAATTAAAAAATAATTATTAACGTAATTGTTTTTTTTTTATTTAATTAAGAAGTTAATAATAAATTTCAATTGTTAGAACTAGATTTATTGTACGTGGTTACAAACATTAATTTAAATTTATTGATTGCTAAAATATTCAAGGAAATTTGGTAACTCTTCCATCAGAAATCAAACTTCTTTCATATTGTAATTATTAAACAATATATTATTTCAAATTTATTATATGGCCTTTAAATAAAGTGTAGAGATAATTTTTTTTTATTAATTTCATAAAATTATAGTTAATTCAACGACATATTAACAAGTTACGTAATAAATGAGGTTACAAAAAAATTTTTTTCCGAACAAGTTAAGAAACCTATAAAAACCTTAATTATTGCACATCAATTTACAAAAAAAAAAAAAACAAAGTATCACGAAAGTTTATGAATAACTTAATTTAAATAAAATGAAGTGAAAAAAAAAATCGTAAATTTAACTATATGAACAATTTCCTGTTACTTTTTTTGTAAAGCAGTAGCACATTCACATACATACATATATGCTTATAAATATATATTTATATGTCATAATGATGAATTTTAAAGTTTTTTAATATTATATAAAATTGTGAAATACGCAACTTGCATAAAATTCCCATGAAAATTTTACAATTATTATGACGTATTGGCAAATTTTCTTTCGAATATTAGGATTCATGAATTTTCATTTAGGATTTTATTGATAAATGGCTGATGAGATAAGACGTTATATAGAATAACAATTAAAGGAAAGTAAAGAGTGAATTCAAAATTACAGTAATATAATGTTATGAGTTTATGACCTACAATTCAGCAATTATATATTACTCATAATAAGCTCAAGAAGATATTACATACTCTATGGTCTCAATTTACTCATGATAACCGAAATTTTACTCTTAATGATACACAAAATTCAATTGACGATAATACGAAATGACGATTTAGTTTTTAAAATAAAAGAAATATGATAAAATTGAAAATTGCAAATGTAATTTTTATTTGATAAGTTAGTCGCGGTCATTTACTTTTTGAATAAATATAATCAAATTCACAATTGTTTCACTTGTAAGAAATTCTTAGTTTACAAATACTAAATTTTATTTTCACAATTAAGTAAACTCGAAAATAAAGTCAATGTATAAATTCTGTCAAATTCCCATAAATTTCACGAATCAAATATTCCATATTGTTTTCCGAAGCTGAAGTCTACGCCGAATTGTCATTATAAACAAAAGATTCTACATATACGTACTAAGTTCATTGATCCAAAATGTGGAATTAAAATATAACTGAATGTATTTTTAGTTATATTAAAAAACTCACCCGTTCTTTCGCAAACCGATATTTTGTATCAGGTTATTGATAATAAACCTGATGTAAGAATTTAACCCTATAACCCAATAATTTGTATTACGTTATTAATAATAACCTGTTATTATTTTATTTATTTAAGTAGCAACTTCTCTTTAACAAAAATGGAATGCATAAGCATATCTATATATATATATATAAAAGTTACAAACTAAAAGTAAGTGTTCATATATACAATTTTTTTAATTGTATGTAATGCCATATCAAATATAGGTTTCCGTGAAAATTTTATCTTATGTACCATAGAAAATCTTAAATATTAACCAAAAGAATCTTCAACTGACCTTTAAATCAAATTTTACAAAAATTTTGGAGATTTTACTTTCAAAAGTGAATGCGCTAACATTTTTATATGTACAAATTTCTGTAGCTATTTTATTAAGCATGAAGGCGAAAACCATAACTAATTTCAGATCAAAATATTATTTAATTATTTGTTCTCTATTATATATTCGAAGATGTACAATAATAATAATATGTAACAGAAATAATACACAATATATATTTTTTTCTACAATTAAAAGCATGAGGCTTGCATTTTTGCGAATTATAGTGAGTAATAAAAGAAACTGTTAAATATTTTTAATAAAATAATTCACATAGTCCTTCATATACATACGTCCTTTATAACTAATATTCCATTATTACATATTATATATATATACATATATTTAATGCTATGAAAAATTACGTAATTGTTGCAAAATAAAAATAATTTTGTGCATAATAAAACTTGCAATATTTTTCTAAGCATGCAATGCTTAACATAAAAATCCTAAATTATACATTTATCTATATGTATATGGATGTATACATATAATATAAATTAATTTCATAAAGCCCTGGAGTTATTTTATGTTTGTTTGAAAAAGCATTTGAAAACGAGTTTTCACTTTTTTTTTTAGTTTTATTTACCAAAAAATAAAAAAAAGAAATACGAAAAAACAAAAATAAAAGAAAATTACAAATTAAAATAATTGAAGATGGGCCATTTTCCAAAATAGTTATTGGCTTAGCTCGCAAAAAAAATGATAAGTAATACAGAAAAAAAAAAGAAATATCATGAAAATTTTATTGACGTGTCGTCGATGATCATGAAATCCATTCTATTTTGGATTGACGTGTCGAAAAGCAAAAAAAGACAAAATACTTCTCATTTTCCCTTTTCATTTATTCGATATTTAAATAATTAAAAATTCCAATAAATCGATAACAACCTAAATCGATAACAATGTAAACGTTATAATTTTTTTTCTCAATTTATTTCACTTTCAATTTTAATTATGAATTAATTTATAAAGCATCAATAACTGTTATATGCATATATATATATGTATATTCACTTAGTTCCGTTACTTTTGAAGCTTCAATGACAATAACTGAACAGGATACATACTCGTACCGTACATATTTAATATTCTTATTGAAAAAGAATCGATTTTTACATGAAGAAAAACGATTTTATTTTAATAAAAATGAATAAATGAATATTTGATTAAAAGACATAATAGCTCATATATGCATATATAAACAAAAGTATATCATTTAAATGCATAACCGTCAAATACAAATATATATAAAAATTGTTTAAAGAAGAATAAGGAGTGCAAATACATTTCTTTAATAAATTTATTCATTGATCATCGTTGTAATGGGTGATCATCATCATTTTTTTTTGTGTTTAATTTTTTATTTTTCAGACCATCTATCAGCTTGTTACAATATTCAACATTAAATAGATACAATTTAGTTTTTGATTTCATCCTGAAGCTCCTCATGTGTCGAAGAACATTTTTAAATTATTGATGAATTTAATTATGAAAATTTGTGATATATATGAAAAATTTGTTAAATGAATAGTAGTTTTTTTTTCTTTATATTAAAGGTTATTAATATTTGTTGTTTATTTTTCTTTGTTAATATTGAATTACTATTATGAATATATGAAAATTACTTGTATCCTAATTTTTTAATTTATAGATATTGCATATTAAGCTATACTATTGAACACAATTTTTATAGTGATCTGACCGGTGTTGGAACTCGAGACTCTTCGGTTAAAGAACCGGTGCCATACCACAGCACCAATGATAAGTTCCATTAGAAATAATAGATTACCTAAAACATAATCGTGATCAACCCTTAAATAAAATTATAAAATAAATATCAACGGTTGACAATTTAATTCCAAAAAAAAAATTTGAATATTTTTTCTTAAAATTTCAAAAATTAAATGCTTCTATATAATATCACCCGTTACAAGAAAATATCAGTAACTGTAATGCTGATGTTGTACAATGTAGTACATATTATGCATGCATGCAGGTATACGTGTACAAATTTTTATAATAAGGTATTGAAGTTTTTTGTGTAGACAAACGTATGTATACATAATTATATGTACATATATTTGTACGTTAATCAATTACTGTACATGATTATTTTCATATACATATTCATTCATACGCATATACATACATATATGCATATACTGTAAGAAATTTCAAGGAAATTTGACAAATTAAATTTAATTTGCTATAGTAAGAAACAAGAACAAGTAACAAGTAAAAAAAAAATGTTACCATAATAATAGAAAATAATTAAATGAATATGAAATAAATTTGAATCAAATTAAATTTTTGAAATTTATTACTTTTGAAAAGAAAAACTAAAAGAGTGGTTTTTTTTTGTATGATTTTCATTCGTGTTAATTTTCAAATCACATTAAAACTACACAATTTATTATTATAATCAATTAAACATAAAATAAGAATACAAAATACGAGTATTATGTATAGATCATAAGACATGGTTTTTTTTTTTCTTCTTCTTTTCCTATATTCTCATCGTCATACTAAAGTACTTATTTTATTTAAAAGTATTACCTACATAAAACATTATTTCTTATATATATTTATAATAATAAAATAAATGTGTTTAAACGTTAGTAATAGCGCATAACAGCAGTGATCTTATAAGATGATTACCGATAGATATATCCATATACTTATATACATATATGTATATATATACAATTCAAAAATACACCTTTAATGTTGGAAAAATCCCCCCATCCTTTTATTTATTTTGTTTGTATATATGCAATGTAATAAATTTTTATACATAGATGTGATCATGAGAAAAATTTTTGAAATATTTATAATTATTATATATTATAAGCATTATAAATTATATTTGTAAGTATGTATATATGTGAATTTAATATAGGTACAATGAATTCATAAAATAAATTCACATAGTTTTTTAAATGAAGAAGAAGAATAAAAAGAAGAATAAAAAAAAGTTTAATTTTAGGAAAACATCCAGCAAATATGCATATAGGTACATAATATATATATATATAAAAATTACCACGGTTACAATTATTTTTTAAAAATTTTGGATTATTTTAGAAAAAAAAAAATGTTATTGGAACATAATTTTATGCAATTCATACAATTTATATGTGAAGTATTATGTAACGAAAAAATATTCATAAATTTGATGCTAAATTTCATTAGAACTGTACAATTAAATTATAATTGAGTGGTAAAATAAATAAAAAATTAATTTTCTACTGTTTAAATATACATAAATAAATTCTTAGAATTTATAGTTGGCATTTAATTTCGAAAAAAAAAAAATTATATACAATAAGATTTGGAATTTGACTGATCTCACACCCATATTTCATAAATATATACATACATATATAGAAAATCCAAGTGATTCGAAGTCAATATTGTAATCGTATTTCACTATAAAATATTTATAAAAATTTTTGAAATTGCTTTTTAACAGAATATGTCAGTTAGAATTGGTAACACCATTCTTTTGTTTTTTTTTAATAAAAATTTGAATGCAATCAGGGGTGTAAAAAGGATTATATGGTACCTTAGAGTGATTTTAATTTTGTTGTTATTTAATTAAGGAATTTAATAAATATTTTAAATAAATTTAATATTTTTTTTAATATCAATTTTTTTTATTTGATTTTATTAATTCTAAATTGAAAACTTACCAAAAATTAACAAATTTCTTAAATCCACCATCCTCATTTTTATTTTGTATGTTCTTTCTTAATTTATTAAGACAAATAAAAAATTTATTCTAATATTATAAGACTTTAAGATAGAAAAAAAACAAACAAGCTACCAATTAACACATATGTATTTTAACTTTTGTTTAAAACAAAATTAACTATTAAATAATTTTTAATAATTTCAAATATCTAGGATTCTTTTTAATATTTTTTCTCTATGTTTCGTTTTACTTTGTGACACCTTTACTAAAACAAAGGGAATTTTAAAATTTTACTTATAGAATTTATAAAAAAAAAATATTTTTAACACGCGTTTCCAACAAAAATGTACATATATAAATTAAATTATAAATTTTATTTGCTCCTATATTTTAATATATACGTATATAAATATTGCAGTAATTTTTTTTTCACTTTCAATTGCTGACTTTAACTCTAAGACAGATTTTGTGCTTATGTTCCAATAAAACTTTGTAATTACTGCTTTTTCATATGATCATCAAATCAAGTTAATTGAAAGAAGAAAAAAGAAGAAGAAGTAAAAACAATAACAAAAATAAAATTAAAGGAGAATGTAGAGAAGACCCTGGGCCTTTTTTCTTATATTGTGTTTCTTTTATTTCTTTTGTTATTTTTTTGTATTTTATTTCTTTTTTTTTTTTTGTTTTTTTTTCCCTATCATTTTCTTCTTTTTAGCAAATTTTCAGAAATTCAAATAAAAAACTTATTTAATAAAATAAATCGTTTATACTTTCGTTCGTCCATATTTCGTTTTGCGAATTAATATATGTAAAATTGCGTTTTTGTTCAATATACTCGTATCAGCGGCTAGAGATTTTATTAATATGAATATAGTAAGTATGTTAACAATTCAACTTATAAGAGTTGGCCGGTTGCGATTGTATATAAATACAGTATTTCAGCAATCCAAATCATAGCGTAACTATAAAATAAAAATAAAATAATTTGATATATGAAAATAACGAAGCAATAAAGAATTACATATATATAAATACATATACATATACATGCATCAAGCCAAGAGTGGTCAAAAAATAATTAAGTGTTGAAAAAAGAATATAACGGAAATAAATACAGAAGAAAAATAAAGTTTAAACAGTTAATTAGAATATGCCAATACTGCGTTCATTCAACTCTTTAGCTATAATTGCTAAATCTTGTAGCAATTCGGTATTACAATTCGGTATTGATTAGATACAACAGCGAAACAGTAGTTTGATACAGTATATAAGATAATACAGTAGTTTGAAGAGTTAAACTTCTTTAAGAAGAACTATTATCTGATAATACGGTTTTGGGTATTAAACGCCATCTGAAAAATACTACCAATTGAAAAATATTAAGTTTGAATACAATCAGACATTTTACTTAAATAAATGTAAAACTAACTTACAATCTACTTTACTCAATATTTAAAATTGTATTTTTGAATAAATCAAGTTGACGTTAAATTTGCATTGTGTTTTTGTCCTTCTTATATATTTACATATTTGGATAATTATTTCATACAATTTTTGCCCAAGTATATCAGATTTCCATTTTTATAAAATAAAACTAAAACGCACGCAGGTACCAAAACTTTAAAAATGAAAAAAAAAATATTTGTGTAGTTTTTAATCATAAACACATATAGGTATGCAAGTATGATTAATTAAAAACCTATGACCTGTTCGGAATATTCTACAATAAGTTGAGATTAAATAAAGTTCAAATTAAATTGAAAACTTGTGTACATACTTATTGCAAAAGTAAGATAAAAAATAGAAGTTATAGAGAGCTTATTTCACCTTGATAAAAATGGACTTTTAATAAAAACCTAATTTTTCTGATAACTTTTTCATTATCTCATACACAACTATTACAGAGATACATACATGTAAATATGTATATATGAATATATTATTTCTAAAAAACTATGTTTTTAAACTATGCTACTATTATTCATTTATTATAGAGAAGATTTATACCGAATACAATTTAGATTCATATAATTACATAAAATTTTAATACTACTATAAGTTCGTTAAAGATACAAGTACCAATATGTATGTATGTAATGCATTGTATGAATCAATAACACAATAATATATAAGAATTACAAAAAAAAATAAAGTTATCTTAACAAATTGTTCAAGCAGATAAAGATAGATACATCTGAAAAATTTTAAAATAAAAGTAAATATATTTATATATGTACATACATTATATATACCTGCAGTAACTATATATATACTTACACACAAACTTTGCAAAAATTAGATGGATTGGTTCATACATTTTGTTCTTCTATAATACCAAATTTAACTCTTCATTTTTAACTACATATTTTCTCAAGCATATTTTTATACATAAAATTTTCTATAGGAATTTTCTTACAAAATTTTTATGTATGTACATATTTATATACATAATTATACACCTTTTAAGCCAGTAATGATAAACCTTATTAGATAATTTATGAAACAAATAAAACGAATTTTATGTAAAGTTTTATTACAGTCAAATTATTCGGTATTTGGAATTAAAAGTATTAATAAAATATTAATATGAATATGTACATATATTTTAAATTATATTTATATACGTATGTGAAACAAACTTCAATTATAACATAAAAGTGAAAATATTTTATAAAGTGACTTCAAGATTGCAGTAATACCATTGCAACATAATATAACAATAAGGAGTTATAAGCTAAATTGTATATCAATATAGACCGTAGTTTTAAAGTTAGAAATATTGTGGCACAAAAGGTCATAATTCGATTTTCAAAAGGATATAACGGTAAAAACTTATTCAACGATAAAAAAAGCATGTAATTTTTATTCAAATCTTTAAATTTGCATCTTGAAATTACATTTCAAAAAAATTCTTGTAAATATAAAAAGTAAGTATTTGAAAACTTTAATTAAGTATTAAGTTTTCAAAATATGCTCCAAAGGTTTTCCATTACTGAATACTATTGTAGAAAAATTTTAAATTTATTCAATACAAACCTATTGCATCTATACTAAAAAGTTGAAAAGAAGAAAAAGCAAAAAAAAAAAAAAAAATACAAAAACTAACTGATTATGACGATGATTTCGTGAAATAGCGGTTAATGTAATGGTGCTGGTGTGGGAACGCATTATCTTTGGTTCAAAAAAATTTACTTCCATAATAATTTTTTTTTCTTAAAATGTTCACAATACGCTACAATAATATATATGCATAACAACATGTTTATTTATAAATACTCTTTATTATAAATAATCCAACTAATAAAAATGTTTTTAAAAAGGTATGAAAAAACAGGTTTTTTTTTTCTTTATTTTGTGTGGTATATGTATGTACAATCATCATATACCCCAGTAGACGTGTATTAAAATTCTATAATCTCGTTAATATAATTAACTTGATGTACATACATAAGTATATATTATGTAGCATAGATCGCGCTCTTTGAATAGATCATGCACAAAACTTTAATGCATAGAATATTTAATTTTGGTTATATTTCTATGTGTCTCTTTCAAATTATTGTAAGCTTTTAACTATTTCTACCCCTACTTTTTTTAATTTTGGTTGTGTAAAGTATCTTACCTTTAGCTAAAGTTAATACATAATCTAGTATGTACCTATTTATTATATTATTTTTTCGCTTTTATAGTCTTCTTCATATATTGCAGAAGAGAAGTGTATTGAGAAAGATATCTGCTGCCAAACATACAAATACATATAGTACTTACTTTATGCATATAAGAAAAACGAGAAAAATTACTGGATCTCCTTAACATTTACATTTGAATCTTATACGCCAAATATGTTAGAAAATTCCCTCCAACATTTTTTTTCTGGTAACTTCTTTTACAATCACTTTATTTTTAAATATAAATAATACTTACATATATTATATTAATTTTCATCTTTATTATATACATTTATACATATATGCAGGTGATTTAAGTAAATTAATGTAAGTAAACAATATAAGTGTAGATATATTGTTTACTTACATAACATAGAAGCTTTAAACAACATATTTTCGCTTTGAATGAGTTCTAAGTTCGCAGCAATTTTTTTTTTTTGAAATTTCGTAATTTCTTAAAAAAAAATAATAACAATATTATGTGTGAAATTATTAATTGATTTTTTAATATATGTCGAATATGATGTGGTAAATTTTATCCTTCTTGAAGATTTTTTACTATTGTGATTTTTATGGTACCAATGTATGCACCTACATATATGTACATATATTTATTTAGGTATCACAATTTCAAACAAAGGTCATATCATATTTTTAATTTAATTTCGAACTCCATGACTTCTTATTATTACTCTGAGTTTAACTGAAAAATAACAATAATGGTTGGAATTAGTACAATATGATTTTTTAGATCAACATGTTAGCATTTTTAATGCACATTTTAAAAAAAAAATTGTAATGAACAATTTTCGAGACGTTACATTTGATGATATTTAAATGGTTTTTGATTAATTTCAAATTATAATATCTTTATCGTATATAAAAATTGTTTAAAAAAGATTTACGCTATACGAATTCAAACTGCACAATTGACAATACAATCGCATAATATAGAACATAATACAAAAATACATTTGAATATATATATATATATATATAAATATATAAATATATATATTTAACATATATAAATATATATATATATATATATATTCAGATTTATTTTTGATACATACATACATAAAGGTCTGTCTGCTATAAAAAAATTTTTAAAAACTTTATAAAACTTAGAAAAACTTTATAAAAATTTTGTACCAATACTTTTTGAACAAAAAAAAGAGAAAATGATGACGTTTCATTTTCTCAATGCTTAAAGTGTTTTTCAAATTTTGTAAAGTAAAATTTAGTGTTTCAAAAACTTTTCAAAATCTTAAAGCTGTCAAAACAAGTTTTTCTTGGTTATGTCAGAAGGTTTTATATTTCAAAAAAATGCTTTTATTAATGATTAACATTTTTTTTAATTAAAAATAAAATAAACAAAATGAATTAACAAATGGTTTTTTCTAAGTTTCACAATGTCATAATTCAAAATCAAAATTTCGGGTTTTTGTATAACCAAAAAATATTTGTCCTTTTTTGATAAATCTTTTGAAATTTTACGTGTATCACATATTTATTAGTTTTTAAAAATATTTTCAACTTTTCCGTCTGTTTTATTTTTTTTTTAAATGGGCATTTTTTTTTTGCGAGAAATTACGCCAAAAATTTCTCTTTTTGAATTTTTTTTCCAGCTTGAAACCAGACACAGCTTTTAAGGTAGCAATTTTAATAGTTGAAATAAGTCTTTTCAGAAAAATTCCAAAAAAAATTTTTGAAGATTCATCGTAAAATTCTTTTCAACAAACAGAGAAATGTAATTTTAAAGATTCATCGTAAATTTCTTTTCAATTATTAAAAAACAAAATAAAAATTTGCCGAAGATAAATTTAATAGTTTTTATTTTTCTAAAAGTTACTTAACATAGTTACTTAACAAGTTAATTAACATAGTATTTATATTTTATGGCAAATTATAATTATTTTCACAGCTTATTCTAATAATTTTTTCTGTTGTTCGGTTTGAATCATAAAGAAGCATAATCAAGATACAAATATCCACTTCAAAATTCAACAACCACAAAAATTTTTCAACTATGCAAAGTAAAACCAGATATAAATATTGTATTGTAAAACAACGCGAGAACGCAGCATTCTGATTATGTTTTAATTTAAAACGTCAAAATTAAACTTTTAAAGTAGGTTAGTTTAATTTCTCTGCAAAAATTTTATAAACATTTAAGTTAAAATAACAGAGATAACAGGAAAAAAAACAATGTTCCTAAATTTGGCTAAAATATCATGGGAATACAGTATTAAGAAGATGGAAAAATACTGAATAGCAAAATGTCGACAATTAATGTTTTGGGAATGTTTTGAGCAGTGAACAGCTGATTTTTGTTTTGGTAATAATATTCATAGAATATTGTTAAATTTCAACGTAAAGTCTGAAGTAATTTCAGTCCGACATGTAAACAGTCATCAAACTTTATTGTAATTTTAATCTTACATTTTGTTGTACATGTTAACAGTACATTAGAAAATATTGATTATCGCCATTTAACTTTGAAGAAATCCAACAAAAGTGCAATAATTTTTGTTAAGACTCATTTGAGTATTCTGTAGGGTTAATCTTAATGTGTACATGTTTGTTTTGTCAAATTTACACAGAGCGGAGACATAAACATATTTTTATTTCAATGATTTAGTAGAACAACATTTTATTCAAAATCGATTTTATTGAGATTATAGCGACAACCCTGAAATAAAGGTGTAAACATAATCCTCCTCAAAGGGAAGAGTTTATGCAACGTAAATTTTTTCCGATTTAGTATTTTCGGGTTTGAACTTTATTTAAGTTGTTAAATAATATAGGTATGCAATTAAAATATTGCTGTTTTAAGCTATTGTCATCATTTCCACATAGAACTATACGGAACTTTTCTAGCACAGTCATGGCTCAAGTGAAGGTTTGTTATATAACAAATACCTTTTTAATTTCATTAAAAAATTTGTAACTTTTATAGGTTGGAGATAAACTTCCGGCAGGAGAACTTTATGAAGACTCACCAGCAAATAAGATAAACATTAATGATGTTTGCAATAATAAGAAAATAGTCATTTTTGGTGTACCAGGTGCATTTACTCCAGGATGTTCAAAGGTTTGTGTTTTTATTATTTTATGAAAAACTTTTGCGTATTAGACTGAAGAAACAAATATATATTTTTGCAATACATTGTATTCAAATTAAGTATATAAACCGGCTAAAGTTCGTCTTAGGAAAATTCGGTAATTTGCTATATAATACATACAAATGTATGTAGACATAATATATACATACATATCTACTTAAATTGCTTATAAAATACGTAGTGCAATATTTAAATTTGTATTGTTAACACTATGCAAATATTTAAAAGCATAGTCATTTTCGTCAAACATGAATTAGTCATTCTCTGGATCGCAGTAATTAAATGCCGAACCCAGCTAATAAATTGATGGAGATAAACTTGATATCGGAATTGCGATTGTATTGAATTGCTACACGTATCCGTTTATACGTTTTAATTATCGAATTGGGTTGAGGCAATACTGCTGTTTTATTGTTTATTGTTAGCAGCATATTGCATACATTAAAATTACATTACTATTTTTGATTTAACTCTTGTCCATGCTCAAAAATTTGTACATTCATATTATCTAGCACTGTAGACTGTAGATTTTGGATTACCAAAGAGATATGGACAAAGGAATTCCTTTCCTCCGACTACCGCAGCAAACCATGGCTTATTGTACTCTACCATACAACTATAACCTACTATATTTTGTATATGCTCAATATATATAAAGAGAAAAGATAACCTCGATCGTAGGTTATCTTTCTCATAGTTTGAACCCATTTAGAAAACTTCTGGAACGCAATAAAATCACTATCATACATACATACGAGTATATACACTTATAATTTTTAGTTTAAGACATAATTTTTTTTTTATTTAGACTCACTTGCCTGGTTATGTAAACAATTCAGATAAAATAAAATCTGAAAATGGCGTTGATGAAATTATCTGTGTCTCAGTAAATGATCCGTTTGTAATGTCCGCATGGGCAAAAGAGCATAATGCTGCAGGAAAAGTGCGACTATTGGCAGATCCAGCAGGTAAGAGATTCTCATATTTTATTCATATACATGCTTAATTTTGCCTTTTTTTTAGCATCTTTTGTAAAAGCACTTGATTTAACTGTTAATCTTCCTCCACTTGGAGGACTAAGATCAAAAAGATTTTCAATGGTAAGAAATTTCGATATAGATATAAATATTTCAACTGAATTTATTGTTTTTTAAAGATTGTTAAGAATAACGAGATTGTGGAATTGAATGTAGAACCAGATGGAACTGGTTTAAGCTGCTCATTAGCTGAAAAACTTGGCGGAAAATAAGCAATTGAAGATTATTACATTTTGTTGTTTGATTGTACGTAAAGGTCACCAGATCAATAGTAGTATAATATTAAAATCACATAAAAAATTCCTTAAGCAACTAAGTGTTTATAATTGAAAGACCAAAGTAAAGCTATCAAAAAATCCTGATTGGATAATCTTCGAACTCCAGAGTGTATGAAAATCTAGATTTCATTAATTTTTCTAAAAGAATAGTCTAGATTTTATCCAATTTTCAGTTTTAAATGTAAGTATATATAAATTAGAAGCTAACAGAAGACCTGCGAATTTTTGAGAATATTAATTTCAAAGACATATCTATAGTGTGGATGTGCAATTTGCATTTTCATTAATACAAGCGAAGTTTATTAATTGGAGAATATAAATTTACTTTGCAACTGCTTTAGTTTATATATTTAATTCTTAAATTTTTAAAAGTATATCATTTTATTTGAAAAATTTGTTTTAAATTAAAAATTTATGATTGGTACGTATAATTAGTAAGCCAAATTTAGCTTCCATATAATCTTTTCATTTTAATTTTGTCGTTAATTATGTAATTATAGAAAATAAAACCTTTACTTTGAAACAATTAATTGCTTTTATATTATTTTTAACTCCTATATAACTTGGGAATTTTTCTAAAAGTTGCAAATGATGACGAAAAAGCAAATGTTAAGAAATAAAAATAATAAACTTGTTATCTTATTTGCTTTGTAACGATAAAGTTAAAAATGAATTAAATATTTAACATTCGTAAAAATTGAAGAAATTTGAGGGAGTTGCTTATCACTTCATAAAGACCAAACGCAAATATTTTATAGCATTTTTTTTTGGTCGGTAAATTTAGACTGCTTCTCTATTAAACTGTAAGTATGTATTAACGCGTGTATATTAAAAAGATAAATTATAAAAGTAAAATTAAAAATCACATTTTTTTAACATTTTATGATTAATTTTTTTTAAATACAAGTAAATAACATTACCAAGAAATTTTTAGAAATCTAATACAAAATACCAAGAAATCAGAATATTAAGTTAAGATACAAGTATAGCAAATTGATGGAAAGTATTAAAAAAACTATTAAAAATTGTATATTACATCAAAATTTAATTTAGATGATAAACATCTTATCACATTGGAATTTCTTTACTAAAATGTTTATTTTAAATTAATTAGGCGCATAAAATTCATCATAACTAATTTTGTTAAAAACATTAGAAAGAATGCTTGTTAAAACATCTCCTATAGCTGCATGTATACTTGGTGCTAATTCAGTCCAAACATCTTTCCAATTTTCGTTAAGGAATGTGTTCATATTTTCACCTAATTCTTTGTTTCCGTTAAAAAGGTTTTCTAAACGCATGTGAAGCCTAAAAATTCAAATATTTAATATTGAAATATGAAAAATTAATCTTTATATATTATGTAAGTATCTAAATAATTTCTCACCCCTGTGGTTCCAAAAGAACTTTAACCTTATTTTCAGTAAAAAGAATTTTCCCATCTCTATTTAATATAGTTGGCTTAAATTTAATTGAAGCTTTCACATTGGTTGCAACTATATTTTGATCTCCTTCACCTTGTATCGGTAGTATTAATATACGGCCATTTGCTTTATATTTACTTTTTAATTCTAATTTCGGTATTACACCATATATTTCGAATTTGCTTTTTGATGGATCACTTGAAAATCCAACTGATTTTTCGATTATTGCTTCTGGTAAACCACGAAGTTCAACATCTAGGAACATTAAATCCAAATTTAATGCGTTCGCATTATTCGAATCAGATATAATGATTTTTTTAATTTTGTATGGATTAATATTCGGCAAACCAATATCTTCCTTTCCATTGGGATTATTTCTTAACAAATCAGTTATAGTATTTGATATACATGCCACATCTTCTGCTTGACATCTTTTGACATCAGAAGCTAAATATATTAATAATATTTTGAATTATTTTCATTAGATTTTCAAATGTTTTTTTTTTAACTTACGAAATTCCGCCAAACCACTTACTATAATTGACAGTAAGGCGAATAAAGTTATACTGAATTTTTTAGACATAACTAACAAATAATTTTGCAAGGATGTTTATTATAATTAATTAATACTGCAGGATAATATAAATTATATAAAAAAAAAATCAACTCAAAATTTATTTTCACCCTTTTTTGAGGTAAGATCTTTCACAAAATTAATATTTAAATTGTGAAACAAAGCAAAATTTATTTTATTATATAGTTTTGAGTGCCTTCAAATAAAAGAATAGATATGCATACGTAACTAAATAATTATACAAAACATATAAAATGAACCTGAAAAACAAAACGAAAAACTCATTCTAAAAAGATTTATTAGATTTCCGTAAATTTTGTGAATTTTTAATAATATGTACATAAATAGCGATTCATTAAAACTATTAAATTGTATTCTTTAGTCCAAGAGGTTTATTAATATATGTAGGTTTTATTGGTAAATTATAATAATATACTGGTGAAAAATATAATTATTTTCAATGTATAATTTGATAGTTATCTTTTGCAAATTAATTAAATATTTTATCGTCAATAATTTAACACAACTTTTGAAAAAAGATTGAATGAATACACAGATACCGTCTACAAATTTGTCATTGGAAGAAATTAAAATTTGTTTCTAAAATTTTTGTGTGATTTATTACATGAGTTTCTTACTTTCCTGATCAAAAGTATATTCAAAATATTCTTAATAAATAAGGTGAATTAAAATTAATTAGAGCAAATTAATTAGTGCTTAAGGAAATGCACGTCTAACAATATTTTCTTAGCAATTAATATTGCACTCTTGAACAAAACAAGATGACGTTAGATCTACGCTTTCGTAGGTGTTCTTACTTTTAAGCCAATTATTGAAATTAAAAAAGAATTCTCTAGCTTTGGTACGAGAACAACATTTTTAGGGAATAAATTTACTTTGGTGTGAGAATATCTTTTCTCTTTTGAAAAATAATTTGTAAAACATTCTTTTATTATTTCTAAATTGTATGTTGTAAGATATTATTTTAGAAAAGTATTGGTCGGGAACTACCAATGGGACATCGAGTTAAGCAAAATAAAAAAAATTATTCTTAAAATTACTAATTTTGTTGATTTTTATGTAAGTATTTGCAATTATAAAAAATGTTAATAAATTTATTATTAGCAAATTATTGTTATAAGCTCTTTTACTATACATCGAATTATATTATTAGTAGTTAATAATACTTTATTAATTAAAAAGAATAATTATTATTTTAGAACCTTTATTTTTTTGTGCTAGTAGTCTAAATTAAGTTTTGAAAACTAGATGAAGTCTAACAAGTTTTTTTTTTCCTTTTTGTACTTTAATCGATCAAAATACCATTAGTTACCATTTAATTAATTTATTTTTTGTAGGGTATTATATTTTTTGAAAATTAATCAAAGGTTTAGATTATCATTAAACCCCATTACTTGTACAAATGACAATAAAAAATTGATATTTTATTAAAGGTAGAAATTTTGGTTACTTTTGTTTTGTTTTGGAAAGTTTTTTAAATTAATTTTTTATTCAAATTCAAATAATTAATTTATTGAATTAAATAAAATTAATTGAGTCATTGAATTAACCGAATTGTTTATTTTGTAATTTATTCTGGTAGTCGTTATTATAACAACATATGTGGAAAAGCCGTGGTCCTCTACCAAAATGTATACATTTTGACATCAAGTTTACATTCTACTTCTTACAAAATATTTTCGTTAGTATGGAGATTAAAATAAAAATTTCTCGTTTTTGTTTTGTTTATTTTAAAAAAAATTATATTATTGAAAGAATTCCAAAAAACTAAAGCTTAAGCCACAATAAATTAATTACCTGTATCTAAAGGGGAGTTCAAATGTAAAAATGTATGGGGAGTTTAAATGTAAAAATGTAAAAAATTAGATTATCCCATGTTAGACGATTTTATTTTAATAATGAGATTTTTAGCTAAAGTAAGTGACACTAGATCGAAATTATAGCTTCAAAATTATATGCTGTATATGCCGAATATTTTGGCCGAAAACTATTAGTAAGAACTCTGAATAATAACAGATAATGAATCTATCGTCACGCAAATATGAAGCAATAGGAAAAGTGGGGTTGGATCGGTCAGACTCCAAGGCTCCACGAATCAAGGAAGCCCGGTCGCCCCAGAAATCCTGGCGCAGATTTGTAAGAACGAAGCTAGAAAGTGCAAAATGGCATCAAATTAATGAAGTGGTTAAAGAAAATTACATTAAATGAAAACAGGGATTGTTGTATGGAATTTTCTGAAAAACTATCTTACAGTTGTAAGCAATTCTCCATTGTTTGTCTTAAAAAAATAATTAGTGTAATTTAAATTTGTGCTTTTATTCTGTCTTATAACTCATAAAAAAAAACTTGTTCATGATTTTAACAAAAAATATTTTAATATAAAAAAATTATTTTATTCTCGTCATATCATTATAAAAATTATTTACTAAATTTTGTATTGCTTAGGTCAAAACTTTGCTCTTTTTTTTTTCTTTTTTGTTAACATCTTAGAAAATTAATGATAGATGAGGGAGTAATGTGTGATAACAAAAAAAAAAAGAAATAAATGGTTGAGAAGATGTAAACAAGTTTAAAGTTTTTTTTTTATTTCCAAGAAAAAAAAATGCTTATTCTGGAAAAAGAGGTTGATTCTATGGAAATTAAACAAAATTTGCCTATCATACTTTTAAATAATGTATTAAAAAACAATATTAGTTTTTAATAAATTCAATTAGAATTTAATCTATAGTTTGAGCTTCACTTAATTACAGATATTTTCAATCTTATAATTGTTATATTAAGATTTATTTTAAATCTTAAGAATTTTTTGCACAAATAATTTTCATAAAAGCATAGATTTTATAACATAATTATGTAGTTATAAGATTTTTAAGTTCAATCTAGAAGTTAAGCGAATCGTATAGATTTAGTTGAGTAAATTTAGCGGTTCCATAATTATTTTATGTTGATATTGAAAATTGAACTGTCCTTTTTTTGGAAAAATTCTAAAATTAGAATGATAATTTTGTATTAAAATAAGGTAAAAGAATAAATTGAGGACACAAAATAATTTTATATCCAAGAATATATTTATGCAAATAAAATATTTCTTTATTTAAAAAATATACCTATGTACCTATAAATATTCCTAATCAATTATTTATGAATGTCAATATCACATACTGTGCTGGGAACATCACATAAGAATACACCTCTCGTTTAAATGTTTCTCGAAATTAAGATTCAGGAATGATCAAAAAAAATTTATCTATATTTTGATTGCATTCTATCATCGGCTCTTTTTACAAGCAGGCATTCTTGAATATGAGGAGATCTGGAATAATTATAATTGTAATTAATTTACAAAACTTATTTTATTTGTTTGATATTTTAAAGTGCGCTATTCATTTTAAATTATTTTTAATTTTTTTGTTTATTGGAATTTTCTTGAAATTTAAATTTTTTCCAATTTATTATTAAACATTACATAAACTCTTTATTTTCGTCATACTTTTTTACTTATTTCAGTGACAATTTTACTCAATTATTAAATGTCATATTTTTCTCAAAATTTTTAATGTTCGAAATTTTATTCTTTTCCAGAGTTAAGCTAATTTCGAAAATTCTAATAATATTGTAAAAAAACTTTTAAATACATAACATTTATGTATTTAAAAGTTTTTTACATGCTTACATAAGTTTTACATGCAATTTAACGAAATTATTCTAAAAGAGAAAATAAAAAATTTATGAATGTTAAAATATTAAATTTATTCAAGTTTAGACGCCACAAAATTTTTTATCAATTTTTTTTTTCTTATTATTGTACAAGCTTTCCGTGTTGGAAGCTACAAATTATAATAATATTATCGTCATAATTTTTATTTTTATTTAATTAAAAAAACAAATATATTTATTATATTTAATTTTTTAAATATTGTTATTTATTTGTTTTATGTAAATTAGACAAAAAAAAAAGCTATAAAACTTATTAATGACTTGTTGATGCTCACAGATTTTAGCATTTTTTTTTCTTTTGTGATTTTTTTGCGTTGATTACTTGCTTTTTTTTTCTTTTTCTAATTGTATGTATATGTATCTAGTTTCGAATAGGTAAAATTTCTTATTGAAATATTTTAATGAGGAAATGTTGAAGAAAAAATTTTCATATTAAATTTTTTAAGATAATCAAATATTATAACACCCGCAATTCTTCTGTATTCATATTTTAAAAGACAAAAATTTCAATAAATAATATTTCCCCATTATAGCCACAATCTAGTGAATTATAATCGCTTGACTTATAATTACTAAACAAAAAAAAATAAAAAAATTAATCAAAGTTGAAAGTTGATATGAGAAACCAATTATGAATTTAGTTTTGGTAAACTACTCGACAACACTTATTTAATTGCAATTAGAAAAACCAGGACAAAAATCATGCGTGTAGCATATTACATGTGTGATCTCTTTTAAATGTACATATACAGCATAGTTAACCATTTTAAATGGTGTTGATTGTAAATTTTTGGTTAAAGTTATTTTTAATATTTATTTTAATTATTGGCATACCTGTTAAATTTCATAAAAGAATATATTATTATAAATTAGATGTCACACGCCTTTGGTCATATTTTTCACTTGAATATCCAAAATCCTAATATACTAATTCCTCTTTCTGTTTTTTGGCTAATAATTTTAATATTTTAATTTTTTTTTTTTTAATTTGAATTTACATAATTTTGGATGGTATACACGGATATGTCATTATTTTATATACATACATATTATAATAATATTGAATTCAAACTAAATTAAATAAGCAAATAGGAGCGGGAGGCTGTTGTTTGAAATTATTTAATTGTTCAAATTACAATATTCTTCTTCGAAAAAAAAATAATACAAAATTATGGGTTTTTGTAAATGTATGGGTATTGATTATGACTTTTTCAAATTATAAGAATTGCAAATCATAACTGTTAAGATTGCTATTAGGCATGTTGGTACAAGTCGCAGTCATATATTTTACTTAATGGAATTTTAAAAATCAGGTTTTAAATTTGTTGCGTTTGTTACATCCATAATTAAAATAAGCAGAAAATTTTTGTTCTAAAAAAAATTCTTAAAATTATATGAAAAAATTAATAAAAATTCTTATGATCTAACAACATAAAACATAAGTTCAAAATCGCAGTAAAATTACATAATGCTCGCCTGCAGTTACATAACCTGTAAACTGAATTGTAAACGCAACAAATTAACATGTTGTCTAAAGAACTTCTTATGAGACGAAAAGAACTCAATATAGAAAATAATAGCAACATTATTGTTAATAACTTGTTGATGCTGACAGATTTTAGTATTTTTGTAAAATATTTTGCATAACACAAAAAATTTTTTATCATTTATTGTGTTGTTGGTCCCAACTATAAAAATACTTGTTTTACATAAAAATGCTATTTTTGTTTAAAAATAATCAATCTTACTTGTTTTAAGAATTTTTATTTTATATCCCGTATATACATATATTTACATATTATATGTATTTACTTATATGAATATATATAAGGGTATAAATGAATATTTTTGTAATCTTACAGAAATAACTGCATTACGTTTTCCTTAATAAAAAAAATCAATTAAAATTTTATTGAGAAGAAATGAAGATAATTGGTAGCACATTAATGGGGTGTTTAGAAAAAAAAAAATAATGAATATAAAGTTTTCATCTTAAGTTAAGTAAGAATAACAACTATGTAGCTAAATCTTTATTGATAAAATTTAATAAGCGTAAATACTAATATCAAGCTAGGTGTGTTAACAAAGTCAACTAGATTTTTCTGTAGCAACTATAATGACAAGACTTTGATGAATATTCATAAAATGTAAAGCAAAACTTTCTATGTGTTTTTTAAGCACAATTGTAATTTCATCAATAGACAATAATCAAAATTTTGTAAGCAATACTTTGTTTTGCTCTTCCAAAATTTAATTTATAAAAGAACATGAAAGTTAAATATTCTACTTGCACTACATAAAAAATTAAACTTTTGGTTAAATATTTGTATATCACCCTGTATAAATTTACTTTTTTTAGAAGTTTACCAAATAATAGTAAATTTTTTACGTATGTATGAATTTACATACATACATACGATATATATATATATATATATGTATAGCAGTTGCAAGTGGTTTTTATTAGTTTACATAATAATCGATCTTTGTGGTTATTGTTGTATTATAGCACAGGAGACAGATATAAATGGAAGATGATTTTTAAGAAAAAAAATACCGGCTAATTATTATTAATAAAGCGGAACAACAAGATTTTTAAGATATTTATTGATTTTTTTTTCTTTTTTTTTTATTATAATATTAAATTCTTACCTGGTCAATTGTGAATGCATACACATATCCATATACATGTATGTAAAGGTATGCAACGAAAAAAAGAGGTTTTTTATTGTCATTTTAATTTTTTTTTTTTGAATTTTTGAAATTAATAATTTTTTTTTAAACGAAATAAGGTTGAAAGACTTCGACATTAATATTGTTTTATTAGTTCCAGAATTTTACTCTAGAATTGTGAATATTTGGACTATGGCATTATAACATATGTATATATATGCAAAAATATAACAGAAATTGCACTTTTCATTTAGGGAAAATATATATTTTTTTTTAAATTTGTAATATCTTGGCCAGCACACCTCATATCGGCTTACCAACTTGATTCTGAATTTATTAAACTTATTAAATTATATAGGTTCGTTCAATGGTTGAGCATATTTCGAAAGCATTTATTTTTTCTCTAATATCAAAAAATCCTCATCTGTAACTTTGGTTGTTCACTTCAATGATGACAGTTTTACTCATCAAAGCAATCCCAAAATTAATTAAAGCAGAAAAATATATTCTTCGATCCTGTAAATGTAAAAGATGCTAAAAAACAAAAACTAACAAAATATCAAAAAATTTAAGTGATTACAAATGTTTAAAAAAAATTTACATATTTTTTATTAAATACAAAATAAAAACATTATGTGCACTGACGCATATAAACGTTAAAGAAACTAAAGTATTATATTCTTAATGCAATGAGATTAATGGATTGAATTCATTATTTTTTCCTAAACCACCTATTAATGTGAAGATTAATGGTGATTGTATTTGTCAAAATTATAATTTCATCATAATATATTATTGATACTTTAATTTCAATTTAAAAGTAAATAAAAAATTACGATATCGAAATTTAAATAGAATTTTTGAATTTATAATTTATTTATTTTTTTAAGCAGAAGTATAAAAACCACTTAAGATAAAACATTTATAATATTCTTGTTACGAAACACATACATATGTGCTCGTTTTTCATTATATGATCTTATGAGTTTAATTCAAAATTTTCGAAAAAAAAAATTTATATAAGTTTCCACTAAAAACGGAAACTAGTCAAAAACTATATTTTTTGGAGTTTTATTTATTGGAATATAAATAGGTTTCTCTCTGAAATATATCACAGAAAGCAAAATAAACACTTCATATATTTTTGGTTTAAGATTCTGATTGTTAGAATGAAAGATTTTTATTATTACGTCACTTTTCTTTCCGTATTTTGTGGAATATTTTGTATTGAATATGTTTCTGGTTTTCGTAAGTATATTTAAATTATTATTTTTATTTATTAAATTTTAATATTATTATTTTTATAATATTCAAAATTAATTATTATTAATATTATTATTATTATTTTATTTAATTATATAGCTTCCAATATTAAACAATGTCAAATCGGTGATGATTCTTGTATAATATCAACTATGAATGAAATTATACATAATGCTGGAAATGGAAATAAAGAATTAAATTTACCAGTATTAGAACCATATAATGTTAAAAAACTTGTTATATCAGATAGAAATCAAGGTAGTTCTCTTGGTTTAGATCTAATATTTAATGATGTAGAATTTCGTGGTTTATCTAAAGCGATTGTTGATAAAATAGTTGGTTTTGAAGCTGATCCTTCGACAAGTAAATTTGAATTTTATGGTTTAATACCAAGATTTGAATTAAAAGCAAAATATGTTGCAAATGGTAGAATATTAATATTACCAATACAAGGTGAAGGTGATGCAAATATTGTTGGTTTAAATGTTAAAGTATCAGTTAAATTTAAACCAACAGTAAATGTTAAGAATGGAAAAAAATATTTGGATAAGGTCAAAGTAAAACTTCTTTTACAACCTGCTAAGTAAGTTTTATGTAAAATATTTAATTTTACTTCTCTTTTTTTTTTTGTTTTAGGTATAATTTGACATTGACAGTGTAGTATTAAATTCTTATGCATACATACATACATATATCTTTAATATTTAAATTAATTTTTTTTTTTGGAAAATAAAATATTTATTAATTTTTTTTTTGTTTCAATTTTAAGGATTGAGACACGATTGGATAACTTATTTAACGGTGATAAATTGTTAGGTGAAAATATGAATAGATTTTTGAATGAAAATTGGTCTGATGTATGGGAAGAACTCGCTCCAAATGTTAATACAGCTTTAGCAGATGTTGTAACAAATATTTTAACACAGGTCTTTGATACCTTAAGTTATGATGAGTTTTATTTAAATTAAGTAAAATAAAAAAATCTTAATATTATTAGTGAAAAAAAAAATACTTTGAAATTATTTCCAAAAATGTACAAAAGTATATATGTATGTGTATACAAATATAAATATAATGTTATGTGAAAAGAAATATATTTTGTGATTTTCATACAAACATAATTTTTATTCAGTAGTCTTAAGTTTTGCTTGTAACCGGGTGTGTATATGAATACAAATCATATTTGGATTTCTATAAAGTTAAAATTTACCAATTGTACCAATAATTATAAGTAATGCAAGCCAATAATAACTATAAAGTTATTTTTTTTTGAAAATTCTTTGAATATTTACAATAACAAATTTCCACTGTATTTTGTAAATACTAAAGATTTGAAGTATTTGGATTTATTTCCGAAAGTTATAAAAAATTAGTTTATGCGGTTTGCAAATTTTTCGACCACTTTCTTCTTTCATTCTTTGATTGCCGATTTGATTATTCCGTAACCATTTTTTATATGTTAGTTAATTTCCTTCCTTTATTTACATACATATTAGTTTAAATTTACAATTCGCGTCCATTACTTCACTTATTCACATACATACATACATATTAACTTTTTATATTTTTAATTTAAATGAATTCAACCAAAAAAATTTTTTTACTTATTTCTACTGTAAAATTTTTCCAGACTTTTGAAACTTGAAATGTACAATAATTGTTCTGCACAAATTATGTACACATACATATATTATTTATTTGGGTGAACCATAAATGTAAATACGTAAAGTACATGAACATTATTATTTTTCATTTGAATTTAGTATTCAATTTAAACTTCAAATTTAAAAAAACCGTCAATGTATGGCACGCCTGTTGTGTCACTGCTTAATTATGCACTCTTCCTGCTATATTCTTAAAACTTGATTTTTTTATTAAATATTTAAAAAATCAATATAATAAATGTTTTATGAAAAAAAGCATTAAAGGTGTCTTTAAATAAATCATGAATGTAATTTTGTTTCTTGCTTTTTTAAGAAAAGTGAAAGAAAATGAGAAAAAGAAAATATTTTCTTTTATCATTTGTTTTGACAAATAATAAAAAAAAACATGCAGAACAAATTTGCTTAATTATAATGAAAAATTGTGAATGATAAAATTTCTAAAACTGTAACTCCCATTTCGATTTTCTCTAATTTTTTGTTTGATTCTCATATAGCAGTTAAGATTTTAAATTGTACTACATTAATACTGCATTTTGGACCTGAGGTAATTTCAAAATAAAATAATCTATGATATTTAGTTTGAATTAATGTTATTGACATATGTAAGAATCAGCACAAATATACCTTAGAATAGTATAATAAATTTAAAATCAACTATTCGAAATTAATATTTTAACAATTTAAGTCATAGCATCAAGTATAAGGTGTTAATTTTTCGACTTTAAATTTAATTAATTTTGATATAAAAATATCAAGTACTTTATGTATTAGTACATTAAAATTTTGGAAATTACCTATTAGCACTAAGCTATGGAATTCATAACCATAAAACAATTTTCGATTTTCATTTAGTTAAATTTCAAATTAAAAAAATGCAGATAGATTAAATAGGCTAGCGTTAATTTTCAATTACAAATTTTATATAAAAACAAATCAACGAAGTGAAAATTTTTTAGTAGATCGATTAAAATAGTACTCTTAAGTACACAAATTATAAAATTAATTATTAAATGTATAAGACTTTTTAAATTTTAAATAATTTATTTATATTAATATCATGAAAAAAAATTCCAAATTTAAAATACTTATTATATGTGTTTATATGTTATTTTTAAATTTTGTTATATCAAAATCAACAAACAAAAAATACAATATTGAATTTTTAAGGAAAAATATTAAATTTATATTAAATAATTCTTTAAATTATGTAAGTGATTTTAAAACAATAATATGTTTCAAATGTAATGAGCAACACTCTATTTGTTTCAATGAGAATGCAATGAATTACAAATATTTGATTAATTTGTATAAAATTTATTCTGAATTTTTAACTTGCTCTCCTTTTAATGAAATTTTAAAGAATATTAAAAATAATAAACAGAAATTATTGAAAATTAAATGTTTCAATAAAATTTTAAGAAAGAAACAAATATTTTATTTTTACATTTACAAGTTGCCATATTCTTTTGTGTCTGATTGTAAACTAAAAAACAGGAAAAATGACAAACAAAGAAGACTTGTTAATAAGTTAGAAGTTAAAATTTGTAGAAATTCAACTCAAGAATATAATCAACATCGAATAATGAAAAGAAATACGTCTTTCGATAAACACCATAGAAAAAAATTTGGTTATCGAAAAACTAAAAGAACGAAAGGCTATCATAACACTTTCCATAAAAATGAGCTTACAAAGGAATTGATTTTTTATTACGTATAAATATTTGCAGACAAAAATTATTATATTGCGGTAATTAAACTTAATTAATAATTAATTTATACATGTCATATAATTTGATTGCTTTATTTGAAGTAAAATATGCATACACATTGTCCAGAGGTAAGATATAAATCTTAGATTATAACAAAAATCAAATATAATGTGTGTATATGTATATTTTCAGCAATCGCATACATAAATATTTTCGCTTGGACTAGGTAGTAAAATATTAAAAATTTTAAGCAATTATACATACTTAAACATATCGCTTAATTCTAGTGATTTAATGAAATACAAAATAATATCGGAAAAAAACCAATGATGCGTGCCTACAATAAGACTACAAGAACATACTATCTATAATGTTATAGGAAGGCAGATTAAAATTCAAAGCAATATTGTAAATAAAGTTATTGTAATTTTTTACATAGCTTATGTAAGAACTACTAATTATAAATATAACAAAATATCTTATTTATTATAATAGATATAATAAAATATAACAAAATTGTGAAAACTACATAATTTCCTTTCATAATATTCCTCAATAGGTTTAATTTAGTTTCTAATATCTTATAAGTATTAGTTTATTACATATGTATATCTGTATGTATATGAAATTTCCAATCTTTTTTTAATTAAAAGATTTAATCATAATTTATAAGCTGTTAATCGCCATTACAAATACTAGAAATTTAAGTTCACAATGACTTTAATGTTTAAATGGTTACCAAGGTAACCGAGAAAAGAAAAATTTCGTTTTTAAAAAATTAAGCACATTTTCGGTTTGTCAGCTATTAAGAAAAGTTAAAAAAAACTTAAAATGAATTTCACTTCTGAGGAGTTTCGTGATTCAGACGAAATATGGTTAACTGAAAATGTTTTTTCTCAATTAAAAGATTTTAACTGTATGATTATAAACAATAATATTAATAAATCTTCCGATTTAAATACCCACAATATTCCAAATTCAAATGAAAATAATACTAGTCAATCACAAGAAGTTGAGAATAAAAGAATAAATATTTTAACCAATGATTCAAAAACGGAAATAGAACCAAATTTAATTCCAGATGAAAAAAATCAAGACAAAGATTTAACTTTTAAAGATATTAAGCATGAAGCGGAAATTAAGAATCAAGAAAGTCTTAGTTTCCTTAATCAATTTGATGTTCCTAAAAATCCAAAACTTATAGAAAATTGTGATTTCTCTGTTAATTGTATGAAAAACATTTTTAATTATGAAAAATCCATTTTTTATACTCAAGAACCGCAAAGGTATTTTGAAATTTGGATGCCATTTACTGACGCTGGCCAAAAAGGTAAATATGCGCTCTTATATATTTTTTTAAAATATAAGAATTTATGAACATGCAATGGTAAAGACAACCGTAATTTGATTTTAATTTTAGATTACGTTATTGTAAAAGAAAATAAAGAAAATTATGACAACAGAAATTTACAATTATTAAGACAAGATTTTACAAAAAATATAAATTTTATAAAATGCATGAAATGTTCGCAAATTTTTTTAGAAAATTCATTTAATTACCACATATGTGACAATAATTGGGATAAAATTCTAATATCTTCAAATCTTTCAAATACAGAAATTTTTCCAACTTCATCACTTTTTCATTCTTCAAATAAAAAATTAAGGGAGCGTTTATGTCGACAAAATAAAGAAAAATTACCAAATGATCCACCATGCATACGTTTACTACGAGAAAACATTGAAAAAATAAGAAAATTGTTGAAGGATGAACTTAAAATTGATTTAATTGATTCAATCGAAAAGAAACCACGAATTCAACACGAATGTACTCTTTGCGAAAGAAAATTTGTCCACGCTTCTGGTTTAGCTAGGCATATAGAAAAACATGCAATGGATTTAATACCTTCAACTAACTCCAATATGTGTTCGAAAACAAATCAATTGAGAGTGATGATCAAATGTCTAGTATGCGGAAGATTATTCTTTAAGACAAAAGACGCTACGGATCATCTTTTTAATGATCACCAAGAAAATAAAACATTGGACGAATATGAGAATTTTTCAGAAGATTTCACACACAATGAATTATCTGAGGAATTTGTAAATGTTTTAATCAACATCGAAAACCAAAAAGTAAATTTACAATCAAATATACTTATTTAATATATTATGTAAATATTTTACTCAATGAATATATGCTTTTACTTACGTACATATTTTATTCAGCATTTAAAAGCAGATAATATTTTCAAAGAAGGAAAATTTTTTGAAGTTCTTATAATGAATGACGTTCTCCAGTGCGAGTTCTGTGAATTTATTTTTTCGGATTGTTCCCATCTTCTTTTGCATTCAGCATATCATGATCCCAACTCTGGTTTTGAGTGCATTTCTTGCGAAATTAAAGTCCAAACATCCAAAGAAATTTTTTTACATTGGCAAGCCGAATGCGTATTTGCCAGGGAACTTGTACGAGAAAACCTTACAATAAAACGTTTCTATGCTTGTAATGTTTGTGAAAACAAATTTTCTAGTTTAGAACAATTGACAGATCATAGGTGAGTGTTCCAGACTTTAAATTAAATGTTTTAATAAAATAAAATACTGTTCTAAATATACGTACATTTATATGTTCATACAAACATGCATATTATATATGTATGTATTTGAATTTTTTTTAGATATACAGCACTGCACTTTTTCCCGCGGCGAAATCATCGATTAAAGGTTTTGCAGGTTGGATGTGAATATTGTGGATTCATTTTTGAAAAAATTGAACAATTAGTAATTCATAGAGAGGAAAAGCATTTGAGAAAACTAATTGAAAAAAAAGGTGCTAATATTCTTCAAGGAAATAACTTTGGAATTATTAGCCAAAAATTTCGTCAGTACTTATGTGATATATGTGGTAAATCGTATACACAATCTTCACATTTATGGCAACATTTGCGTTTTCACCGAGGTGTTAAGCCTTTCGCATGTCAGGAACCGAATTGTAACAGAACTTTTACAATTCGTCCTGATTTAAATGATCATATAAGGAAATGCCACACTGGAGAGAGACCGTACCAGTGTCAAGTATGTGGAAAGAGATTTTTAACTGGCAGTGTGTATTATCAGCATCGTTTGATTCATCGTGGTGACCGACGATATGCTTGTGAAGAATGTGGCAAAAGATTTTACAGGGCCGATGCTTTGAAGGTTTTTACTTTATTAATATTTTATTTATCGAATTTTTACTTTTTTAGTATTAAATATTTAATTTGAGTAATATTTTTAGTTTTATGTTTATGTATGTATGGTTTTTTTAATTTCTCAGAATCATCAAAGAATTCATACGGGAGAGAAACCATATAGTTGTCTATACTGTACGAAAAATTTTAGACAACGGGGTGACTGTGATAAACATATTCGCGCAAGACATTCTAATTTGGACGAAAATGCGAAAAATGTATTAACTGCGTTAAAAAAAAGCCAATTACCACAACTTAAATACAAAGCAGAACTTGAAACCAATACCTTTATTGATAAAATTCCATTTATTTAAAAAAATAACAGACCAGGGTCAAAAAATCTTCAAATTACCAGGAAAAATGATATTTTTTCTAATTGCTGTTTACATACATATGTACATATATGCAAGGAGTACGTCTTGTGATTTCAAATAATTTTTAATAAATAACTTACATGCATTTACTTAACTTACTTTTATTACTTACTCACATTGCGTCTTTAAATATTTTATATTTATTTATAAAAAAATAGAAAGGCATTTACGCATTTTAAACACTTTACGTTTATTTTAAAAATATAAAAGTAATTAATTGTATTTCATTTTGGTGACACCTTTCATTTTTTCAATACAACGAATTTTTATTATTTCAATACCAAATTTTGCGCTTAATCATCTTGAGTCTCCAATTGGGCCAAACATTCATTAATTTTTTGTTGAAATTTCTTTGCCAAATCAGTATTTTTGAACCTTATTGCCAATTTTTCTAATTGTGGATTTTCATCAGCATAATTTATGGCACTCCAACAAAACGACTTCACGCTGTTGGTCATTTCATTTAAAGCAAAATACTTAGGTATTGTGTGATTCAAAACCAATTTATGTACTTGTTCTCTTCTCAATATAATACGGTAGGTCCCTTTTGTTGGATGATGTAAAATTTTAATTTCACCAACGCCTTATTGCATACAAATTAATAACAAGAAATCAAAAGATAAATATTTATATTTTCACTCAGGGTATTTAAAAAACGTGCAAGAAAATTAAACTTCTATTGTATTATAATAATTTAAAAATTATTTTGTAAAAAAAGAGTATTTTATCCTTTGTTTCTAACTTTTGTTTTTTTAATACAAATGATTTTAGTAAAAACTTACCTCGTTCCTTCCATTGTTTGTCAGTGCTATCATATCTAAAAAGAGTTGCTCTTTCTCCGAATAATTTTGTTTCTTCCTCTTCCCCAGTACTAGTAACTACCGCTTTTGGTAAATCAATTATGGGTTTGTAATATGGATCGAAATTATTATCATCATCAGTTCGGTTTGATTCATCTTTTTGCTCATCATTAGCACTCTTATTCAATTTAGGTTTTAAAAAGTTATCAAACGAAGTTACCTGCGTTAAACCTTGAAATTCATTTATTTTATTTTCGTTGGGTTCTACTGGAATATTTGCAGAGGACTTAGCTAAACTGGCGAAATCCAAAAGACTCCCAGATGATTTTGCTAAACTGGCGAAGTCCACAAGATTCCTGCTTTCTTTAGTTACAAAAGTACCGCTTTCTTTATTTATAAAAGTTTCAGTTTTGGTTTTCAAATCATCTTTTATCGGATTGTTCTTATCTTCCAATTTATTATCCTTATTTGACAATGAAGTAAAAGAAAAATTTTTAATAACTGACGTTTCATTAAAGGGTTTTGTGTTAGAATCAGGTGGAATTATTTCCTTTGAATTGTTTTCACTCAACGGTTCTTTTATCGAAGACGCTGATAGAAAAATAAGATTTTTGATTATATTATATTATAAAACTTTGCATTGATATTCAATTTGGCCGCATATTTAAAAAAAAGGAAAATTTTTGAATTTACCTGTCAGAAAATTGAAATTTCCTACCGAGCTCATCGTGAAAGGATTATCAAAAGGAAAAGAAGAGACTGTAGATGTTTTTTCAAAAATGTTTCCTGCGTTTTCAAAAATTGACTTCCCAGTTTCTATACTTTTTAAACTAAATGGTTTTGAATTTTCGCCGTTAAAAATACTTTTTGTCGGTAATATCGGTGTTGCAAATGAGCTCTGCTTTAAAACTGCGCTTTTCTCTTTAGCGATTTCGCGAGTTGGCATTTGCAAAGGTAGAGGCTCTCGTTCTTGTTCTGAAGATTCCAAATTTTTATAGTCCTTGAAAACGAAACTATCTGGACTGCAGCCGCGGCAACCTTTACATTTTTCTTTTTGATCAGAACTATCAGTTATTTGGTCCCCTTGATGCGTAACTAATTCATTAGGGTTTTCTAGGTTATATAATTAAGATTGAAAAACGAAAAAATCGGTAAAACTTTATTTTTGAAATTTTTATTATTTTACTACCTTCGTTTTCTCGTGAATCCGAATATTTTGATACGGCATTTTTTATTTCTTCTATAAATTCTTTGGCAACGTCCTCAGTTTTGAATCTTATACAACATTGCATAAATTCTATTTCGCCTTCGCTATAATCATTCACAGCGAACAACCATGATTTGTCATCTTTAGCTTTATATTCAACTTCCGAGTTCAGCAAGTGATTAAGACAAATTTTATGAATTTGCTCACGACGCATAACTACTCTTAGTTTATTAGACAGCTTATGTTTCAAAATTTTTACATCACCCAAACCGCGTTCTTTCCATTCTTTGTCGACAAATCTATATAATTTTGCGCGATGACAATAAAGAACATCTTCATTTTCCTCCCCGGTTTTCGTTTCAACCTAAATATTTAAACAAATGATTACTAAAGCTACAATAAAGATTTCATTTATCTAAATTAAAGTTACTTTTTCCAAATGAACTAATGGCGTGAAATAGGCGTTATTTTCTTCCTCTTCGGCATCGTCTTCTTCGGCATCTTCACCCGAAACATCAGCATCATCTCCTATCTTCGTAATACATTTCACAGGTCCTTTCATTTTTCCAGGGCTTTTAGTTTTAACAAAATTAAAGTTAAATTTACTTTTTCCAAAGTTAAAATTGTCTGATTTATCGGAACTTTTTTCATCATTTTTACATGATTCAGAAGATGAATCAACTTTTTCTACATTATTTGAATTAAAAATGTTTATATCAGAATTGTTACCCAAAAGTGTATCATCACATGTACTTGTTGGTACTAATTCTTCCGAATTTCTAACTGTAACCAATTTATCATCTAATGCAATCTTATTTTCAGATGTGAGATTTAGAGTTGTTGGAATCGAATTTGCCACAGAAGATTTCAAATCAAATGGATTCGAGGTACTGGTAGAAACTAAATTTGATCCAAATCCAAAAGAAAATTTAGATGTTGTATTTTGTGAAGCATTAAAAATATTATTATTAAACCCAAATGTAAATGTTGAAGGTTGGATGGATGGTGCAAATAAATTTCCTTTCAAAATTCCATCCTTCATTTCTTCTTTCGGCGCGCTACATGCTACGCAAGATGAAACATCTGCAGAGTTTTGTACATAACAACTCTTACAAGACCATGAACCAACTTTCGGCTTGAATTTATCACCAAATCCTTTTAAAGTACCATCTTTAATTTCCTCTTTTGGAGTGCTACATGCAACGCAAGATGATACATCTGCAGAATTTTGTACACAACAGGTATTACACGACCATGATCCAACTTTCGGCTTGAATTTATCACCAAATCCTCTTAAACTTCCATCTTTTGTTTCTTCCTTTGATGCGCTACATGCAACACAAGATGAAACTTCTGTAGAATTTTGTACATAACAGCTGTTACACGACCATGAACCAAGTTTCGGCTTGAACTTGTCGCCGAATCCTTCAGTGAGTGCCACGTTACTTTTATTTTGAGTCATATTATCTGGCGTACATACAGCGTTAGCTTTGCTTTCAGTCGCATTATTTTCTGTTTTTTCAGTCTCAACGGAAGGGTTTTCAACTTCCATATTTTGTTGCAATTTAAGAATGGTATCAAGAAATTGTTTACAAGTTTCTTCAGTTTTGAATCTTAAAGATAGCGTTTCTGTATTCAATTCCCTTTCTGAATAATCTTTGTTAATCCATATTAAAGAATTCTTAGTTTTAGCATTTTTAGGATAAATAAATTTAGTTTCTTTAAGAATATTTTGATTGCAACATAGTTTTTGAACTTTTTCGCGTCGCATTACTAAACGAACTTTATTGGGATTGTCACGCGCTTGTAAAATTTTTATATTTCCAATGCCACGTTCCTTCCACTCCGATGATTGTTTGTCATGTCGCAAAAGCTTCGCCCTATGCTCAAACACAATAACTTCATTCTCTTCACCAGTTTCCGTGTCCACCAAATCTGGCAGAGCTATAACCGGCTTAAATTCAGCTGTGGGCACGTAATCATCTTCCAAACGATCTGTTGCAGATTGATCAAAACTTGAATCTGCATTTTGAACTTCGCAACTTTTATCAAATACCCCTCCGGTCTTTGAGTTTGTTAAACCAATTTTTGGAAAAATAGGATTTTCTGTTTTATTCAAAAATTCGAAAGGCTTTGTAGATGATGTCGCCAGATTACTTAAATTAAGGCCTTTGAATGGAGATTGTTTATCTATGGTCGAAGGAACTGTAAGGAGATTTACTTTTAAAAATGAAATTCTAAAGTTATTAAACAAACGATTTACCTTCAGTGTTTGTTTGAGTTACAAGGTTAAAGCTTTTAGCTGCTGCTGTATTATCAGATAACGAAATCTTCTCTTTCTGTTTCGCGTCATCTCTCACTTTAATGAAAGTATTGTAAAATTCCTGTGCTGTTTCAGCTTGCTTGAATCGGACACAAAACTTTTCTAATTTAAGCTCCTCGTCGGCGTAATCATGTGCGGCCCAAATATAAGATTTTTCATCTTTTTTTGATGAGGGTTGAACTAAATCTATCTCACCGGTTATTGTGTGGTTAGCACATATTTTATGTGTTATGTCTCGACGCATTAATACCCTACCTTTACCGGTGTCGTTATTCTTCAAAATTTTAATATCCCCACATCCACGTTCTTTCCATTCTTTGTCTATAAATCTAAATAGCTTCGCTTTATGGCTAAAGAGTATTTCTTCATTCTCTTCACCTGTGCTGACCGTAATTTCAGCAGGTAGCGGAATAATGGGTTGAAAATCTGGCCTTGGATCATATTCAATATCTTCCTTATATTCACTTGAATTCTGAATAGTACTTTTTGAAGTTTCCGTTTCGCTAACAGGTGACGTAATACTTTTATTTATTGGACCATTTATGTTTGCCGTTAATGAAGCAGAACTTAGCATTGGTGTTGGGATTGTTAAAGTTGGAGTTGTAGTTGTGGGAGATGAAAATATGAATGTGTTAGTAAGTGATAAGGGGACAATTGAAGTATTTAAAGTAGTCGGAGTTAAAGTATTTAAAAACGGTGTGGAAAATGTTTTCCCAATTTCACTAACTTCTGGTTGTCCTTTTTCTATTGACGTATTATGGAACAAATTTTCACTCCACAAATTAGAATTAAAAACTGGAGCACATTGAGCTGCCTGCGACTGCTGCTGAATAGTCGAAACATTTAAAGCATTTGGCGATTTTGGTTGGGGGGGATAGATCCCACTGCTCTGATTTAAATAATTCAAAAAATCATTAATTTTTTGAACTTCCAAACCTGGATTGTGAAGATTTCCTGAAGGATGTGTTCCTAAACTATCATATTGAGGGTGTTGGTTAGCTTAAATTAAAAATTAAAATAGTGAAACATTCCAATATAAATATGAAATTCTCCAAAAGCTCTTACCTAAGGTCCATGCTGGGTTTATTTGATTAGCCCTGTAAAAAGAATTTTGACATGTTTTGGGTTGTAAAGGGGATGAATATTGTGGGAAATTGTTTGTTGGCATATAATTTGGATGAAATAAAGGATTCTTATAAGTATTTAAAATTTGTTGTTGTAGGTTTGTAGCCTGAGTTTCATGTATATTTTCAATATTTGGAACTGGATATGACGGCTGAGTTTGTTGAGGAGGATAAATTTCACTTTGTAAACTAGCGGCTGCCAACAAATATTCATTCAAATCAGCAGGACCCAGCGTTTCTGACTTTTCCAATGTTCGTTTTTCTTCAATCATATTAATTTTTTCCTTTAAATCTGCGATGTCCGTTCTCAATTCGTTAACTGTAGGTCTTATGTTATCAATAACTTCATCTTTTACTATTTTTAATGTTTCACTTATACTTTTAATTAAATTTTCTAAATTTTCGATTGAAGATATTTTTGGATTAAGCTTTTCCTCTCTTTGATATTGTTTGCTTGAATGTAAGCTTGTTACACCTGAATTGATTATTTCTGGTAAAATTTTATCAACATCTACATGATCATTGGTGTCGCTTGAGTTTTCAATTTCTAATTTGCTCTTATTATAATTTCTATGCGATACTAGTTTACTTTCTGAATTTGTGATTAACAAGCGACAGTCTCCTGAATTAGAACAATCTTCCAAATAAGAATCCGAAAGTGTCTCCTCTTGATTTCTTAACTCCACGAATTTTTCTAAATTTTTATATGCTTCTGAAACATAATACTTTGCAAGTGGTATTTTAAGGCCAGACAACAATTCTATGCAATTTTGAAATTCAGATTTTCTGAAATACCATTTGACTACATATTGAACAGCATCTTCAATTAACGCATGAAGAATTTTTTTATTCGATACACAGTTTCCTAAAGGGTAACAAAAAAGCATTTGTTGTGGTTCCAATGAATCTGAAAAAAAAAACTAATTTTAAGAAAGTTTAAAAAAAATATCTTGAAACCTTACCTTTGCTTCTTTTTTTTAGAATCTGCAGGGAGTACTTGAACAAGTTGAATGCTCTTAACTCAATGAAGTTCTTTTCCGATATTTTTTGAGTTTTCTCAGACCGTTCATAGAGAATTTTTGCCAACTTTAAAATAACAATTAAATCAAGTTTTTGTTCATTTATACCCCGGACAGCTTCAATTCCATATTTTAAAGAAGAACGTGTTTCCGCTAATTTGCCATCTGCAACACCTTTGCCTGCATCATGAGCTAACTTCCACCAATTCGATTGGGTTTCAGTATTTAAAATAGCGTGGATATTTGCAAATGGTAATATATTTGGTAGCTGATTTTTAAATTGAAATACACCTTCTCGCTTAATATTCAACTCAATAGACCTTTTCGCATGTATTACACTAGCATATAAAAAAGTTTCTATATCCAATGTATTTAATGTTTCAGCACTACAGCAACTTAAGTTATTTGTTGAAAAGTTTTTGCATTCTGAAAAATTTTTTAGACTCTTCTTAGAGCAATCTGAATCAAGCCACAGGTATGTCATATGTGATAATGAATATGGTTTAAATTTTTGAGCTTTTTCCTCATAGTTTTCTAACTTTACAGCCGTTGGGAAATCTAATACTGGATCAAGTAATTCGTCACAACTTGTAAAATACGATTTTGATATTTTTAAAATTTTCTCACTGTCGTTGAATATATCCCGATAAATTTTTACACGCCAGGTTTTCTTTGAGCAGCATTCTTTTATTTCATTTAAAATATCAATTGAACTTATATTTTCAAACCCAGCATCTTCACTCACATCTTCGATTCTATCTGATGTTTTACATTCGGTATACGTTAATGCAATTGCATAAGACAAGATTGTGTGACCAGCCTAAAAAAATCAAATATTAATACTCGAATAACAATGAAAATTTAAATTAAAGTTTTAATAAAAACAATTTGTACCTGACAACACCTAAAGTTTCCTTCACTATGCAATAAATTTACCAACTTCTTATCATTTTCTTCTAATTTATCTATCCATTGCTGTTGTAGATTGAGGGGCTCATTATGATATGCAAAAAAGAGCAATGGAAAAACCTTTTTCGAAGTATCTTTCCAATTATCGTCAGAGTGAATTTCCATTTCAAACAGAAATGAAGCGATGTGGAGGCATAACTGTCCTTGAAAGTGTTTCAAAAAATTAGCTGCAAGTTCTTTGTTGCATAACTCCTGTACCACCTATGAAAAGTAAAAGTGTTATTTTATTTTTCAACAAAAAAATTGCTTTACCTGAGCTAATTTATGTAAATGTTGATCAAAATCAAATAGAGCATTTTCAATTTCCGCTAAATTTTCTTTTATGTGAGATCTACTCCCTCTAAAACTTAAACACAACTGCTTCTCCAATGAAATTGTTTGTAAAACGAAAAACTCCCAATTATGGGAAACATCAACCAGAGTTTTGAATTTTAGCAGCAGGATTGATATATTGTTATACCATTCCATGGAATGAACAAACTGATCATTCATGGCTACTTCCAAATTCAGGACATACTTAAAGGCTTCAACAACTTTACTTTGCTTAATAAGCTGTTGGACATAATGAATCCGCAAATCCACATCATTTGGATTATTGACAATTTGTGATAAAATTCTATTTTCAATTACATCCCCACCTAAGTTTTCTTTTTCCGACAATTTCAACCGAAGAGTAAATACTGAAATATCTTGAACATTTTCAGATTCAGCCAAATTACACCAATATTCAGCCACAGAATTTTCTAATGAGTTTTTTGACAAAAATATTTTGCAAACTTCCACTAGAAGGTCTGGTTGCTTGGGATCTAATTGTAATGATTTTTGAAAAGATTCTAAAGCTTGATCAGTTTTATTCAATTTCATTAAACATTGCCCCAGTAAATTATATGCCGGAGCTTTATTTTTGTTAACGGAAAGATATTCCGACACATAATTGGCAGCTATAGCATATTCATTTATTTTAAAATAAAGTTTTGCAATTATAAAACCTCGGTATTTTTTCTGAAATAAGAAAAAAAATTGCATTTTGGTACAAACTAAAAGTAAATATTGATATGCAAATATTTATTATATTATGTACATATATATATCATGTTTTTATCGAACATGATCAATGAACATTTTTTAAAAAATGCAATTTCAAAATTTTACCTCATTTTCATTTAACTTAGCTAAATGGCCTCGCACGTGCCGATCTATGTCTTTTTTGCTTTTAAACATTGTTCTTCTTTTAGCAACTTACAAAACACTCTTTTTTTTTTTAAATTTAGTATAATTTTCTATAAAAATTTTATTTTAATAATAGCTTTTAATATTAACCTCTAATTCCTTATGAAAAAATTTCAGTTTTTCGAGTTTTATAATTTCTGGCGTCAGTGTTTCCACTCAAGTAACAATTAATCGCTACTATGTAGCAAGTTGATATGTATAATTAACTGTTAGGAGCTGCTGTCCTTTCGATTATGTAAAATATATCAGTGCTGGTACGGTTTGAGATATCGTTTGTCACGTTACAGAATAAAAATTTTCAGTTTCGCAATGTTTTGATTTTTTGGAATTCCATTGTACACGGTTGTGTTAAGTTAAGATACCAAAAAGTTTGAAATTTTTTATAAATTGTTTTAAATTTCAACGCAATCAATAAAACAATACCTTATATGCGCAAGGTGAATATACAATCAAATCAAACAGTAACGGTGAAACAAAAAATAATAGTATAGAAATCGAAATCTTTGAGGTTCTACAAAAATTACGTATAAAAAAAACCTTAAAACTTTTGTATAAATGCTTTTTAAAAAAATTTCACCTTTGTGATAAAAAATAACATTAGTTCTACTTTCAACCCAACTACAACGACTAAGCAGGGGAGAATAGATGTATAATAGATAAGTCTAGCTGATGTGATTTATATGATTTTTTATGGTGAAAATTTTCATTAATACATGAAATTTCAATAAATCCAAAACGTTGTTTAATTATATGTTTCAAATTTGAAAATATAAAAGAAAACAATCATTAATTTACTTATGTACGAAAGTCGTATATAAACATGAAATCAAACATTGTCTGATGGTAAATATACAAATTACCTTTTACTCATCAGATTTAGAGTCAAATTATTCTAAAGTAAAATGGAAACAAGTAATTTGTTGTAAAAATTTTGAATAGCTGTTCAAATCAGAAATTAGCTGATTTTTATTTTAAAAGCAAAATAATTTGATTTTGCAAAGTTTATAGGCTGTCAGACAATTTCAGTCTGATGTGTAAACAGTTATCAGACTCTTTTTGCAGTGACAGTTCTTAATAAACGAACAAAGTTTATTTAAGAACTAAGTTAAAAATGAATATTCGAAAAAGCCCTATGTCAACGAAACCTTTTCACTTCGATACCACCTGTCGATATATCGAACATGTTTTTACCTCCCTTGCGGGTTATTTGATAACTTGGTCAATATTTCACTTATAGACACGAAATTTTGACAGAATACGTGTTTTGAATAGCCGAATCTAAAATTATTGTATCCCATAAGATAAATAAACTGGAGTTGTCAGCTTCTTCCTTTGACAATACGATCTACATAAAAAAACAGTGAAACCTATATAAAATAAAGAGTAATAATTAAAAAAACAATAAATACGTTTTCGGTAAGAGTTTGATTCTTGATATAACAAAAGTATTTCTGCCAACTGTGGTTTTATTACTAGGTCTGATAAAAGAGAGACAAGTTATCAAAATTTTTGTCACTCATTATTTTTTCAAAAGATTCCTTTTAGTAACGTACATACTTATGTACATCTAATTCATTGGTTGAATTTTTATTGAGTTTGAATTGTTGTCTAAATGAACGAAATAGTGTTGCTAATCAAATCGCAATACTCTTATTTACTTCGATAAACTTTTTTTATTTGAATAGAAAGGGGACTATATAATAACTTAAATCCATCTTCTCAACTTAAAATCGATTATAACTAAGCAACAGTTTTTTTTTGAAAATTATATAAGTTTTATAAGAAAATTCTCTTTGTCGCGACTGAACTATGTATGTTCTATGAGTTAATTAAAATCCAAATTTGACATTCATTCCATCTAAAGTTGAAATCTTGAACGTTGTTACAGTATCCAATTTCTTAAAAAAATCGTAAAAGCATTCTTTGCAAAAATTTAAACGAAGTACGAAGAGTACATTTATGTATTGTAGTCGCTATGTAACTTCTTTTGCAATGTTTTTGAAATTAGTATCTCATTTTTATAGGTAACCTACCTATACAGATATGTACATACATATGTATGTATATACATTTCATTACTAATTTCTTTATCTACTTTACAATTAAAAAAAAATCCCATTAAGTTATACCAAATTTTATATATACATACTTATATTTTGTGTTGATCTTAACAAAATTTTTTTTATATTCTAGAATTTAAATAGTACATTATAATGAACATACTCATTTTTCATTTAAACTATCGCCTGTCCGTTTTTCCAGCACCTCTCTTACCAGAAAACAGATGTTTCGGCATTTTATTGCCTATGAAACGATCCGCTTCTCCTTTAAGAGCCAATTTTCGTACTTTTTTAGCGACAGCTTTTTGAGCTAATATTTTCAATTTTTTCTTCATAACGACGTTTTTGACCCCTTGTTCATTTCTTGCTAAAGCACGCTTAATGGGCAAACCAGTTGATCGTAATACTGCTCCAGACTCTTTGTCTAGCTTTACTTGTCTACCACTACTCGTAGAAGGTTTAACTAAACTTTTACGTACATCTGTTGCGCTTTTTGCAAAATTAGTATTTTCTGAGTTAGAAACATCTACACCCAAATCTTGCATAATATTTTTAAAGTTGGATAGTTTTCTTTCACGAACTTTAGGTTGTTTGTGTCGTGGAATGGTTGATTTATTTCTTTTGTTAGCTAGACGTTTCTCATCACGCAAATGAAACCGTTTAACCCTAATTTTTTTCGCCATTTCTCTAATTTCTTCTAAAGTCTGATCAAGAGAAAGAATTGGTGAATTATAAAAATCAGACTCTTCTCGCAAACCCTCTTCTCTTTCAAGTTCCTCTAATTTTTCAAATATATCAGAATCAATGTAGTCCGCAATATTGTGACCATCCCAAAACTCGGGAATTTCATCATAACGTTCCTCAGCAGGAATTGTGGTATATTTTTTCTTTAAGTCCAAAACGTAATCGTCAGCCATTTCCTCTTCAATTTGTTTTTCCAGTTTGGTCTCCATTTTAGATGAATTTAATTCTAATTTTTGCATTAAATTTTCAGGAATAAACGGTGTTCTAACTCGATCATCTCTCTCCTTAGGTAACGCCACATGAAGTCGATTTAGAATATTTGAATTTTTGGGTTTGAGCTTATGTTCTATTCTGAATGATAGCAATTTTTCACAAGCTTCCATTTTTACTTCCATTATGCCTTGCCCAGTAGTAGCTGAAGACTGCATCAATGAAATTGAATCTTTTTCCAAATTTTTTATCATTTCTCTTTTCTTTTGTTCTAAGTCTTCAATGCTTACAATATCAACTTTATTTAAAACAATTATTATAGGTTTATTGGCGAAAATGGGCTTAATGCTTTCGAAAAGGGATATTTGTTCCTCTATGGAATAGCCACACTGTTCTGAAGGATCGATGAAGTATAGAATACAAGCTCTTAAATGGGCAAGTGCGGTGATTGCTTGCATTTCTATAACATTCCGGCTTTCTAAACTGTGATCGAGAATTCCTGGTGTGTCAATAACTTGCCATCTCAAATACTTATAATCAGTATGTCCAATATACAAGCTCTTTGTTGTAAACGCATATGGCTGAACCTCAACGTCCGCTCTGGTAATTTGGTTAATAAAGCTAGATTTTCCAACATTTGGAAACCCACATAAAATCATTGTCCTCGAATAAGGATCTATGACTGGTAACCGGGATAAGTGCTGCCTTACTTCTTCCAAATAAGTAAGATTAGATGCTTGACGCTTTATTATAGTTGCCATTCGTCCAAGAGCAGCTTTTTTCAATTGTTTGCAGCGATAAAGTGTATCACCATACTTCAATAAACGTACATAGTCTTTAGCTACACTATTTATTAAATTTCGTGCGTTGTTTAGTTGCCCTAAGGCCAATTTATAGTGATCTTTATCATAAAGTACGTTCATTAAATCGGCGTAAAATGGGTGCACATCATCTAATTTTGGAAAATCTTGAATTATTTGTGACAAACGATCATACATATTTTGTTGAGTATATTTAACTTTCCTAGTATAAAACGCACGTATTCTTGAAATTTTGTAACCCTTGTGTACAACTGTTGGTGTTTTCCGCTGGGTTTTTGAAAGCATTACATCAATAAAATCTTTCGCCGGCGGAACTATCATTATTTTTTTGAAATTATACAAATTCATTTTGAATAAAATATTTGCTAGCAATTCTTTTCAAAAAAAAAAAAACTTTGGTTCTGTTTAACCTACTACGAAAAGAAAAAGGAAAACAACACGTGCCAGTAATTTGATGTTTGAAAAGTGACAACTTCAGTGTCATAAATGTCAGTGTAGGAATGTCTGAGATTTAAGTTCTACTGACACCTAGGCCAATGTAGGAGCGGAAACAAAAAAAGCAAACCAATGAGCAATTTTACATCCCATTTGTCTTTTTTAAAGTAATTAAAAAAAAAATAACAAAATATGTACATATATATATGTATACATATATGAAAAATGAGAATTCAAAATGTGTAGTTTTTTTTACGGTTTTGAATTTAATGAGCCCATTCACCTAAGAATAGTGTTCTAATAAAGGAAATAAGGAGGAAGTGTTAGCGTATACGTTAACGTATGCGAAATAAATACATAAATTAAATTTTTTCAAAAAACTCAGATGTCAGTTAAGACCAAAACAACTGAAAGTTCAAAAAACGAATCTTAACGTAACTTGTATTAAAAAATAAATCAATGTAAATAACTAATTATTTTTTTTAGAAAATTTTTAAGAGAATCAATTTTATTAAAAAAGACGAAATATCTTTACACAGGTTAGTTAAAATTAAAAAAAAAAAAAATTATAACATTTTTAAATATGTATGTATTTATGTATTTTTAAATTATAGAATTAATTGGCGAAAAAAAATTGCTTTTACCAATCACATTAGAAAGTTTTCATAAACAAGTCCATAAATCGTATGAATAAAGATGAGTTAAAAATACTCATCTTTGTTTCTATCTCTTCTGGACTTCCTAAAATATCGTTTCTTGAAAAAAAAAAACAAAGTGAAGCTAAAAACTTCTGGTATGTCTCTTTCTTTGTTCCAAGAATTGTCAAATGAAAATTAATGTTTCTTTTTTTTTAGAATAGTGGCAAAAAAAGATAAACAAAGAAATTTTTGTGCTCTTCTTTTTTAAATTAGTGTATTCAATTACACATCAATTCGAAAACATGTTCTTTTTATGTATTATAAAAATTATTCTGAATATCGCATAAAAAAAATTCTAAATTTTGAGTACTGATATTATAATATCGATAAGAGAAAAATGATGCACGCTTTTCGGATTTCGAAATTTAAATAAAATCTCCTTTCGTTAAAAATACTTTTTTGTTTTGGCTTTATTAAATTAAATATATTATTATAAATTTTATTAAATTTTTATGTCAGATTATAAAGACAATGAAAATCTATTTCAGTAAGGTAAAGTAAGGTAATTTCGTCATGTTAAGGGACTTTTTCGGTTTTTTAACGATGTATTTCGAAGAGTTAATGTGTGTGCTATAAAAGTATCATTTTTTGTTATTTTGGAATGTTGACAAAATTATTTTTAAGTTTTTCAGACAGTTACTTTGTGAATTATTATATTTTTTTAAATTTTAAAATATCTCCAAAAGGCATGTAATTTCGTCAGCAAAAACTTTGAGTTTTTAATTTCGTCATGTGGAGTTGCTAATTTCGTCATGGCAAAAAAAAACTAGGTTTCAATACAGTTCATTGGACTAAAATAAAAAATAATGCAAATTTAAACTGTGTATATCATAATTAATAACTATCCGGTAACAATTTTGAAAAAAAAGCATGACAAAATTTGAACAATTCAAAAACTATGTAAAATTTTAATTTCGTCAGCACCCTATTTAAGTATTACATTCCGCCGCCTCACAAAATATGATTGTAAATAAAATTTTAGTAAAAATTAGTTTTAAATTGAATAGTTTTTTTAGATATTGTACAGAACTGTTATATTTGTCAAATTTAACATTTCAATTTCCGTTTTTCTCGTGTTTTTATCATTTTTTGTAGAAAAACTTTGCCAATCTACATTTTTCGTAACTATTAAAATAGATTGTACCAGTGATACCTGAATAAAATATAACTGACGAAATTTTATATTTTGGCTAGAAACACTGTAAATAAAAGTTCTGCATTCAATTTTTTTTAATATTTTAAGTTTCAAAAGTAAATATTCATATTTTAAAATGTTTTAATAAACCACTCAATTTCGTCATTCTGACGAAATAATCTCCAACTCCAAAAAATTTGGTTGGTAATTTCGTCACTTAACTTTTATTTTTTAATATTTCACTTTTTCAATTTTTTTTCTTATTAATAATTTTTTTTTAAGTTTAATTTGTCAAAATATAAGCAAATATGTAAGAAATTACACATATTTCAACAGATATACCCTTAAGAAACTTTCTACTTTTCTTAACGAAAACACTAAGAAAAAGCAAAAATTTGCCCCGGTATTTTTATTAGTAATTAAGAATATCTTTTAAAATTAATTTATTCTAATTTTTTAAAATTTAAAAACGGATTTTCTCACTTCAAGTATATTTAAAAACAAAAATGTTTAAAGTTTATTGAAAATAGATGGGGTTTCCTAATATTTGACAAATATGTGAAGGAAGTGCGACCTATGACGAAATTAAATGCACTGACGAAATTACCTTACTTTACCTTATTTTATTCTAGTAAATGTGATATATTAAAATGTAGTTTTTAGTTAATATCAATTTGTTATTTATTTGAAGAGTTTTTGTTCATCGTTGCCTCGAATTGATGTCGTCAATATCAAATGCTGATTCCGAGTCGTCATCATCCTCCTCATATGACCTGCAATAAAAATTTCATATAATATTCTGACAATATGAAAGACTGATTTTCTACATATTGTATCGAAAGAACGAATGATATAACAATTCAGTTTACATTTTAACTATGCACCATTTATACATATAAATTATGGTTACATATAATATAAATGGTGCAAGTCACAATGCGTACATAATATGTGTATACATATTCATATAAATAAACTGTGTTATGTATAATTCAGATTTTCGACACAAATTTAAACTCACTGTTAATTGAAATAATGAAATTTTTAAAATAACAAATTATATAAACATACAGAAAAGAAAAACAAGAAAAATTTAATATCACAACTGCGGATGATTTTGGAATGATGAAATTTAAGTTTTAAGAACTTAAAGAACTTTAAGTTTAATAACAAGTATAAGACACTTAGAGTAATAAAGAAATTTAGTACAGATTTCCAGATAAAGAATATTTTACTGCCCACTAATTTTAATTAATGAATAAGAAAGGAAGTTTTTGCCTTTCACATACAAAAGACTTTGTTTCAAGCTTTGTAAAAAATCATTATTTTTTAAATCTGTTAAAACTTTTTTCATTTTTTATGTTTGAATAACAAATTTCCTTAAAATGCATCTATCGGATTCATCAAAAACTTTAACAGAATATCGTGTTTAAAAACAACGTTTGTACTATTTTAAAACCATAATAATGTTGAAATAACAAAAATATTACATAATATTAGCCAAATATTTATGAAAATTAAAATGAATGTAGTTAAGTAAAGTCGAATTATTTCAGAATCATGAATTGATTTGCGTTGAGTACATTTCAAAAAAGATACAAAGTTGCTTTTTTTATTAACTTTCATTATTATGTCTTCATGAAATTTTTCACTATTTTTTTAGTGAAAATAACACAGAATCAGTGACAATTAAACTTACTTATAAAACTAAATTTGCATTTTTAAAACTTTTAGGGAAAATTTTATATTATATTTTTCGCTTCCGATAATAGACAATTGTTTTTCAAATTATGTGTCTCTCAAATTTCAGGTTTACTTTTTCTGTTTTTTTTTTAGGTATTCATTATATGTTAAAATTTTTTCAGGTTCGCTAAAAACATTTATCAAAAACATATTCTACTTATAATAAAATTTTTTATTGTATAAAATTAATATTTTTACCCTTGAGCATCGTTTTCTTCAGCAACTAGCAACTCATATTCTTGAGCAGCGTACCTGTCCCAATCCGTCATCTTTAATAGATAATTAAAAAAAATAAAAAAAAATTATTATATATTATGTATATATAAATTAGTCTTACATCGTCATTTTCTTTTTGACTAGCAAATGGATCCCTTTGTTCATATTCTAAATATTTAACCAAATTGAAGAAAGTATCAAAAAACACGGATGTCATTTTACAACGTTTTAAATCACCTAAAGTTATTTGACCAGCTTTTTTCGGTTTTATCATATCCAACATCTAAAATATGAAATTATAAAAATTGAATGTACATAAATGCAATCAAACTTTTGGAGCTTTCCACAATGTTTTGAACAATACTAAAATTTTAAATTTAAATAGAAACCATCAATATGAAAAAAAAATTTAATGTTGTGTTAATAAATATACAATAAAAATATTCTCAAAAATTTTAATAATATATTTTTAAATTTGTAATACATATAAATTTAATTTTTTTTTTTTGTTAATTATATTTGTTTTACATACCTGACATAAACAGTCTTCGAAAGGCAACGTTTCAATGCCAAGTGAAAACATACGTTCTTGTTGTTCTTCATAAAAATATTCTAATTCATACATTGAAATTACACCATCCCCATCTAGATCCATACATCGAAACCAATATTCAATAGATGTTGGATTACTTTTGTCTTCTTCAGATAAAAGAAACCAAACAAAATCTGTGTAGGACATTTTTGGTTCGCAACTACTCGACGTACGATTTTTTTCTCCTCGTGTTACACAGCCTGAAAATATTCGTTCAATAATTCTTGTTGAGAGAGCATGATTATTGTGTTGAGCTAAATCATTTTGATCAATAAATAAATCGTGATCGCGATCTAATTCCCAAAATTTGCAATAAATAACATAGAAGTGTTCATAACTAAAAAATGCCATAATTTGATTAATATCTTCCTCGTTTTCTAAAAGCTGTATAACCTAAAATATATGCACAATATTTAATTTTTATGTAGGTATTAACAGAAGGTTAGTTAGTACAATAAGAAAAAAACCAAAAAATTACAAAACCAAAAAAAAAAATGCAGAATAAAAGTGCTCTACTTAGATACAATTACCAGTTAGAGAAATTCGGAAAAAATCTAACATAGTCTAAATTTCAATTGATATTCATAATCAGATCAATTGTTTTATGTGCATCTTGATTATATATATATTAAAACCATAATCTAGCACTATTTAAATATTACTTCTTTTCTATTAGAACACACTATTGGATCACTTTGAAAAAATTAACAGTTTTATTATTTTAGGATATTCCTGATGGTCTATGATCAAATATGTTAAGATAGAATTTTAAAATTATTAATGTTAATGGAAAATCGATTTTTTTATATTTAATGCGATTCTAATGGTTGAATCTAAAAGAATATTTTGTACATTAGTTATCTAAATTTAAAAGTGCGAAAATGTGTTTTCTTATATTATGTAGTGTGCGAATGTTTTACTGATTATGTTAATTCACCTAAATGTACTATTTTGCATATTTATTCAAATTTTCACGTAATGTTTTAGCACTTTAACATACAAGTAAACTTTTATTTTTAAGGGTTTGCACAATTATTTTAAGAAATATAAATTAAAACATTAAAAATTTTTGCGTGATTTAAATAAAAAAAAAAAATTAATTAAATTAATAAAAATTATATTTTAATACCTGTAATAAATTTGATCTTCGTAATTCTGATACAGTAATTCGATTTGACCAACTGCGATTTACAGTATAAAATATCCTTGATATAACTGTGTGAATGTATCGTGAATGAAATTCAGATGCCTCTTTCAAGAAAGCAAGGCCAGGATGTGTATCAACTACATCTTGCACTAATGGTGTTAAATCTTCAGGTAAAATAAATGGACGCGATCTTTGACCCCGAGATAAAATATAAACAAATTTTGATTCTGAATCATGACAATAGACCGACATTCTATAGAGAATTTAGAAAAAAAAAGGAAATATACGATAAAACGATGTTCGAAAATACATCTAAAAATGAAAAACATTGTAGTTATACTTACTGTTTCCAAAAGTCCACAAATCTATAACCATCAATAAGAGAACCTGACATAATTTGAGAACAAGATATAAATGGCATTCGCCAATAAAATGGCACATTACATAATTTTAAAATTTTGTGAAAATCTTGTTTTCCGCACTGGTTATTTGGAAATGCATCAAAAGCAGCTTTTACTTGTTGAATTATAGTTTCCTGTGCTATATTTGGCAAAGGTTTCCCATGAGGATAATGAAATCTAAAATTAAATATAAAAAATATATAAATATAAAAAAATATAAGGGACACTGAAGTTATTATTATGAAGCTAGCACTTTCATTTCATATGAAAAATTTTATTATGATTTTATAGTTTTCATTAACATTGTTTCATCATTTACTGATCATTTCAATGTCATTGAGAATAAAATTAAAATAAAGTGCAAAACAAAGAACCTTAAATACATGCCTACAATATAGAACTTACCTTGGAATATAACAACTTTTAGCATTTGATGCTCTAACAGCTCTTTGTAAGGTAGTATGACTTTGTGGTTCAGACTTTGGTATTACAGCATGTACGGCATGTAACTTGGGCTATTAATTAATACAAAATATATTTTACATTATTATACGTTATTATAAAAAAATTAGATCTGATAGTAATTGATAGGAAAAAAATATATGTATGTAGAATGTTAGTACATTATTTTTTATAATTTTGAAATTAAGAACGATACTTAAATGAACATAAATTAGAATTTAATCCATTTAATTTCAAATAAATTTTTCGCAATGCTGTAGAATTTATTAGTTAAATTTTTTTTTTCAGCAAAATTAAAATTAATCCCAAACATTACCAAATGAAATTTAATATTTTCTATAAAAACTTTCTTGTTTATTGGTAATGACTTTTTATTTAATTTTACAAAAGGATCTTTTAATGACAATGACATTTTTTTTTTATCAAAAAAATTTGATATTTTCTTTTTGAAATAATTTGTGCTTTGGTCATTATATACGTGATGCCCGTCAAAAATACAATATATTAACGTACATTTTATAAAAAAAAACACTAATCCTAACTAACTTTATTCAAATAATAAATTTAAAATTTTCCAACATTAATTTAAGAAACCCCTAAAATAAAACTTTGAGATCTTGCAAAAAATATGGATATGGATCAATGATGCGGTAAGTATAATAAACATTTTAAAGGAAATTTACTGTGAATTTTATGAAAATTATTTAAAAATTTCTAATAAAAGTTATAAACTATTTAAAAACTGAAAGAAATCTTCAATCATATTACATACAATGTAAAAACATAAAAAATTTTCGATGTTAATTCTATAACCATTGATGATTCATTTTTTAATATAGTGCTTTTATAATCAAAAAACAATTATCAATGATGAGGTAAGTCTAATTGTAATTTTTTATGAAAAATATCGTATTTTAAACTTTAAAAAACTAAGGGAAAATTAGGAAACAAAAAAAAATGATTTTTTTCTTTTTTTGGCGGTATGCGATAAAATTAAATGCATTCTTTCCACTCATACAATTTGTCTGTTTAACTAAGTTTTTAGAAAGTGGAAATTAAAAATAGATCTGAAATCAATATTTCGCTATATAGGAAACAAAATGGAAAAAAATGCCACATACAATATCTGAACCGATTATTGCTAGGGGAATATAAAGAAAACGAAAATCACTTCAAATGAACAAATCAGAAAACTAATTTTAATTCTGTTCTTACAACGTTTAATTATTTTTATATACATATTTATAGCTTTCAAAGTGCATAAGTGATCTTTTTTTATTTATATTTTTTTTTTATTTTTCAAGGAATACCTACGATTAAAAAACAAAATGTGACAAGGTGTTATCATATGAGCGAGAATATTTACATACATATAAGTGAAATAAATAAATAAATAAACTATTGGATTAAATCCAAAATGAATTTCTAAAAAAAATTAAAAGAAAAAACTAAATTTATTTGAATTGAATAAAAATAATGCATCTATTAGTCTAATCTATTCTAAAATATTGATAGTTGAATACGTCAATATACGTAATATGTCATTGCAAATTTTTAAATTAATTTTGTTTTAAAGCGCTTAATAAATTTTTGGTATTTTAAATGAAACCTAAATTATATTACCAAGTTTAACTGGTCAGCTTAATTAAAATCCCCTAAAAAATAACTACATATACGTACTTACATAAACATTATCTTTCAACACTTCATTTAAATTATGCAAATTATATTAAACTATACTGAAGCTTGGACCGTACAAATCCGAGTAAAATCTATATGTCATTTAAACTTATTAAAAATGTTTTCCAAACACCAGCAAAAAAATTTACACTATCTTTCTTTTGATTTATTAATCAATAAAATTTGAAAATTAAATTGATTGCAAGTTCTAAATCAAACTAAATTAGATATTAATTATATTTAAAAAAATAAATTTAAATTACATATATAAATGTAGTAAAAATCCTTTTTATATAATCCTCGTGAATTAAAGAGCGTTTAAAATCTATTTAATAATTCGGAATTATTGCAAATATTTCATCTACTTCCCCTTATTTTATAAAATCAAAATTAATATATTTGACAATTTTTAATTTAATAAACTACAATTTTATAAAATGCACGATAAATATTATGTATAATAAATTCGATTAACGAATAAAAAATTTCGTTCTTATAAACACTTTGTACTACAATATTTCGACAAATTTCTCCATGAACGATTAAAACGACTTTAGAATTTTAAACTATACAACCCAAATAATAATTAATTAAAACTTACGTTTTTAATCTTTGAAGCATACGTAAGTAGAAATCATAAAATATAAAAAGTAAAGATAAATAAAGTTTTCTTGTTAAAAATTTAATTAGAGTGAATGGATTGAATTAAAATAAGAAAAGAACAGTTACCTTGAGTTGTGTATCTTTATTTACATTTCTAAAAGGTGATATTATAACATCTGGACATTTTTCGAACATCATAATACGTTCCGCAACAGAACCACGTGCCAAAAACGGCTGAACTGGATTAAAATTTTTATTTATTTTGGATATTTCCGGTGTATTTGCATTATTTTGTACAACAGCGTCATTTTTAGAACGCATTTTTGGTCTAGTACTAGATGGTTTTGGTGCTGAATTAGCAATTGTAGAATATTTTGTTATAACGTCCGTTTTATTATTTACGATATTCGATGATGAAACTAATTTCATTGAAGGTAATAATATGTTATCAACTGAATCATTCTTTTCAGACTGCTCAACCCTGTTTGTAGTTGCAGTTGAAAATTGTGATGTTTCAATATTTATTGGCGATTTACTTTTATTGAACACAGATCCAATACCCGATGTATTTCCGACTGGATCACTTTTATTAACGTTATTATTATTTAAAAGTGTTTGACTACCTCTCTCTTCAATTACATTATTTTTTTTCTCTTTACTGGCAATCGACGGTTGCACAATGTTTTCATTTTTTATATTTTTAATATACTGATGTTGCGCAGTAACTTTGTGTTTTAAGTCTTTGTTTTTTTTATCTATCTTGACATTGCTATCGCTTTTATTTTGTGGTGCAACACATTTTAAAGAATTTAATAAATGCTCTTCTTCTCGTATAACATCAACTAATAAATCTGTTGGATTTTTATGAGACTGTGTTGTAATTAATTGCTCTTCTCTGCTCATAGAATCAATAAGTGGTGATGACGTAGGCAATGTTGGTAAACTATAATTATTTTGTTGTTTAGTGCTAACAATAGATTTCTTTTCAGAAAGTTTGCATTCAGTCTCATTTTGTCGCTGTGTTGATGTTTGTTTATTTTCCAATACTGTGGATGATTTCATTGTATTTGTAATTGCGTTAGAGTTTGATACGCTTTCAACAACCTTACCGCCATTGTCAAGATTTTGATTAGGCGATTGTTGTTTACCAAATGAAGATATTACGGAAGTTTTTCGTCCACTTGCACTCAATAAAGAAGAAGACGAAGATTTTACATCCTCATTCGATTCCTGATTTTGATTAAGATGTTTTAGTAAATTTTTCGGTTTAACAGGCGTTCGTGGCTTAACTGATTGTGGACCTGGTAAACCATTTGATAATTGTTGTACTGATATTGTTTTTGATGATTCACTACTGATTAAAGATTCATTCGATTTTTCCCATGGCTTCGTTTCAGGTTCTGTTTCGTTTGGCACATTTTTATAAGATTTGGAAATTTTTTGAAAATTATTCGCTTTATAACTTTCATTGGAAGTTACAGAAATATTCGAGTTTAGACTAGAAAGTTGCTTTGTGGTTAAAAAATTTGGTTTGGTATTTGAACTTGTATTAATTGACTCAAATTTTCGAAGCGTATCTCTAATGGTGCCTGATGTTATATTCAGAGAGTTACGTTTATTATTACTCCCTTCTGTTATATCGGTGTTATAACCAGTGTTAGTATTTATGTTAACAGCTGCAGCATCAACTTTTTTATTATTTGTTAATTGTCTCGCTTTATCTTCATTTATGAAACTACTAACTAATTTATTTAAATTATTATTAGACATATCCGGTGAATTTATTAAATATTCTGAAATTGGATATTCGAAATTGCTTTGTAAAAAACGTAAAGAGTTTGTTGAAATTTGACAATCAAATATTTCCGTTGGAGCTAAACCACGAGCTTTCCAATTTTGATATATAATTTCAGCATGATCAGAAATTTGCTTTGCTATAGATTCGATGTCTTCATCAGTTTCAATGGCCGAGTCAATCTACAATAAATAGAAAAATTGTAATAGTTAACAAAATTGAATTTTATCAAAATTAAATATTTATTTTTAGGTAAAATAATGATTTAAAGAAAAATTAAAAGAAAATAATTCCTGTATTCTGAACTCTCGACTTGTTTTTGATAATTTTTTCTTACATTTAAATTTAATTTGAAGAAAACTTGCTTGTTTAGTCTTAAGCCATATTTTAACTAAAAAAATATACATATTTAATAAAACTGATTTACAACTTATTTTTATATAAATTAACAAAACTGATTTAAAAGTTCAGAAAGCTTAAAATTTGCATCCTTTTCCTAAATTTATTGCGAAATAGGAATTTTTTTCGATCAATTTATAATGAAAAATGTACAACGAAGTTTATGATTACTTACCTTGAGTAATCTTTTATCTCGACCATTGGCACCAATATTAGACTTTCGTCCCTGCCTTTTTTTATTTTGCCAAAAATTTAAATGATGCTTTAATGTTGGTGAAAGAGATTGCGGATCTACAACGCGATTATCGTAATTTTTCGTATTGCTTGTTTCATTGTCACTATAATAAACTTCTGAAAAGGACGAAGACAAATTTAATGCTGTTGAAGGACTTGAAGGTGATATTTTAGATATAGATACTGCTGGAACTATATTCTCCTCTTGTTGTTTGGCAGCTTTTGCCATGACGATTTCAACATATTTGAATTGTATTAAATTTATGATTTTCTTAGCTTACGATTTTCCTAACTTCTTCTATATTTTGTATATTAAGACAATAATTTTCTGTGTAACATTTCAAAAATCTAATCATAAATTATAGTTTATTGTGATGTTTTATTTTTAAATTTATATTTATAAATAACTAAAAATATTTGAGTATAAACATATATAAATATATATATTATATATATGTATATATATATTCATAAATAGATAACACAATATGTGTTAGTTCGAGATTCTTAAAATGCTTTCCCTTTAAGACACTAAAACAATAAAAAGAAATTGTTAAAAGAGTACTTCAATCAGCTTTATAAATTCAGAGTAACTTACGTTTGTTTTGTTTTAACCTTATGCCTGTTTTTTTTTACTACTTTTGGAAATAAAAGCAAGTCGTCGAAATGCTAAAAAAAAATTAAAAATAAATATTATTGTAAGTTTTATTATTTTCAATCTTCATGTTTAAATAAAAGCAATCACGGAAAAATTTAATTTTTGGGAAAAAGTAATATATGTACATATGTAGGTATATTTTAGTAATTTGTGAGTTAAACATTGTAATCTCTAAAATTTTGATTAATTAATTGTAAATTAATTTCTTATACTTAATAAGGGTAGAATATTAGGGGAATTAATATAATTACACAAAGATATATCTTTAAAGATTAACCAATTTACAAGATATATATAAAAATTGAGCAAGCAAAAAATGTAGAACATGATTTTTCCAATATTATTCTGTACACACCTCAATCAATTAGTGTAAATAAAAGTCAAGTCATCTAATACAAATTAAGGTTAGTTAGTTAAAAATTATTTGTCTAATAACATTTTCAAGGTTTTCAGAAGTTCATTTTAGATTCACAGCTATTGAAGAATGTATGTTTATTAATATACAAAAATATTCATATAAACAAAAAAGAATTTCTATTGCAAATCCTTTTTCTAAATTAAACAATAGTTTCAAGAATGTCAAACAATAGTTGTTAAAAAATTTAACTACAATTGTCTTCAGGGCTTGAGTTAATTATGACCTCCTCATAGTTAAAATTTTTTCTTTTATTACAATAAAAGGATGACTTAAAGAATTAAAATAGATTTTTATTAATTTTAATATTTTCATCTCAAGATTATTTTACTTTTTCGGTCGACTGTAAATATATTTATTACGTTGGCTAAGTTTTGTATGTAAACAAATACATATAATATACTATGTACAGGTGCGGTTCAATATACGAGTATTCATATTGTGCTGCAGAATGCAATGTGAACTAAATATGTATACGTCCCTACCTAAATAACTGGAGTATGTAGGTAACTAATTAGTAGAAACTTTAAGAACTTATTGATTTTTTTCTCTTGGAAATATAGTTTTTATTTTGAAATCTATTGACAACCTTTGACTAAACGAAGAACTATTGAAAACAGTTTTTCGAAGAAGAAAATGTGTATTAAAGAATTAAGTATATCTACAAAAAAAAATACGATACATATTAAAAATTTATAACTTTAATAAAGCAAAGATTTTTGCACTCATGAAATTTAATTGTTATTCTTAAAAATTAATAGCTTGTCTTCTAGATATTCCACCAAGCTTAAACCAAATAATAACAATTTGCAAAATTAGGTTAGCATCAATTCAAATCTTCATTAAAATTAATGATAATGAAATAAATATACTTAGATTTAATTAAATGGGTAGTTCCGATCAACTTAAGTATAGCTACGAATATAAATTTTATGTCCAAAACACTTAATTGTGGAAGTGATAAAAATAATGTTTAGTTAGAGTAATAATAGTATAAGCAGTACAATATTAAAAAAAAATTATAGGTACATACATACATATGTGCATATATCTACCAATTTTAAATTTCAGAGGTTTACACAAACATATTTAAACACCTACTTACACATATGTTAAAAGTATGGACATACATATGGAAACATATGGGAAAATTAAGTAGGTGGATTACCTAGTTAAGCATCTAAAATTTAAATGATTCTTTAATATTCATGTTAATAAAATCTTATCAATTATGGGGAATTATTAAATAATAGTTATTTTATTTAATAATATTAAATAAAATTGAAGTAGGTACATTTGTTGAAGACACTAAATGTATGTGAAAAATTTTAAGTATTAAGCATTAAATATAAGAACATGTCCATAGCTAAATTTTTAAAAGAAATCAACGTCATACAATTACCTACTTGGGTAAGAAAGTAGCCAATTATTCACACAATATAGGTAATACAATTTAAAATAGAAATTTCAAGTTAATTCAATTTAAAACACAATTTTGTAAATTATAAAAATGTGAATATTAATTTAATTTAAAACATTTCCAATTCTATTGTGTAGCAGATAATTTCGAAAAATTCTTCGGATGTTTATATTTTTCTATTCTTCCATACATCAATTGATTTTAGCTACTAAAAACTCTAAAGTTAGCTGAAGTGATTTTTTATGTCTCTTCATTTCTACAATAATGCAATGCACAAAATCTTTATTTTATTTTTAAATTTTTCTCTTAAATGAATCAAATGAGAATAACTATATAAAGAAATACCCTAAATGTTTTGAGTTTTAAAATTCAATATAAAGAATCATGACAAAATTAATGTTAGCATTAATTAACAAAATAATACGCAAAATTTTTTTTTCTTAATTCCATACATGCATAGTAGGTATGTAAGTTTGTAGGTATCTACCTACATATATACATATGTATAAATATATGTATGTATAAAATCATAGACGAAATTGTCCATAATGTAAATACATATGTATGTACATATTAGTAGTTAGGTAGGTATATATACATATATGTATGTATGTACATAATATGTAAAAACCATTAATTAATAAAGCACTTAATTAATCTTTTTGTATAATAGATTTTTTCATCATCAAAATGTTAATTCATGTCATTTAAAATGTGTAGCTATATAAAATTTTTATTTTTAAGCGTTATACCTACATACTTAAGTATATATAGTTCGTGCAACTTTTTATATTAAGTAGTGTTTTTTATTTTTACATACATACTCTGGTGTAATGTTTTCTTTTGATTATTAAAATTATAAAATTTATAGATTTCACAAATAAAAAGTCTAAGTATTTTTTTTAAATTTCCACAAAATTCTTAAATAATTTACGAAAGTATAAAGTCAATTCTTTTTTTGTTTTTCAAATATTCATAAATTGTTTTTTAAAAGTAAAAAAATTTTTTTCTACTGTAAAGGTAAAAATATGTAATTAGGTCGATGAAACATATTTTCTATTCCACATTTTTCTTTTACATGTTCTATTATTTAATTAAACCTTAATAATTTATGTTGTTGAAGAACAAAGATTTACAGATTATTATATACTTACAAATTTGGCATCTACAATTTTTTTTAGTACACAAATTTTTTCACACAAATTGAACTTTGAAATTTTTCTTCTAAAAAAGTAATATGCTCATTGTTTCAAAATAAGTTTATGACCAAAAAGTTGAAACATTTACACTTTAGTCGCTTTTTATTTTTTTTTATGTTTACACTTAGATTTAATGTATACCCATGCTAAAATAACTATAATATATTATAATTTATATACATATATTTCACTTTGCCGTATTACATTTCAATTTCATATTCATCTATTAGACTTTCTCTGTCATGAGGGAGATTTAAAAATAGAAAATTTTTTGTGTTCATTTTGCAAACAAGGAAGTAGACAGTGTTTTTGCCAAATTCTTAAAACATTAGGTTACGATAGTTTTGGACGTAGGTTGTTTTAATTTAAGCTCACATTGTATCATTAATTAATATTACCAATAAACACTTAAAGTTATGCAAACGTTTTAGAATAAAAAAAAATTTTTTTTTGACTTAATAAAAACAATATTGTCACCAGACTGTCACTTCATTGAAGACGACAATATGACATAGAGTTCGGATTGTACAAAGAAAAAAAGAAATTTCTTTGATGTTTTTTGATTTATTGATTATGCGTAAAAAAGCAAATGTGCGATTCATTCAAAGTGCTACTTCTATAGTATTGTGTTTTGACTGGTAGTACATTATGGCAACATACTCTTAATTGGATATGTTTACATGATGAATTTTGTGTCTTAGTTTGACATACGTTTCATTCCCATTGCGAACGAACGATTTTTAATGTTTATAAAATGTTTAATTTTATATCGAACCAGGTTTACAAAGTCCTTTTTGGAATTAAAAAAATATTCTTTAATATTCGTAACCAGCTTTTATAAAAAACAATTTCAAATAGATGGATGTATTAAAAAGGATGTACTAATAATCTACTTAACAATACAAATTTCAATTTTTCTAAAATTACAACAAAAAAAAAATACAAAAATAAGTAAAATATACAATTACGTCTCTTCACAAGACCGAGTTACATTTTAATTCAGTTAATTTAGTAAAAAGTTTGTTTTGTGAGCGCATTTTTTTTCACTAATAATTGTTATTTAATTTTTTGACAAGTTGTATTAATTTTAACACATATTTCGACATTGTCAAAAAACGTCTAATTTTTTTTTTGATCAAATTACTTGAAAATTGGCCTCGAAGCTTATTATAAAATTTTTGTTTGTTTATAAGTAAAATAAAACTTTGTTGATTTTTCCAACTCAGCTTAAGTTATCAACATGTCGAACTTTGTATGGGAAACACTAAAAAATTTTATACACCGGGACTTTAAGTTAGTAAAGGTTTTATATCTCATTTTCTTTGTTTCAAAAAATATTGATTTGCATAAATTCCAAAAAGCTGACATATCCAAATCTTTTTATTAAACGAGAAGTTTTGACAGAAATACTTGCCATATAATATATACGCCTAAGTTTTCACTTCAATTTTCAGCCAAAACTTAAATTTTCTTTAACTAAAAGAAAATTTAATGGACTAATCAAGCTATATGAATTTTGCATATTATGTGTTGCATGTGTCGTAAAACTAAATTTTTGATCGTTTAGAAATTTTGTTCGAACATTAAGTGGAAATCCATCTTAAGAGAATGTTGTTGTAAAACAAGAAATTTTATTTACTACAAACAAAATTCATATTTAACTACTATTTTAATAACAACGGATGCATAAATTAGGTAAAAGATCTGCAATAAATAGATATTACATATTAACGATATATGTTTATTATGCGAATATATGTAAAATATGTATATGAAATTATAGTATACATGTCAAGAATGGAATCGTGGATCGTTTTTACTATGTGTTTAAACGGAATCGTCATAAAAAACAATTAGTATGTTTAGAAATCATAGTTTTTATCGGAATTGGAACGAAATATGTAAAACAGCATCACGCTATTTTTCATTTGTGTATCATCATTATCTGGTTAGGCATGCTATCTTATCAATATTGAATTGTCTACTCTATAATTAACGTAATATCATAATAGTAAATTCAAATACATTTAAATATATATTTAAAATTTTATATTTCATATATTTAATATAGTTATATATTTAATAAATAAAAATATTACAAAATTAAAATTGATATAGTAAACGCAGTTTAAAAGATTTTGAAACTCAGACTTCAAGTTGTTTTGGAAATGGCTGTATTATAAATGGTTCACTCCACATTCGTCCCAGATCCCCCTAAAAAAAATAATTTGCAATTTATATATAATTTGTAGCAATTATTATGTTAAATATAATCGGAATTGTGAAAAACACATTGTATGATTGACACAAAGTCAATGAATGAGAAAATTTTAGATTGCGTCAAGTTGAAAATTTTCAGATGTCAACGCATCCTAAATACTAATTTCGAAAGTTGATTAAGATTTTGGAAAAACTTACGTGTTGTCTGATAGTAACTACATTCGTTCTTTTATTTTATCAAATAAATTAAGTATTTTGACAGAAAAATTAAAATTTTATATAAATAAACTGTCAAAAACGTATCTTTTGATATTTGACAAATAATTTGATAATTTACGCTTAAAATTAGCAATTTGTTAAACTTATGCTTTTTCATAATCAACATGAAGGTAAAGTAAATCAGGATTTAACAAAATATGGCATGTTTTTCGTTTAGCAAAATAACTTACGTGAAAGATTCCACATACACGATATGAATTTAAAAATTTTTAAAAATGAATTTGGCAATTTTTGAAATAACCTTAACGTTGCGTTAACGCAGCGTTTTAATTTCGTTTTATAAATAAAAATTTCTCTGCGCTTTTGAAACTATTTTAAACAATATGGAATAGAAAACTTCATTTGTTTTTCACTTTAATAATAGGTTGAACAGAAAATGAATGAAATTTATTATACACAAAATCTAAAAGAAACATTAAAATAGAAAAAACAATAAGTTCTTTAATGTTCGACTTTACGTAAGTAATGGATGAATTTGGTGTTTTAAATTTAGTCTTGTTTCTTCCTTAAATATATATCTATATACATATGTATATTCATCTTGAGGATTTAGTGTTTTAGCACTACACTTCGTAAGTATAATAGAAAAATATATTATACTTACCTTCAAATAAGCCATCGTCAATAATGGAAATAACGTAAATGGAACTAAATATAATAAGGCAGGTTGTGCTGCTTTAAAAACCTCTGAGCTCACCGTCGCCGTAAGCAAACCAAGGAAATATCTAAAATAAAAGAAATTACGAAAAATATATTTTTTTTTGTATAATTAGATGTTTTTTTTTTTAACCAACCCCAACATGGAACAATGAAAATACGTTAATCTTGAACCCATTCCTTTCGGTGGTGACAATCCTCCAGCCTCCGAAGTTATACCTTGTGACTTCTTGTACGCATCATAACGCAAAACAAAACAAAGTAGCAAACCTGGCATTACAATATCACCAAGACCCAGCATTGAGAAGTGTCCACTCTTTTGAATACTGGGAAATACTAATTTGCCAGGTAAGTTTAATTTGGGAGTATCTCTAACAATTCCATCCAAATTTAATTTTCTAGCTACTATTCCAACAGGATTATCAGCAGGTCGTGTAGCAACCTTTACCATAACATTTGTACTAAATATGTATGATGAAAAAAATACCCAAAATACGTCATAGATAAGTAAACCGGTTAATAATAATGTTGAAACTTTTAATGACGGCAGCCTCACAAATGCAATGAAAGCAACACATAGACCCATCCCCATTGCTAAAAAAGTAATAATGTTAATCTATGGTATAGTAACTCTAACTAAAGTATATAATTATTTTATATTTGGATAACTATGATAACGGTATGCATATGAAAATAAGGCATCAATAATATAATACATCATTACATGCAAAAAGTTCTGTTATATCCGGAATTCGGTTATTTCCATAATTAATATTAATATAATTTTTAATACTTTCTATTATTTAAAAGAAAATATTGTATTTCGTATAAATGAGGTTTTACCATCCATAAGCAGCCAATGACCAGTTAAAACCCATATGCAAACAATCAACACAGACAACGAGAAACTAAATAACTCAGCTGCAGTAAAACGGCCACAAATTCCAAATGAAAATCGATTACTGTCTGTACAGGGTCGTAATATGTATTGGCACATTGGAAGTAATAAAAATGCCAAAGCTACAGTTGCAATCACTGAAAAGAGTAAATATTTCAATTTAATTCAATTTTTTTTTTGCAGCAGTGTAGCAACATAATAAAATTAATAGTTAATTTTTATATATTCTGCACATAAAATTAAATTTTATATTTAATTATTGTATATAAACTTACTCGCCGTGCACACAGCAAAGAGCAATTGCATTGAGTCGAAGAAGAAAAACATTATTAATAGTGACACTGATGCACCCAATGGCAAACACAGAGCATGCATTGCATCTAAAGTTGCAAAACGACCTGCAAAATAGGCATTTATTAATATTTATGGTACACTTTTTACCTAATAAAGAGTGTATTGTGTAAATACATAAAAAATTTTGTTCTTACTTTGTTCCTTTAAAACTGATTCTCCTGTTATTAAGTTCGTCATGTCATCATTTTGCTTTTTCTTTTCCTGTCTTTCTCTTGATTCTTGTTCAATATTTAAACTGCGAAAACTGCCATAAACAATAAGCAACATTGATATCAGGCATGTTGAAACACGGGATGAGTCCATTACCATTGCCCAGTGATAATCGCCGTGAATATTTTCATTCTGAATATTCTCATTATTTCCTGTGTTGACTTCAGCACCTTGCGACATAGTGAAATTTTCTTTCTAAACTTTTCTTAATTAAAGTTATAAACTTATTATTCCGCAAAGTCGCCTTATTTTATTCTCAATCCTTATTTTCAACCTTCATTAATGTAACATGGAGTACCAAATCAAACAAAATCGATCTAAATACTATTTTCTATTGAGATAACTTGTTTCTCTTTTTCTTCTTATATTTAAATACCTATAATATAGACATGAAACAACACGAAAGATTGAGCAGATAGACTTCAGTTAAATTGGAGAAAACCTAGTTCCTTAGTTTAATAAATGTCTAATAGTTTCGGCAATGGTATAGTGCATTTTATGAATTACAAATTCCGAACATCCTTAAATTTATAATTAATCCTTATGTTATTTAAATCTGAAAAATTTAAATAATAGTATTAAAATAAAATTTGGAAAGTGATACATTTTATATATTAAATAAAATATAAGGATTTAAAAAAAATAAATAATGATGTGAATCAATATGCAGAATTTGTCTATGCAGAATAAAACTTTTAACAAAAAGTTAAAAAAATATATAGCACATATTTGCGAAATATTTCGTTCCAATTACTCTTCAAATAATTAGTATCATCGACTTCACTCATTTAAGCAATTAACAGTCTTAATGCAAATCTTGAGAAATGAGAAAGCTTACCAAATTGTAAGTTATATAATACAAATAAATAATCAAAAACAAGTTGTTATTAATTTAACTCCTTCAGGCGCAAATGCAAGCGCGCCATTAAGTTCTGTATAAGTTAAGCTAAGCTAGATTAATCAAAAAATGTTTAAAAATTTCCGATATTATTCAGTTTGCATAGGTCTGAAATAGTAAATAATTACAGGAAGATAAAAAACTATGTAAAAACTGTGTAATGTATAAACAAATGTATGTTTGTGCGCAAAAGATTATAGCTTTTGAAGAAAATATATGCGATTTTGAAGCCTTTATCTAGATACTGAAGTCATCAACATCTGATCAACATATAAATAGTTCTATAGTTTTGACCCAACTATAGCGTTCTAAAAAGTTTCTTAGACAATTTTATAATTTGGAACTAACAAGCATTAATCAAGCAAAAATTCAATTTTGATAAAATTTACAATAAATGTCAACTTCTCCAAAAATAATAAATTTTATTTAGTATTTTAAGTAAATGGGAAACCTTTATTTTTGATACACTTTATATATCTATTTACAATTTGATTTGCTTCTTTATGCGATTACATCAGAATAATCTCAAAATCGTTAGCATCACTGATGTTTCATCATAAAAAAGAATGGGCTTCTTTAAAAAATACATTGCATACATGCCTAGCAAAACTTGTACTATTATATTTTTTCATGGCACATTCCAGCCTTCTTAGGGGTCTAACTTATCACATTTAGTCTAGGCAATTTGCTTCATCATAAATTATATATCATGAATGAAATTTTATTTTAATATTATATTTTTTTTTATTTAGTCAAGTCTAATTAGGTATTAGGTAGATATATAGCTTTTAATTTGAGAGTCTTCAGTCACAAATCTTCCTTCAATAATGAAATGTTAGGTATCCAATTTCCTACATTTGTGTTTTTCATCTCCAAATCTTTTATGTATTTATATGTTAAACAAATATATATCTTAATAAACTTTTGTTTATGAGGCTTAGAAAATCTACATACTGTAAAACCCCTCTTTAAAGTTATACTTAATTAGCAAAATCATATGAATTAAAAATGTCTGACAAACCAATCACTCCTAATAGATGCATTTTCATTCACTAATTGACATTTTATTGAAAATTTTGTTTGTTTATCATCAAGTATAATTGATTTGAATCGGAATATGAAAATGAAGATTAATTTGTCTGACTAAAGTTGATCAAAATAAACTATGTAAGTGGCTTTATATAAATTTTTTCAACTCAAATTTTAACTCCCACCACCCTAAAATTTATTGATAATAACATTAAATAGTAATTATAATTAATTACAGAATAGGTAAATTTTTTATAAATACAAATTTTCCACAACCAGGTACTAGTTACCTACCTGATATATTATGTTTTTTTGGAAAGTTTATTTTTGTTTACTTTTTGTATTGATAAATTGATGTTTTTTTATTTTTAAGTTTTAAATGAAATGGAAAATTTTTGTAACATAAACAATGGCAGAAAAGTTTTTTTTTTTTGGACTTACATATTAAACTTGTGTCATCACAATCATCCGGTTAAAATAATAAAATAAAAAATATTAAGCAGTTTTTTAACACCACAAAGCTTCTTTGATATATTTTACGTCTAGATAATCATTCTGACACAGATGCTTATATGAAAATAACTACATATTCTTTTGCAATATCACATCATGGTTTTATCCAAAATATTGGTTTTTCTTCGCATGCTCTACACCTTGTTTTACAATAGAAAGCGTATATTAAATAAAAAAAAAAAACTTTTTCTGGGTTAGTAAAATTGAGAGTTCTCCACTTAATTTAACTTTTTTTTAATTGAAATTTTATAGTACTGTGAACAGAAAATTTAATTTCTTTTTTAAATTAATCCTAAGATTTTTAATTAAAAAGTCTTAAAAAGTTTTTTGAAATTTACTTTCATTACTATTGTACTTTACTTCTGTACCTTCCACAACAATCAACAACTGTTAGATAGAGATGGCAAGAAATCGATTAATATTATTTAATTTCGATTGTTTTTAATAAACTGACAAATGTGAAAAACAAAATCTGATTAAATTTTAGCGACATCTTTCTTCTTATCTATTTGATTATTTTACACAATTATAATTTAATTATATAAGTTCTCATGAAAACTTTTAAATTATGATGTTGTTTTTAGAGAACTTATACTATTTTCATATTTTTGGAACGATTGTTTAGAGATCACAGCTAAAACTTCTGTCTTTTAATAGATTTTAACGGTAATAAATAACAGTAAGCTTTCAAAAGGAGATATGTACTTATATTTCAAAAAATTATTTCATTCTATTGCACTGAATAATAATTCCGTTATAGTGAAATTCGAGTAAATAGGAAATTTGATTAGTTTTAGTCTACATATCTAATTAATAGAACTTTGTTTCATAAAAGTTAACATCCACTTAATTTCCGAAAATTATCAACCAATTTTAGTTTTAATTTTACTGCTGCAAAATTCATCAAATTTTTCGAGTTAAAAATAATTTAACTTTTTGTTCAACGGTGAAGTCAAAATATATACCTACATGTTTAATTAAGAAAATTAGATAAGTTATGTTTTCGAAATTAGTGCAACTTGACAATTTTTATTCAAAAATAATAGTGAGACCGTATTAAATTTTAGCTGAATTATTTTAGTAAAAAATAATAAGCTTCGTCTCGAGAGCATGTTTTTTCTCTTCAAAAAACATCATATAATTTTTTGAAAAACCGTATTGATTTTGACACATGTATTCTCTTATAGTATCACAAAAAAGTAAATGAAAAGCAAAATAATTGAAAGTGCCTAGTCGACTTTTTGTCAAATGATAAACAGCTGTATCATTCATTTTTCTTTAAATGACACCGATTTTATAAAATTATAATGTATAATGACAACTATTTTTGACAGTTCTTTTTTTTTAAGGATGACACCAACAATAAATGTAATGATGACAGCCTCATTGTATATCAAAACGAATTTTCATTTCGATTATATCAATTTTAAACAAATTACTTAGATACGAAAAACATTGACAAATAAAAAATTGGCCTAGCAAGTTATTAGCACGCAAGTTTGTGTAGTATTAATAATTTGTCATTCAATTTACAGTAATTTATTATAAATTACTGGCTATAATAACGTAGACGTTTAGTCAATTAATTTTCAAATTAAAACAATTTAGTTTTGTTTTTTTTTTCAATTTTTCAATATGTTATTTACATATTTGCTATTTAAGTTACATATACGCTAAATTTACTGATTGAATTCGTGGCGCGAATTAAATTTTTAAACAGAAATCAGCTAATTTTTATTTTGGTCATAATTTTCGTAGCAAGTTGTTAACTTTTAATGTAAAATCTGATATGATTTCAGGCTGATTAGACTTTACGATCTTAGATTTTGTCGTATGTGTAAACTGTACCTTACACAGGTTGCATAGTATAAAATATTTGTACGTTTTGGAACTTTCTGATCAATAACTTGCAAATGTAAATGCTCGCACAATGTCAAAAAAAAGGCATTGCCGATGTTGCCACTTTGATTAAACCAGGCTTTAATAATTTTAAATCTACTTTTGGTACTTTTTAAATTTTCTTGAATTCATTTTATTAAATTTTTATATTAATTTTAAGATTTTTTAACAAATTACAAATGCAGTATAAAACCGCCATATTAAAGATCGGATAAAAATTTTTTAGAATCGAATGTTGTACTATTGAGTTTCATCAGATTTACATAATATTTAACGAAACATCAGGTTAATTTTTTAAAATCAAAAAATAATTGTGAGTTTTGATATTTAATTATTTATTTTATCGTTTTGTTTTTCGAACTATTTATCGTAGAGGAATAAATTTTATGATTTCTCAGGGAAAGAACTTTATTGTTGCGCTTTGAAACATATTATTCGTTATATGCGAACTTTTTATAAATTGCTTTTTACTTTTTAAATCCTATCGTTATGATAAAAATTTAAATAATGTAGCTTGATTCATTGTTTTATCTTATCAAATGAATTTTTTTTTCTATATTGCTAATTATTGTAAATTTATTCATAGCAGAAATAGAATAGTTGACGATCAAATTTGTTAATAAATTTCAATTGCTATGTTATCGTATCTAAATAGGGAAAACAGTAATAGTCGTATTATCTTTTCTGTTTCCAGTTTTAACTGCTGTGCAGTGATTCGAAGAATTTTTCATATATCAAAATAGTTTAAGATTAATGGTCAAATATATAAAAGTCAGCTAATCAAAACTTGAATATTTGTTTTGCAGATATTTCAGGTTTTTTTCTAGCAATTTTTAAAATTTTCATATTTTATAAAAATATGCTATATGTATTTAATATGTACACTATTGAAACATAAAAGAAGGTTATTTTCGAAAACTCAGTTCAATTTAGATCTTAATATGAAGCATAAATAAATAAAAAAATGTTCAAGATCTTCAAAAATCGTAGCATGTTCGATAAATCTTTACTACAAAAGAAACACGCTCAAAAATCGTAGCATGTTTATAGTTCCAAAGCATTTTTAAAGTGTTTCTAATACTGCAAAATATTTTAAATTTCACGTAGAAAAATGTGAAATATTAAAAATTTGAAAAAGTAAACTAATTAGTTCCAGTAGATGTACGAGTACTAATGATACAAAAAATTATTTTCAAGAATTAAGTTAGAACTGTAAGTACAACTATCGAGAATCACCGAAATTTCATGAGGAAGACAATAATTATAACCCAAACACAAATTAAAGAATATTTTAAAAGCACCTATTAAATGGTAACGAAAAAAGAAAAATCTATACTTTATTTATGGTTTATTCCAACAATATACATTTGAATATATTATGGAATATTCCAATAATATATTTATTACATTTTGTTTGCTTTTGTTCTATGTTTTTTTTTCCCTTAAAAATTAATTTTTGTTTGGTTTTAAAATCTAACTACAAATTTACAAATGTATACTTTCATAATAACTACATAATATGTATGAAATTTAAAAAAAGTAAGAGGAAAAGAAAAATGAACAAATGAAAGTTATTATTTTGTCTATTAGCTGATTGATAAGTTGTTTTTTTTTTTTTATTTATTTACTCATTTACTTTATAAATAATTAATTTTTTTTATGTTATAAGCGTATTTTTTGTTGTTTATTACAATTAATTCATTATTTACATTACTATGTTTAAATAATTATAAAAAAAAAAAAGAAAAAGAAAACAGAATCAAAATTAAATTTGTTTTGTGTTTCTCAGTACTATTTTATAAATTTTATATTTAATGTTAGATAACAGTTTTTTTCTTTTTGTTTTATATTACATATTTTTTTTTCTTAATTAATTTAAGATTATTTAATTGATTAATTTCTAATACTTATTTATTGACTTTAAATATTATACGATATTTTATATTTCAATTTTTCAAATTCAGAGTATTTAAAACTGAATGACAAAATTAATGTATAATTAAAAGTTTTAATTTAAAAATTCGAATAATAATAATAATAGTAAACTAAAAAAAAAAATTATTATAGCAATAAAATATATAATAGTAATAATAATGGAAATAAGAAAATATTTAAATATTTTCAACAAAATTCCTTAATAAAACCAACATTACATTTACCGGTTCATAATAGTCAATGCCTTTTTTGTTATATATTTTTATAACAAATTATTAAACAATTAATAAATTAAAATATCTGATACTGAAGAAATGATTCTATATTTTTATATTATATGTATTATACATAATTAAATAAACAAAATTTGCTTTATATGGTTATATAAATGTTAATGTTTTTAAGTTTACATTATAATATTATTAAGAAAAAATTTTCAAATTGGTAATAATTTTATTTTTACTTGCATTTTATTTAGATAAATATTGAGATATATCAATTTTTGCATTGTAAAATATTTAAATTATCTACATTGTAAAAATATTTTATTATGTTAAAAACAAATAATATTAAAAAAATATAAATAAAACATATTAAGATTGTTATAAGATTTGACCGACGTGAAATTATATTTAGAATTTTGTTTCAAAAGTAAGTGTTTTGTTAAATTAGATTTTTTGTTTTAGAAAAACATGAAACTTTAAATAAATAATCAACTGATTACTATTTTCGATTATTTAAAATAAATAATCCTATAATATTAACATATAATGTAGAATCGGAAATTTTAAGTATATTATTCTCAAATAATAATTGTAATAAAAAAATATCAAAAAATTTAGTAAAAATTACCAATTTGTTTTAATTATTAAAATCACCAAATTTAAATTTCATGACAAAAATTCCTTGAAAATCTTGAAATTGACCTATTTTAAAAACATGGAAATGCTTACACTTAGTGTAAAGCAACTTGATATAGATTTTCTAGAGCTTTATGCGTATAAAAATGAAGGTGAACTTGAAATAAACAAGCCAACATACAAAAAATGTTGTTTTTGAAGTAAATTTAAATAGTTCCCATAAGTTTAACATTTTTTAAAATAGTTTTATCATTTTGCAATTGTAAACTTTTTTTTTTTCAATTGTTTGATAGGGAAGTTGTATTTCATATTTCAAATAAGTTACTAAAACTATAAAATTTTTGAACACATAATTTATCCATATACCGAAATATTGGATAAAAACGGAAATCTCTGAACTTTTTTTTTATGTTTAAATTGTAAATGTTGACATTGTTTACATCCATATCTGTAATATAGACAAAAAAATATAAAAATCTTATATTATTTATAAAATTAAAATTACTACAAATTTACCTTTATCTTTTGACTTAAAAAGTTTCGTTGACAATGTTTAATTTTTACAGTGTTTTTAAATTAGGTATTGGTGTTTTGTTAATAATTATATTTTCATATATATATATTTTATTTTATCATCAATAAACTCAAATCAATTTAGTATAACGAAAATTTTAGTAACAATTTTAAATTTTTTTTTTTATTGTACATATTTAGTAAAATTGAACAGAAAAATTTTGCATTTTTTTGTATTTCTGATAAATTTAATATTTTATTAGTTCTTAAGGATTAAATTTCTATCAGTATGATATCATATTTCAATATATCCAATTGTTGTTTTTTGTCATGACCCAATGGCTAAAGATATTAAGATATCTTCGATATATGATATGTGATGAAATGTACTGATAGTAAAGTAGTTTTAAATTTATTTTATTTAACCAGGGACATTTTTCATTTTAGTTTATTCATATTATTACTGTAAGAGGTATGGCCTTTGTAAATTGAGTATCTGATTTACAAAAGTATTTTGAATCGCAAGTCCATTTACTTTTAAGATTCTGCTGCATTTCATTTTTTAAATATGATTTTGAGTTAGAATTTTTTAAATAATTTAAAATCCACTTCCTAATAATGGATAGTTTTTTATTTCGTTGTGCATGAACACTGTAAATTTTTGTATCCTGCTTACTGCTAATATTTGAATCACTATTCATGTTGCATTTTCTTGAGAATTCTTCTGGTAAATTACTACAATGAAATAAATTTGTGTTGACGACAAAATTGTTGTTACTATTATTTTGATTATTTCTACATTCTTTACTGTTATCAACATTTCTACAATTTTCATGATGTCTACTACTCCGGTTCTTATCATTAATACTACAATCATTATTACTATAACAAGTATCAATATTATTTGTATAAATATCATACTTATGATTTGCGTTATTGCCATTGCTATTATTATTATTATTATTATTATTTCTATTATTTTTATTATCATTACAATTATTTTCAGCTCTATTATTATTAATGTTATTAGCTTTATTATTATTTTTAATATTATTACTATCATTATTATTATTATTATTATTATTATTATTATTATTTTTATTGTTGTTTTTATTACTGTTGAGATATATAAAGTCACATTTCTCGTTATTGCAAACATATTTATTTCTTTTACTACATCTTTTGCTAACATTATTATTATTGTATTTGCCACGATTAGTGTAGTTGTTACTTTCGTCGATGTTATAACAATGATTCATCATATTATGATTTATTTCATTGTGACTTAATATATTATTCATATGAATATCATTGCAATTATTATGATTTGAAAAACTAAATGCGATATTACTACATATATCACTAATAATTTTGTGATGATTTTTATGTTTACCAAAATTATTATTACTATCAAAATCACAAATGTTACTTTCATTATAACAATTATTATTATTTATAGTGCTTGTAGTAAAATTATTAGGACTGACATAATTTATTTTGTGTCTGTTATGCTTACTATTATAGTTACAATTTTTATTATTACTGTTTTTCTTATTATTTTTTGCGATACAATTATTCATACTGTCAGCACAGACTTTATAATGACATTTGCTATAATTATTCTTACTGCTATTGCTTTGATTATAATTCGAATCATTTTTATTACGAGGAATATAGGGATTATTTTTACTATTTATTTTATTGTAAATATTATCAATATTATTTTTATATATTTCGTTTTTTATGCCAATATGATTACTTCTTTTAAAGTTATTACAGAAGTTTTTACAGATGTCATAACAATTGCAGATATTTGTACAACAATTACTATTGCAATTATTATGGTTGTTATTAGTGTCATTCTTCTTATTATTTTTGTTATTGTTGTTGTTATTATTGTTATTACTATTACTGTTGCCATATTTATTGTAACTACTTTTGCGCGCGCTATTATTTTCATTATTATTTTGAATGTTTTCATTATTAGTATTTCTATTGTGGGTATTATGATTATTGTTATTATCATTGTTGTTATTATTATTCTTACTGTTGTTATTATTATTGTTGTTATTATTGTTATTGTTATCATTATTGTTATTTTTATTATATTTATCATCTTTATCGCACACATTATAATTGTATTGAATTTTGTCATTATTATCATTATGGATGTTAGCATTATTATAACAGTCATTGTTATAATTGTTGTAATTATTATTATTATTATTATTATTATCATTATTATAATTTAAGTTATCATCATCATTGTTACCGTTATTATTACTGTTATTGGTACTATCATTGTTGTTATTGTTATTGTTATTATTATTATTATCGTTATTGTTGTTATCATTGTTATGATTGCTATCCCCATTATTATCATTATTATTGTTATTATTGTTATTGTTATTGTTGTTATCATTATCATTATTATCATTATTGTTGTTGTTATTGTTATTATTATTATTGTTATTGTTGTTATTATTATTGTCATTATCATTATTATTATCATCATCTTCTTCATTATTTTCATCATTATTGTTGTTATTATCGTCTTCATCATTCTTATTACTTTTATTATTATTATTATCATTATTAATATTATTTTTATTAGCGTTGTTATTTTTATTAACGTTTATGGTGGTACCATTACTATTGTTTATGTTTTTATTGTTGATATTTATGTTCAATAAACTAATACTATTAAAACTGTTATAGTTGCTGTGGCTGTTATAGTTATTGTAACTATTGTTATTCACGTAATTATTATTACAATTATGAATATTAATATTACTACTGTTACCGAAATTATTATGATTACCATTATTGTTATTGGTATCATTATTATTTCCATTATTATTGCTATTACTATTACTACTGTTAATATTATCATTATTATAACCAATATTACAAATATTACTATTATTATTAGCATTATCATTATTATTATTACTGCTATTATGATTATTATCATTGCTATTATTATTATCATCATTATCAATATGATGTTTGTTTAATACATTAAAGTCGCTCTGCAAATTTGGCATTTTCTTTTCTAAGAAATTTGTCGTAGTAGGTTTTTCTGTTTTTGGTAATTGTGCTTCGCTTTTGAATATCGTATAATCGCACTGTGACCATAAATCATCTAAATTTGTAGATATTCGATCTAAAATTATTCGACCACCGCGTCCTATCCGACGCCGGACAAATCCTATACATCGAGGTCTATTTTAAATGAAAGTATATATATATTATTTTTGATATTATTACAAAAATCATTGTTTCGTTTTTACCTTGGATAACGGACAGATGCTAAAACAAACTTATATTTGGAATCCGCAAGACCATTGTCCTCTTTAGACTCCCAGGGCCAGTTTCCACAATTCGATAAAGGCTGAAATTTTTTAAAGGAGATTTTGTAGAATATGATATTTTCTTGATGATTATTAATTCAATGTTCTATACATACTTTATGGTATTTACAATTTTTATTACGTCTAAATGCATATGGACCCTCATCTTCGATGTCTGATAAGCTACCTCCATTGTTTGCAGAGTTTGCGTTATTTCCTGAATTGGCCACATTATTATCATCTTCATCGGTTTCTAAATTTGACTCTACAGCAACAGGGGATGAGGTTTGTAAATGATGCGTGTAGTGTTTTTCTCTCTGTATTTTATGCTTCCGCTTTTTGTATTGACGTTTTTCCCTTCGTGTATTTATATTACAATCTACGCCACTAACAGTACTATTGAAATCCCGCTTGTTTGATGAAATATTAATGTGTGTTATATCGTTTCCAGGTAACAGATCTGATGAATTCAGGTACTGTGCTGTTGAAAAATGATGTCCGCTAGTGTTAACCACAGAACTAGAGTTATTTTGAAAATTACTGCTCCCTAATGATGATGTTGCTAATGACGACAGCGATGAATGATGTGGATATTGATTTGAGTAAATTGGGGCAAATGCTGGCCTAAAATATAAAATATTTTAAATTAATTACATTTTCCGTTATTATGAAAGTTTAAGATTGCAGTTCCAAAAAATGAAATGCGGAAAAAAGTAATCTAAATTAAAAAATAAAATAGGATTGATTCAAATAATACTAATAATATTTACCTAAATGTTTTGATGTTAGAACTAAGTTCTGAAAGCACAGATCCTGAAAAATCTCGAACTTGGTATCTTTTTTCAAAGATTTGAATTGCTAAATGTAAATGTTCACGTTTTGCTTGCTCTCTTCTTTTGACCATTTCAAGTAACGTCACAGCTCTACTTAAATCTCGCCTAGAATAAATTGAAAAATAAATTTGTTAGAAACATTTTAAATTAAATTTAAATAATATGCTAAAAGATTTGAAACACAAAAAACTATACCTCAATTTCAACATTTTTTCATAAGACGTTTCATCATTCTTTCGATTTTTTCTTGTTTGCATTTTTTCAGTTCGTCGACGAAATGCTAAATACGGATTATTTGTTGCTTGTCCAGAACGATTTTCAGTTTTAACTGATAATATTAGTGGATGTTGCTAATTCATAATGAAAAGTAAAACGTAAATTAAGACTGTCATTAGAAAATTGTATAAAATTGTACCATTTTTAATCTTTTATTCAACCAATAATCGTAAACTGCTATGCTAATTTCATCATCTTGTTTTAATAATGCTTTCGCCTCATTTAAGGTAACTACTGTTTGACCAGAACTTTTTTCTAATTTATCCATCATCTGTTCAAATTTTAGTGGTGTTAGATCAAATCTTTTACTCTGCTGATTGACCCATATTTCATCAGCACTATCTATATCATAGTCCGGAATGTCCTGTTCAAGTCCCAAAGCTAAATATTTTAAAATATTTGATGTTATTTAAAATAAGATAATCATAATATAAAAAATTTAAAATAAAACTTGTTTTTATTTACGTTGCATTCGAATTAACTGCCTGGGCATTTTATAATTTGCAGGGTAAACCCTTTCATAAAATTCACTTTCAGTTGGAAAAACTTCAGGTGTTGGTATAATTAATCCTGTGCATATTGCCCTTTGTAAATGATGTTCCTACAAATATAAGACAGAAAACTTTTAATACATATTTACTGTACAAAGAGAAAAATATATATGTATAACTAAGTAAGTTATTTTCTAAAAAGTAAGCAAATATTAGGAACAATAGAATTGGCTATTCTTAAAAAAATAAATATAAGAATGACCTCCTAATTTGAAATATCCAATAAAACTGAAAAAGCGAAACTTTTTAATTTATTAACAGTTATGATTTTTTATCGATGAATTGTATTTAGGTACTTCCTTGCATAAACAGGCTAAGCCAATTAGCCCGTTAAATTAAACTGGGTAAATAGTTTTAGTAGCTACAATTTTTTGGCTAAGCAAGTTCTGCCCACTTAAATAAATAATATACCTAATAACTTGTTAGGTTTCTTGTCATGAATGAACCATTCAAAAAATCATTATTAAATACAAAATATATATTAAATTAACCGGATAACGAGTGCCGTACTTTTTAAGCAAAGACAAAATTTATTTAATTATTAAAGTAAAAATTTGAATAAATTTGAAATTTGTAAAAAAAATATTAATCGGTTTGTGTGATTTTTTTGTAAAAATATTAATAAATAACTTTTTTTAAAAAAAATATTTTAACGTAATTTTTCTTTTTATTAATAATTAGAAAATCAAACAAAAATTAAAAATTTTCACCGAATAAATTCAAAAACTTAATAAGCAAAAAATGGGAAACAAAAAATTGCTTGTTTGTTTACTTTTGTAAAGTTTATTTACATGTCACTTACAGATTCTTCTTCTTTTTCCATACCACTAGGCATTTGAGGAACGGCTCGATTAATTGCTGAATATTCTGGTAAATCTGGTAATTCCTCTGCCAAATAAATTGGCATTGGTTTTGAAGGGTCTAAAGCCCTTGCTCTAAAAGATAATTTTGACATTTCTCTGATTTTCTTTACGTCATATATAAATCAAGCATGTAATAAAATTTATGCTGTAAAAGAATTCAAATATTTATATTTCACGTGTTTAACAACCACTTTATCTTTAAGAAATTCTAAAAAGAACTCAATAATTGTAAAAAGCTATTAGTTAAGCTACATATGTTTTACTTAAACCTAATTTATCGTGTAGTATTTACAATAGTTAATTAATTTTGCCGGTATTTTTTTTGTGTTTGTAATCAATGGTTTTGAAGTTAATTTCTACAGATTTCAATGTATATTTTTTAAAATTGAGATTTTAATTAATCTTTAATTCATTTTGAGGAACTTTTAAAAAAGAATTTTTTTGTATTTCTTTAGATATCACTAGCAATATTTCCAATAACCGTCGAAATATAATTTTGAGTCCCACAGCATTTTCTTTCCATTTTACTTATTACAATAACAACGACAACGTTGTAATTTTACATTGTATTTTTTGTTTTGATCATTAAAAATGTTCAAAAATCTTTGTTTATTGAATCACTCTCATATTTTTTTCCAAAACAGAAATAGCTTCACCGGTTATTTCTTTAAACTTAATATGCAAACGACGATTCTTAAAATTTCATGCATTTTTTTTTTTTTTAATTTTGTTTGCCTATAAAAATTAATTCACCACGTTACACACTATAAAAAAAAATAATCAAAATGGATTCCAAATTTTCAGCTTATATGTATACGTAACAAACACAATTGCTAATATCCGACATCTAAAATTCTTACAACGCGCACACACATTACTATCTTAAAATAAAATTGATTTTTATTTTTACAATTTTCGAATTCATTTTTAGCAATCTAAAATTTATAAAAATTCCCTACTTAAATCAAAAAAATAATTAATAACGATTAAATTAAATATTCCTTATACTTTCGAAATATTTTCTGCACTTTTACTTCAAATAAAAAAAAAATGAAAATTGCACAACGATGTACGCTTTAGCCAAACATGTTCTGCACTAATCATTATGGCGGGCACCGCACGAAATTGTTGTTATTCACCAATTTCGTATTTAGAAATAAAAAAAAAATTTTCGTTTATGCAATTAATAAGTAAATTAATTAAAAAAATACCGAATTTTCTAAAAGAAAAATTCTTTTATTTATTGATTATTCATTTTTTAATTCCGAATATTAGATGGATATGAAAACTTTCTTGACTTTGTGTAGATGGCTATTTTAATTTGAGGTGAAATAATTCAGAAAATAATCGATACTCGAATTGACATTGAAGAAATGTAAACTATTTAAGAACTCTAGTGCTAAGCATTTGAAACTATTGTGATTGCGTAGAATCTACATTTCCTTGCATTATTCAATATGAAAGCAATAAAGAAGAATATTTTGTGTAAGAATTATAAAAAAGAAATTTAATAAAAATAAGTAATAACATGTTGATTAAAATTTTTGTTTTAAGTTAAAAGCAATTCTTATAAATTTGCATTGGAATTGTATAAAATCAAATAGTTTTCTCGAATATTAGATGCCTTAAGTAAGCGTTTAATTTACTGTTCAATTGGGTGAATATTGCTTTAGTTAGTTTTGAACTGATTCAAAAGTTTTGTTTAAAATTTGCATATTTTCATATAAAATTTTGAGAACGAAATCATCAAAAAGTAGTAAATTTAGTGTAATTAAATTTCTGCCACAATTCCAATTTAAATGTGAGAATACACAAAGTTATAATTTATTCCTTTTGATTACTCTTTTGATTTTAGTCGACTACAACTAACTGTTAATTAAAATTAACAATTTAAGAATTGAACAGCCTATGAATGCATGACCATTTTCCAAAATTATTGGTTTTTTTTTTGTTATTTTCATCTCCTTCATTGTTTCTTAGTTTTACTGAATCTAATATATTTAAAAAAAATTTTCAAGTTACTCATTACTTGAAAATTTCTTTTTTTATATGCTCAATCAATAAGTCACTATTATATAAATTTATCAAAAAAAAATTCAATTACTGCTTAATTGTAATTTTTTACATTTGATATTCCTAAAAACTTCAAACTAAATTGTTATAAGTCATTACTAAGTGTTGACGCATCGTTATTTAGATTGATTTTAGTATAGATGAGTTTCACGATCTTTTGATATATCATGTGCGATTGCAGAACTTTTTATTCATGTTGTCAAAAATTTGGTGAAGCGTATTGGTACTAGATTAATTTATTCATTTCGTCATCAACTCTCTATCAATATTTATGGTAGGTATTCTATTATTATTTAAGTTGTATGTATGTAAATACTTTATAGAAATAGGAATAATTTACAAATTGTTGATTGAAAGTTGTAAAATTAATTTAAAATAATTGGCGTTGTCAAAGTCGATTTTGCAAACCTGCTAAAACTATCATATAAATCGATTAGAACAATTTCGTTATTATTTTTCGTTCAATTTATAATTGTTATTGCCAAAATTTTATTTCTGTGCGCAAGCTAATACGAGAGTGGTAGAAAATGAAAACAATTTTTTTGGATTGTGTCTTTACTAAAATATTTAAAAAAAATTCTAAATATGTATATACTTAAAATTTTTAGTACATAATATGTACTAACACAAAATTAAATTTCCTACAATAATTTTCAATTAAAAAAATTTATCAAAATTTCCGAGTTGCAGATCAACGTGATTATAATCCGCAAAAGATGGCTCTGTTAAATGTTAAGTTTAAATAATTTTGAAATTTTTAGTGGGTATGTGTACAAATTCTTTTTAACATTTTGTAACCATGGTAAAATGATCTGCGTCCAGAAAAATGTAGTGGACTTGTTTTTTTGAGTTCTTAGGTCTGAATGTTTTATTTTAATTGATTTTTTAAAATTATTTTAAAAATTTTAACACAAACTGAAAATGAGCTTCTTAAAAATAATGAGTGTACTTAATTTGTGAAGTTTTTATTCGTACATTTGTACGTAAATTGAATAGTTAGCTACTTCGTTAAAAGATAATTGACTTTGTGTTTTCCTGCATAAGCCATTATCATTTCAGAATTAGTATACAGACATACTTAGCACTTTCATTGCGTTTCATCTGCAGAGTTTGTAAATTTATTAGTTTGGATATTTGAAGATTATTTTTTGTTCTTCTTAAATTTTATTATATATTTTTTTTTAATTTTGGTACACTTGCTTACAACATCAAAATGAATAAATTTCTATGATATTATAAAATAAAATATTGTACATAAGTACATTCATTATACAAACATACGAGTACTCAAACATACATCTGGTTGTATTTTTTATGAAATACTTATTTACATACCATACCCAAAATCTAAAGCAGAGAAAATCATGCTACTGATTAAGATTTAGTTGTAAAATTAGTTATATAAAATTAATTTGCATAAACCGCGCTGGGATTGAGCTGAGCGAAAATATTTTTTCGCTTTAATTTTTTATTCTCTTTAATTCCAGCTGCACTTTTACGGTTATTCATATAAATCTATATGATATGTACACATACATATATACATTACAAATACATTTACAATTTTGACACTAATCTTATTTAAAAAGAAAAAAAATATTTCCTTTTTGAAAATGTGTGCACCAATTACAGACTCTGCTCAACTCTTATAAAGAAAAATTTTTTATACATGCAAGTATAAGCAACATAATTTGTTTGTTTTTTTTTGCAAGATTTCCAAAAGAAATAGATAGTGAACAAAATCATGATGATTTTAATAAAAAAAAATAATAATTAAAACTTTGACAATAAGAGATTCAAAAGTAATATAAAAGGCTGGTTAAATGGATTCTCGCATCGTAATTATTAAAAGATTGCATGGTTAACAAAAATATTGTTCCATTCCAATAGTAAAAAAAAATATGAAAGAAAAAAACCAATGTCCATGCCTTGATTTCAATTTGTTGTCGAGATTGCCACCGGTTAAACTTTGTACTCAAACTATTTTTACATAAAATACTTATATAATGTACATACGCATACATTCATCCATGAAAATTTATTGTTTACATATGTAAATTTGTATGCATATTTTTTTTCTTATAGATTATTACATTGGCAGATGATTAAAGTACGCACCATTTTCATTTTAGGACAATTATTTTAACAATTATGCGAAAAACAAAATTTTTATATATGAATTCAATAAATTTAATTATTTTATGTATAATTGTTTGCGTCTATAATATACATTTATATGTATACACAATAAATATAATCATTTTCTAATAAAATATGTCATAAAATTTATAACAAAATATATATGTATGTACGCAATATGTTCAGCATACAATCACTTAATTGTAGTTGTAAACATTTTCTTTTTGATTGTAGTTGTGTCTTTGATACGTTAATAATAATTATATTTTCATATGAATGGATGAAAGAAAAAGAAATGCACACAAATGTATTAAAACAATACTTTTATGTATACATATATATTAAATATATAAAACTAAAATTTAATAAAGCGCCGCCTATTGCTGTAATTTGAATTTGTTTTATTGAATACCCTATTTAGTTATTCGACGTGATCTGGATAGAAACGACGTGTATACAAAATAGAAGTTTGCTTTTTAAAAAAAAAAATATTTTAATTTTTATTTCTTTCAAAACAGAGTTAAATTTTACTTATGTATATACAAATAATAAATATATATATATAAATTAAGGGATAAATTATTTTAAGGATGACGTTTTATCATATAAAAATATTGTACATCGCATATACCAACATACATTAATTTTATTTTATAGTATCTATGTACTTAACAAAAATTACTAAAAAAAAAAAATGTGAATGTATTTTTGTATTTTGTGCTTTCTATATACGGTTGTAGTAGCGTGTTCTTCTTTTATTTTTGCACAATTTGAAAGGAAAGGAATAATTAAAACAATATATAATTTAATAAAGAGAAATATTTATAGTATAACACATTTAAATATACATTTTAAGTGATTAAATTAACTATATTTTTAAATTAATAGAATAAAAATTACTTAGTGCTTCACCGCCGGTTAAACATAATTCAATTTTTTCTTGAGAAATATTTTTAGAAGAAATAATATCAAAAATTGTACTCAAGACGACCAAAGACAATATATACGTATGTATGTATATTAAATAGACAGTTATATAATAGACAATAATTATATTATATCAAAAATATTATTAAGTGTGGCAATTGAAACATTCTGAATATTTTAAATTAATTTTTGGCCAGTATATTTTAATAATGTCTCCAGAAATCCTTTTTGAATATGATTAAAGAAATACTTTTAATACAAAATTTGTCATATTTAATAATTTTGATAACTCTCTTTTTATTCCTAATAAAATAATTTAAATTTACTTTTTAATAATAATTAATTAAATTTGAATCTGAAATCGGTTTCAAATTATTAAAAAAGAAAGAACGAGAACAACTTATAATAAATAAAATAATCAGAAATTTGACATTTCACATCAAAACAATCTTATGTAATATCAAATTAATCTTCTGAAAAAAATTCTATTAATGTTTTATAGAACAACATGTCAAAATGCATGTTCTAAATGCAAGACTTAATTTTAATAATGGTAGTCTACATATTTATTTTAATGAAATTTTTCAAAAAATGAATTTACATATTGAAAATGTAATAAGACAAATGCATTTTATTGCAAATACAATAATTACAATTTTTACTGGTCAAGCAAAACTGTGCTCTTTCGAATCTTTAATAGCAGATATTGGAAAAAATGAGTTCAGTTATCAATCATATTTGATATTATGGTTAACATCAACAAATTTAAGAAAAAATACTTTTAAAGAAAAATTCTCATCAACAAATTATAATATGGAAATCGAAATGGAGGATAGTTGTTACAGAAAAACTAAAATCAATGGAAATGATAATATTCTTTTGAATAATAAAATAATAAATGATAATGAAATTTTAGAGAATATGGATACCAATGAAAACAATAACAGTAATAATAGTTATAGTAAAATTAGTAACAAAATTAATAGTAATGGTACTAATAATTGTAATGACAGTAATTATAATTATGCTAATATTGATAGCAATATTCATAATATAACTAATGATAATAATAGTAATGATAATGACAGCGATAGCAATGATAATAATAAGAATAATAAATATAAAAATTTTGAGAATAATAAGGAAAGCAAAAATAA